TCCTGGCTCAACACCTCGTTTAGAACCTAGACTTCTGCTGTGCACCTCTTTTAGAACCTAGACTCCTGGCTCTGCATCTCGTTTAGAACCTAGACTCCTGCTCTGTACCTCATTTAGAACCTAAACTCCTGGCTCTACACCTCGTTTAGAACCTAGACTCCTGGCTCTACACCTCGTTTAGAACCTAGACTCCCGCTCTGCACCTTGTTTAGAACCTAGATTCCTGGCTCTACACCTCGTTTAGAACCTAGACTCCTGCTGTGCACCTCATTTATAACCTAGACACCTGGCTCTACACCTCGTTTAGAACCTAGACTCCTGGCTCTACACCTCGTTTAGAACCTAGACTCCTGCTCTGTACCTCATTTAGAACCTAGACTCCTGGCTCTACACCTCGTTTAGAACCTAGACTCCTGGCTCTACACCTCGTTTAGAACCTAGACTCCTGGCTCTACACCTCGTTTAGAACCTAGACTCCTGGCTCTGCAACTCGTTTAGAACCTAGACTTCTGGCTCTACACCTCATTTAGAACCTAGACTCCTGCTCTGTACCTCGTTTAGAACCTAGACTCCTGGCTCTGCACCTCGTTTATAACCTAGACTCCTGGCTCTGCACCTCGTTAAGAACCTAGACTCCTGGCTCTACACCTTGTTTAGAACCTAGACTCCTGGCTCTACACCTCGTTTAGAACCTAGACTCCTGCTCTGTACCTCGTTTACAACCTAGACTCTTGGCTCTACACCTCGTTTAGAACCTAGACTCCTGGCTCTGCAGCTCGTTTAGAACCTAGACTCCTGGCTCTGCAGCTCGTTTAGAACCTAGACTCTTGTTCTGCACCTCCTTTAGAACCTAGACTCCTGGCTCTACACCTCGTTTAGAACCTAGACTCCTGGCTCAACACCTCGTTTAGAACCTAGACTCCCGCTGTGCACCTCATTTAGAACCTAGACTCCTGGCTCTACACCTCGTTTAGAACCTAGTCTCCTAGTTTTACACCTCGTTTAGAACCTAGACTCCTGGCTCAACACCTCGTTTAGAACCTAGACTTCTGCTGTGCACCTCTTTTAGAACCTAGACTCCTGGCTCTGCATCTCGTTTAGAACCTAGACTCCTGCTCTGTACCTCATTTAGAACCTAAACTCCTGGCTCTACACCTCGTTTAGAACCTAAACTCCTGGCTCAACACCTCATTTAGAACCTAGACTCCTAGCTCTGTACCTCGTTTAGAACCTAGACTCCTGGCTCTGCACCTCGTTTAGAACCTAGACTCCTGGCTCTACACCTCGTTTAGAACCTAGACTCCTGCTCTACACCTCGTTTAGAACCTAGACTCCTGGCTCTGGACCTCATTTAGAACCTAGACTCCTGGCTCTACACCTCGTTTAGAACCTAGACTCATGCTCTACACCTCGTTTAAAACCTAGACCCATGCTCTACACCTCGTTTAGAACCTAGACTCCTGCTCTACACCTCGTTTAGAACCTAGACTCCTGGCTCTGTACCTCATTTAGAACCTAGACTCCTGGCTCTACACCTCGTTTAGAACCTAGACTCCTGCTCTACACCTCGTTTAGAACCTAGACTCCTGCTCTGCACCTCCTTTAGAACCTAGACTCCTGGCTCTACACCTCGTTTAGAAAATAGACTCCTGGCTCAACACCTCGTTTAGAACCTAGACTCCCGCTGTGCACCTCATTTAGAACCTAGACTCCTGGCTCTACACCTCGTTTAGAATCTAGACTCCTGGCTCAACACCTCGTTTAGAACCTAGACTCCTGGCTCTACACCTCGTTTAGAACCTAGTCTCCTGGTTTTACACCTCGTTTAGAACCTAGACTCCTGGCTCAACACCTCGTTTAGAACCTAGACTTCTGCTGTGCACCTCTTTTAGAACCTAGACTCCTGGCTCTGCATCTCGTTTATAACCTAGACTCCTGGCACTGCATCTCGTTTAGAACCTAGACTCCTGGCTCTGTACCTCATTTAGAACCTAGACTCCTGGCTCTACACCTCGTTTAGAACCTAGACTCCTGGCTCCACACCTCATTTAGAACCTAGACTCCTGCTCTGTACCTCATTTAGAACCTAGACTCCTGGCTCTACACCTCGTTTAGAACCTAGACTCCTGGCTCTACACCTCGTTTAGAACCTAGACTCCTGGCTCTGCACCTCGTTTAGAACCTAGACTCCTGGCTCTGCACCTCGTTTAGAACCTAGACTCCTGGCTCTACACTTCGCTTAGAACCTAGACTCCTGCTTTGCACCTCGTTTAGAACCTAGACTAATGGCTCTGCACCTTGTTTAGAACCTAGACTCCTGGCTCTACACCTCGTTTAGAACCTAGACTCCTGGCTCTACACCTCGTTTAGAACCTAGACTCCCGCTCTGCACCTTGTTTAGAACCTAGATTCCTGGCTCTACACCTCGTTTAGAACCTAGACTCCTGCTGTGCACCTCATTTATAACCTAGACACCTGGCTCTACACCTCGTTTAGAACCTAGACTCCTGGCTCTACACCTCGTTTAGAACCTAGACTCCTGCTCTGTACCTCATTTAGAACCTAGACTCCTGGCTCTACACCTCGTTTAGAACCTAGACTCCTGGCTCTACACCTCGTTTAGAACCTAGACTCCTGGCTCTACACCTCGTTTAGAACCTAGACTCCTGGCTCTGCAACTCGTTTAGAACCTAGACTTCTGGCTCTACACCTCATTTAGAACCTAGACTCCTGCTCTGTACCTCGTTTAGAACCTAGACTCCTGGCTCTGCACCTCGTTTATAACCTAGACTCCTGGCTCTGCACCTCGTTAAGAACCTAGACTCCTGGCTCTACACCTTGTTTAGAACCTAGACTCCTGGCTCTACACCTCGTTTAGAACCTAGACTCCTGCTCTGTACCTCGTTTACAACCTAGACTCTTGGCTCTACACCTCGTTTAGAACCTAGACTCCTGGCTCTGCAGCTCGTTTAGAACCTAGACTCCTGGCTCTGCAGCTCGTTTAGAACCTAGACTCCTGTTCTGCACCTCCTTTAGAACCTAGACTCCTGGCTCTACACCTCGTTTAGAACCTAGACTCCTGGCTCAACACCTCGTTTAGAACCTAGACTCCCGCTGTGCACCTCATTTAGAACCTAGACTCCTGGCTCTACACCTCGTTTAGAACCTAGACTCCTGGCTCTGCATCTCGTTTAGAACCTAGACTCCTGCTCTGTACCTCATTTAGAACCTAAACTCCTGGCTCTACACCTCGTTTAGAACCTAAACTCCTGGCTCAACACCTCATTTAGAACCTAGACTCCTAGCTCTGTACCTCGTTTAGAACCTAGACTCCTGGCTCTGCACCTCGTTTAGAACCTAGACTCCTGCTCTGTACCTCATTTAGAACCTAAACTCCTGGCTCTGCACCTCGTTTAGAACCTAGACTCCTGGCTCTACACCTCGTTTAGAACCTAGACTCCTGCTCTACACCTCGTTTAGAACCTAGACTCCTGGCTCTGGACCTCATTTAGAACCTAGACTCCTGGCTCTACACCTCGTTTAGAACCTAGACTCATGCTCTACACCTCGTTTAGAACCTAGACTCATGCTCTACACCTCGTTTAGAACCTAGACTCCTGCTCTACACCTCGTTTAGAACCTAGACTCCTGGCTCTGTACCTCATTTAGAACCTAGACTGCTGGCTCTACACCTCGTTTAGAACCTAGACTCCTGCTCTACACCTCGTTTAGAACCTAGACTCCTGCTCTGTACCTCATTTAGAACCTAGACTCCCGGCTCTACACCTCGTTTAGAACCTAGACTCCTGGCTCTGCACCTCGTTTAGAACCTAGACTCCTGGCTCTGCACCTCGTTTAGAACCTAGACTCCTGGCTCTACACCTCGTTTAGAACCTAGACTCCTGGCACTACACCTCGTTTAGAACCTAGACTCCTGCTCTGTACCTCGTTTAGAACCTAGACTCCTGGCTCTACACTTCGTTTATAACCTAGACTCCTGGCTCTGCAGCTCGTTTAGAACCTAGACTCCTGCTCTGCACCTCCTTTAGAACCTAGACTCCTGGCTCTACACCTCGTTTAGAACCTAGACTCCTGGCTCAACACCTCGTATAGAACCTAGACTCCCGCTGTGCACCTCATTTAGAACCTAGACTCCTGGCTCTACACCTCGTTTAGAACCTAGACTCCTGGCTCAACACCTCGTTTAGAACCTAGACTCCTGGCTCTACACCTCGTTTAGAACCTAGTCTCCTGGTTTTACACCTCGTTTAGAGCCTAGACTCCTGGCTCAACACCTCGTTTAGAACCTAGACTTCTGCTGTGCACCTCTTTTAGAACCTAGACTCCTGGCTCTGCATCTCGTTTAGAACCTAAACTCCTGGCTCTGTACCTCATTTAGAACCTAGAATCCTGGCTCTACACCTCGTTTAGAACCTAGACTCCTGGCTCTACACCTCGTTTAGAACCTAGACTCCTGCTCTGTACCTCGTTTAGAACCTAGACTCCTGGCTCTACACCTCGTTTATAACCTAGACTCCTGGCTCTGCAGCTCGTTTAGAACCTAGACTCCTGCTCTGCACCTCCTTTAGAACCTAGACTTATGGCTCTACACCTCGTTTAGAACCTAGACTCCTGGCTCAACACCTCGTTTAGAACCTAGACTCCCGCTGTGCACCTCATTTAGAACCTAGACTCCTGGCTCTACACCTCGTTTAGAACCTAGACTCCTGGCTCAACACCTCGTTTAGAACCTAGACTCCTGGCTCTACACCTCGTTTAGAACCTAGACTCCTGGCTCTACACCTCGTTTAGAACCTAGACTCCTGCTCTACACCTCGTTTAGAACCTAGACTCCTGTCTCTGTACCTCATTTAGAACCTAGACTCCTGGCTCTACACCTCGTTTAGAACCTAGACTCCTGCTCTACACCTCGTTTAGAACCTAGACTCCTGCTCTGTACCTCATTTAGAAACTAGACTCCTGGCTCTACACCTCGTTTAGAACCTAGACTCCTGGCTCTGCAGCTCGTTTAGAACCTAGACTCCTGGCTCTACACCTCATTTAGAACCTAGACTCCTGGCTCTACACCTCGTTTAGAACCTAGACTCCTGCTGTGCACCTCGTTTCGAACCTAGACTTCTGGCTCTACACCTCGTTTAGAACCTAGTCTCCTGGTTTTACACCTCGTTTAGAACCTAGACTCCTGGCTCAACACCTCGTTTAGAACCTAGACTCCTGCTGTGCACCTCTTTTAGAACCTAGACTCCTGGCTCTGCACCTCGTTTAGAACCTAGACTCCTGATGTGCACCTCGTTTTGAACCAAGACTCGCAGCTCCTGCGTTAGTGAATGTGCCGCGCCATTGCTTTTGCAGCCCACAGTTTGCACCTTCAGCTTTCCGTGCCGTTGATTTCGTGAGGCATCCCAAAGATTCACCCCCAGAATTGTTCAATGAATCGTCACAATTGCAGATCGTTAGGTCGTGATTAAAAAAACAAATTCCTCATTACAAAATAAATTCCTGTATTCAATACATTTTTTACTATCTAATTTGCATTGGTTCTCCTTTTAAAATCAATCTCGTCTGAACAGTGTTGTGCGTGGCATTAGCCTCAATGTAAAATTAGCGTCTCATAGTCATATAATTTAGCATACGTAAAAAAATCTATGCTCTCGCAAACGATTGGATTCACACGTCGCGATCGTCGGCACCCATTGGAATCGATGGAACGTTGACACAGCCAGCTTCGCTCCTCGGTGCTCGGCAGCCTCTCTGGCAGCAGTTGCCGAGAGTCGGCGGCATGGCCGCCTCACGCGAGCTCACCACAGGGCACGGCGAGAGCCGAGCACCCGGCGCCTTCGACTGCGGGGGGAACAATAACGCAGGCGGTGGCGCCCCCAGCTGGACAGACCTATGACCACGCCGCTACCACCGCCGCCACCACCACGACCACCGGTCCCTCTCATCCGGTCCAGCGGACTCGGGCAAGCACAGTCGGGCACGTCACAGAATAACGCTGTAGCTGAGCTATCCCATTATTTCAGTAATTCATTGCCCGACATGTGGAGCAAAATGTCGGACACTGGTGCCAAATAACACGCGGCACAACCAGAAAACACATCGGAGAATTGCACAGCAGCGAAAACCTACGCAGCGGTGGTATCACAACTTTCGGATTTCCAGTTTAGTGCCCTAATCAGGGTGTCCAACCCGGCCGTGAAGGTTCATCGCCGTTGTCATCATCATTATCATCGTCTCTGCCATGCCAGTTACCTTAAACCTCCAGCGTGTCACGACGACGAATTTAAGTGTGTGGTCCTTGCCCAGGATTTCCTCGTTACACAGGATGTCGAGCTGTGGGGACAGTGGCAAAAGAGGGGGTGGGAGATGGGGGGGGAGGGCGGGACACATGCTCTTCTCCTCAAGCCAAAACCATCGCTCTTCAATTACGACCACATTCAATCGGAACGTGGCTCACCGGCATGCGCAGAGCGGCACGGAGCGGCACAGTGCCAGCGTCATTTGTATCGCCGCTCAGCGCGGTGCCTCCTTCTCCACTCCCACAACGAGCTTGTAAGCCATGTGTTTACCGAGCGATATAAACACCTCTGGCCACATCACCCAGAATGCGCCAGATTGTCGTTTGTCTGGCAGGGCTACGTGTCAGGCAGTAGAGGGCATTGAAGCAGAAGCAGAGATTGTTTATTTATACTGGAGGAATCCGATGAGATATGAAGCTCTTTTTCACAGATGTCCAGTTAGGCGCGTCAGTGAGTTACAACAAATAATACAATAAACCATAGGAGTGCAAAAGCTAAATCCATTATTGTCCGTACTTACATGCTTCTGAGTCTGTGCTCCCCACCATTACCAACCTGCACTAACCATGTGCTTTTGGAGTTTGTGAGCCAATCCGGACCAGGATTGAGCAAGGACACAGCACTCCGGAAGCCGGAGAATATAGACTTATATATTTCTTGACTTTTCACGGGAACAATAATTAGATATATTTAACAATGCACAATGTAAAATAAATAAATAACAATTATACAATAAGGATAAAAATGAAAATATTATTTTTTACTGAAAATAAGTTAAATGATTCTCAATGCCTGGGACACTAGCGTGAAGTATGGTCAAACAGCCCTCACGACCCACAATTGGAGTGGGCAGACCATCATCCAGCAGTGCATTGTACGTGCCATTAACACAAAAAAATGTCACGTTAAATCATACAGAACCATGCGAGCAGGTGCTGTTCGAGATATGGAATTTACTGGGGCGGGTGGTGTGGTCACATCCGACCGCCTTCGTCTTCCCAGCGCTGGCGTTTATACAATGCACCAGATATTGACTTATGGCTGAGTTGGCCTACCGGACATCGAAGTTCAGGTGTCACGTGCTACTGATGCTGCCAGCGGTTGTGAATTAAACCCAGGTAACTAGGATTGTAGCAAAGTGTCAGAACCACTGGGGTATAGATACACACAGCTATACAGATACACAGACAAAGATCCACCTACAGGCATACCAGACTCCGTGCTGTTCGGCAGCACCTATGAAGGCCGGCACGGCAGCCACCCTTTTCTCTCCCCAGTGCCGCTATTTACGCACCGCAGCAGGCACTCACTTGAGGCTGAGTCGACCTCGCAGAGGCCCATGAATGGTTTCAAATATTTGCCACTGTCATTGGTCGCGAGCAGGAATCGAACTCGGATCGCCGGCTGCATAGTTCAGTGCGCTACCCACTGCACTACCGCTCAAGTATGAAAATCCCTAATTGATTCCGAGTCAATCTGGATAATTGTAATGGATGATCGCGCAGCACGTTCTAGATTTTTCATGCGTGCACGGGTAGGTTTGATTGTTGCTCGTTAATTATAATCGACCAATTGGCTGGAATTGATTGGCATTGCTCTCAATCAATAATTGATTTAACTTCAAGTTGGTCAGATATATACTATATATACAGGCAAAGGTGGATAAAACAAATTATGTCTGGGCTTATTGATTAATGTCCTAATAAAGCAATCAATACATTATCGTAGCACGTTAAGGGTGGCTGTAGGCAACAAGAGAAACAAGTATCGCTTGTTGAGTGGCCACACTGCTCGGGCTGTGCCTTGGCCTGTTGAACGCGACTTTAAATCTTCGTCAGGGAGTAACAAACAAAAAAAAGCATTTAAAGTTACGGTCAGAAAATTCCAGTATTGTACTCTGGTGACACAGCTGTATCATCGCTACGTTACACTTCACGACGTCCACACGTCGATGCCACTAAAGCGCTACGGCTGAGCACTTGAGAGGGACTTTAAAGTAATTTTTCTCAATGACAATGCTCAAACGCATGTCAAGACAGCCATAAAAACCACAATACAATGGTGGATTGATATACAGTGTCTAAATGCGATGGCATCTCAACATGCCTTACAGAAAGAGTGCGTAGGCTTATTTTATAGAGAGGTAGTCATAGGCAGGGAGAAAAGGGAAGGTTTTGAGCCTGGACCTGGGAGACATAAGCACTGCATGGGTGGGAGAAGGGAACTCTAGGCTGTAGACTATCCGGGGTCGGTAAACCCCAATTGTTTCATCTCGTCACAGTCGTGAGATGTTAACTACCTCGCCTGGTATAAAGGAGGTTGTGGGTTCAATCCCAACCCTGACACCTGTATATATGGAGTTTGCATGTTCTCCCCGTGGTCACGTGGATTTTTCTCCAGGTTCTCTGGTTTAGATCGTTTCGCTGCTATACATTTCCAGATGATAAGCCACTTCATTGAGCTATCATTTGTGGCCAGGTTGCTTCTGAAAAAAGTTATATAGCTCAATGGGCCTTACTTGGTAAGAGAAAAATTGTGAAAGTCGAAGTTTTTTTTATAGACTACTGAGGCAGCAGAGGAGAATGAGCAACCTCCCACCAAAGGTTAACTTGGGACTTCGAGAAAAAGCTTTGGTTGCTGGAGCCTTGGAGTGTGTGGAGGAGAGTAGAGTGAGATGAAAGGGGAGAGGTAGGGAGAGTTCGGGAACTGGGGGTAGAAAGATGGCAAGGGATAGGTGAGCAGGGTCAAGTCCACGGACAATCTTGACGACAGCGAGTGCGATCTTGAAATTTCCCTGAGATTGGGTTGAGAGTCCGTGGAGGGATGAGAGTATTGGTGTGATGTGGTATTATGGCTACAAGAGAAGAGTGGGTTCATTTTTTGGATTGCATCTTCCAGAACTCGCACTGTGTGACATGCTGGATGTGAGAGTGACGTGCAGACAAAATAAGACTCCAACCAAAAAGACTCCGACCACAACTTTGTTCCTGTCACGCCGAAAACGCAACACCTCTTAAGTCACGATGGGATTAGTAAGCAAGCCGTTAAGCTCCGTTGTTCTGTAATTCGTCCCCCTCTCCTGCTTAATTGCTCGGATTTCCCCTGCACGCCTCGGCCCAATTACCGAAACGACCGCCATTGTGTCCGCAACAGGGCAGGTGGCGTGCCGTAATGAGACCACGAGGCGTGGAGGGAACCGCGGCGCCACGGCCACGTTGGGTTCAGTGACACTCCAGTCAATAACAATCACCACCGGCGTGCCGTTTGCGGGCAATAACGCATCTGCTGGGGAAATGTTGTTCTGCACGTTAGCGCCTAAACGCGCCGTCGTGACTTGTAGCCACTGCGGGCACCACGCTGCTGGATTTCACTCGAGCAGCATTCCCTCCCAGTAATGGGGGCGAGCATTGGGCACTTAACAGTTTTCCGTTCCCCACCGTCTGGCACCTCGGTGAGCAGGCACGACTTGGGATCACGAAGTGATGCCGCGCAACCCTCACTCACCTCGTTGAAGGAGGGGAGGTTGAGTTTCTTGGCGAGAAACTTCTTGAGATGCAGAACTGTGGCCTGTGACGAACAGCGAATCCATTTGCGCTTGAGGGTTTTCAGCTTGCCGCTGTGACACTCCAGGCACACGCTCACCTGCCGACGGGAGGCGAAGTTCGTGGGTCATGTGACCGCACAGACCATGGGGGGCGCTTATTTGTAAACGATATTTGTGACGATGTCAACTAAATTGCTTTTCATCTTGGTTGACGATGACTGTGCGTGGATGAATCTCATGAGGCATGAAGTGACGATGACTACGGCTGCTGAACACAGACCAAAGCGTTACTGTGAGGAGAGGGAATTAACGAGACTGAATGAAGACGTATGCTGAAATAATTTAGAAGCGTTATTAGAAACCGCAGTGCACTGATCGAGACCAAACATGGTAATTGGCTATACGTGTGTATAATTGGCTAAAAGATTTACCGAGTTCACCGATAGGTTTACCTGTTTCATATTGTGGGGATAGAACAGCATGCCTCTAACACCGACAATTAAAAACTCAGATTGTTTGACTCAATGTGTGATTGTTTTGGTCTACTCGACTAAGAGATTGACTCCATGAAACCCACACACTGAGCCTCGACAAATGCTGAACACATTGTCGTTGACTCAACTAACATTGCGACTCAAGTAAAAACACTGACAAAATGAACACTTCTAGATTTGAAGCTTTCGTGACTGCAAGGATTCATACTCTTTGGTTTTTTCGGTAAAGTCACGTAGGTAAAATAAAATAAAAATAAAAGAAAACAACTAAATTAAATCACGTTTTGGAGGCAACACAAGCTTCCGTCTTCAGGTGGAACAGACAGCAAAATTAGCTGTATCAAGTGAACAGCTCTGGGACACACGGGTTTATATACAGGTTAAGGGGGGGGGAGGAGCCAGGAAGGGACGTGGGTGGGGAGGGGGGGGCTAAGTTAAGCCGCCTTTTGTTATTCTGCAGGGGGTTCTGGGGGAGGCGGTGGTGTACTTGCACGTAAAACGACCTTTTGTTATGCTGCAGGGGGTTTGGGGGGAGGGTGATGGCGTGCTGTACGAGAGCGAGTACAATCCTGGTAGAAACGGAAATGGGTGTATAATTATAAGCCAGTTAAAGTTTGACTTGGTTGATGACATCTTTCCAGAAGTTGCTCAATTTAAAACCATCCTCTCGGTTGAAGTTGTGTCTATGTTTGTATATCTGGATGGCTTCATGGACAAATCTCTGGTAATAACCGGGAGGTTTGCATAGTACTTTGGTATCGGAGAAAACAATGTCATGAGAACCCGCTGTGTTGAAACAATGATCAGCCACGGCCGAATAATTCGTTCTGCCGTTTTTCAAATCTGATTTGTGCTCGCAAATTTGGTCAGAAATATGTCGTTTCGTCTCCCCGATGTAGCAGTCACCACAGGTACAACTCAATTTGTAAACACCGGGGTACTGTAAGTCAGGAATGACATCCTTTACGGATGGGATCAGATCACGGATTTTGTGTACTGTATTGAACCGGACCTGGATCTTGTGTTTGCTAAGAATTTTGGAAATCTTTTTGGTAACGCCTGCTATGTATGGCAGTATGATGGTTTTGATCGGAGTATCAGGTGGTTGTTTCTGTATGGTGGGAGAAACAGCTTGGCGGATAGTACGGTCAGAGTATGTAAACATGAAGTCCACCCACACAGATTCATACTTGAAGCCTGATTCCCACCACCACCTGGCTCAAAAGAATTCTGTCATCAAAAATTATACCATCGGGCTCATTGCATTTCTGACCAACACCACCTGGCCAGTGAATCAAAACATGTACATCTGGCCCTCAAGATGAACGGATACTCTGACCGTACTATCCGCCAAGCTGTTTCTCCCACCATACAGAAACAACCACCTGATACTCCGATCAAAACCATCATACTGCCATACATAGCAGGCGTTACCAAAAAGATTTCCAAAATTCTAAACAAACACAAGATCCAGGTCCGATTCAATACAGTACACAAAATCCGTGATCTGATCCCATCCGTAAAGGATGTCATTCCTGACTTACAGTACCCCGGTGTTTACAAATTGAGTTGTACCTGTGGTGACTGCTATATCGGGGAGACGAAACGACATTTCTGACCAAATTCGCGAGCACAAATCAGATTTTAAACACGGCAGAACGAATTCTTCGGCCGTGGCTGATCATTGTTTCAACACAGCGGGTTCTCATGACATTATTTTCTCCGATACCAAAGTACTATGCAAACCTCCCGGTTATTACCAAAGATTTGTCCATGAACCCATCCAAATATACAAACATAGACACAACTTCAACCGAGAGGATGGTTTTAAATTGAGCAACTTCTGGAAATATGTCATCAACCAAGTCAAACTTTAACTGCTTATAATTATACAGCCATTTCCGTTTCTACCAGGATTGTACTCGCTCTCGTGCAGCACGCCATCACCCTCCCCCCGAACCCCCTGCAGCATAACAAAAGGTGGTTTTACGTGCAAGTACACCACCGCCTCCCCCAGAACCCCCTGCAGAATAACAAAAGGTGGCTTAACTTAGCCCCCCCCCTCCCCACCCACATCCCTTCCTGGCTCCTCCCCCCCCCTTAACCTGTATATAAACCCGTGTGTCCCAGAGCTGTTCACTTGATACAGCTAATTTTGCTGTGACTGTTCCACCTGAAGACGGAAGCTTGTGTTGCCTCCGAAACGTCGTGATTTAATTTAGTTGTTTTCATTTATTTTATTTTACCTACGTGACTTTACCGAAAAAACCAAAGAGTAAAAATGAACACTGATCTGCAAGCTTCTCTCCCTCCTCACTCGATGCTTAACGCCATGACACACTCGGGCAATTTTAAGGCCAATTTCCAAAACAATTATGTGACAGCATCTGTCGTACATAATCAGCTACCAATAATAAATGAAAATAAATAGTTCTCCAAATCACTGGGCTGCTCCTTGTTGCGTTTGCCGCCTGCCACCCAGGTCACATGTGGCAGTGAGGTCTGAGCCCAATCACATTTGCCACTCTGGTGCATTGTAAGGGAACAAGCTACCAGATACAAATGCAGCCATCATGCATCCTGATGTTCTGAGGCTTTTGTGATAGATGGAGAAACTGAGACAGCGCGGAGAGAACGACGTGTGGTGGAGGTGCCGGGAAAGCGAGCGTCACACCTGCTCGTCCGTGCGGTGGTAGTCTCCGTCATCCTCCTCTCCGTTCTCCTCTGCCTTGGGTTTCCTCTCCGGCGTCTCCTCCCCATTCACCTCGCCTGCTCGCAGACACACAACGCCACCGCCGCCAGTGAGACACAAGCACGGATCCAGTGAGCTCAGTTAAGCAGCAGGGGTAGTGATGTGGTCCAGCTGCAGCTCGTTCATCACTTAAACTTTAAACATTTTTAGTTATTTTACCAGGTAAGGCCCACTGAGCTGTATAGCTCTTTTTCAGAAGCAACCTGGCTATCACAAATAATAGTTCAATGAGGTGGCTTACCATCACATAGCCAAAATACTTTAAGCGCATGTTTATTCTAAATGTAGAAGGGAAAAACCGGAGGACCCGGAGAAAAATCCACACGACCTCATGGAGAGAGAGACATGAAAACTCCAAATATACAGGTGCCGTCAGGGTAGGGATCAAACCCACGACCTCCTGTATACCAGGCGAGGTAGTTCACACCTCGCCTGGTGTAACATCTCAGCGGCGGACCTGATCACTACTGCGTGTATATAAACCATAAAATACTACGCGCCGTGTGCCTCACAGTGCCAGAGGAGGCCATCGTGTGCCAGCGGCGTGGTGCAGATTTGTAAAATTTGAAAATTGAACCTGAAAAATTACTCAACTTGAATTAACAGAGCAGCTATCATCACCCCCTTCTGTGAAAACCTGGTAGGATCCTCATGATAAAAAAAAACAATTAATGAGACTCACTGGGGATTTCCTTCATTCACAAGGCAAAAAGAAAAGGAGCATATTATATTAAGACATAAAGAGCAAAAAAAACCTGTCAGATCATAGATGCACGCCTTGGCCATGTGTTCCTTGGTGTCCAACACAGGTCTCACGCTAGATTAATTATTTAAACCAAAAAAATATTTAAACTTGCGGACAGATGCAGGATTATAGTCACTCTCTTGTCAAACAGCCTGGGACAGACACGCGTCTACGAAAATGGTGCTGTTTTATTTTTGAGTTGAGCTTTATATGTAATAATTTGCAGCACTTTCTTTTGGTAGTGGGGATTTTTTTCTTACCATAGTTCACCACGGTGGTCATTGTTGGTTGGCGTGGGGGGGGGGGAGGCCCCCCAGGACTAGTTTGGACATCACTCGGCGACGACACGAGCCGTGGCTGGGGATCAAACTCGGGTCACCGGGTTCACGGTGCATCGCGCCAACCGCTACGATGCACACGTCGTGGGCATGTCCTTTAGCCAGCAGTGGATTTTAGCAAACGGACTGGACATGATTTACATTCAGTTCGCTCTGCCACCCCTACAATGCTGCGTTTGTGTCCGTGGCACAGATGGCTGACGTGCAGCGTAAACGGCAGCACGCGCCCCCACCCCCACGCAGGGACCATCGGTCTATTCCTAAGCCTCACAAACCTTCAACCTTAATGCAACCCATTTTATCGGTGCCAGGGCCACGCTGCACCACTGCAGCTTCGAGCACGCTTCAAAGCAAAATTGGGAAAATGCCCCTCCGGGAGCCGGCGCTGTCCGTGTTGTGCAACCTTGAGTGTTTTTTTTTTTAGAAAGTGTTGGCGCCGAAGTGGCCATCTGGATTGGGGAAGGGGAGGAAGATGAGTGAGGGGGTAATATCGTGTCCGAGCACCGAGCCGGCACCACTGAAAACGCTGGGTTCGAATCCGGGTTTCATGCGCCTGCGATCGAAACTGGATTTCTCAGGTGTGGCAAGTTGATTATCTCAGTCTTAACAGCCACAAAAGAAAAGCTCCTCTCATGTCTTTCCCCCAACGATTCTGGATATGTGCGCCACTGGTTTTATGAATTATTTATTTCGCACCGTACGTATCCAACTGCACTAATCGGTTCCTGCATGCCCCAGGTGCTGATTCTACCTTGGTGACTTTGCCCATTGGCTGCTGTGCACAGTCCAACTGGACTGTCTCCTTGGACCACAGCAGCAGGTGTAAGACCTCCTTTGACAGCCCTTGCCTTAAGATGGTCTCTGTCCCTCAGTGGCCATGCCGTCAAATAAGATCCCTCTGGGAGGCCGTTTCCTTGCAAAAAAACTGGAATTCTCCCGTTGCAGGGGCTGTCAAAATGCATGCGTGCGCAGATCCCAGAATGAAAAATAAACCATGCAAAAACTCTGCTTGGCACAGAAGTGATGCAGGAGCCCCAGGAAGTGCGTGTGTCGTTGTGTGTTGCAGAGATTTCTGGTGTTGCGTAGGGGATGGACAAGCGCTCAGAAGTTGAGGAGAGTGTTGACAGGCGCCGAGAGATGAGATGCATTCGGCAAGCATTCCCAACAGAAATGTCTTTGTCTCAACGCCGACGGCACAATTGGAATGGGATAAGAAAAACATTCCTCACTGGTTAGAAAGAAAAAAACAAATAAGCCAGCTTCCCTTTGCACAGTTAGGGATGAGAAAATGATCTTCCTCCGATCAGGCCAAGTTAAACCTGAACAGTTGAATGTGCTTACTTAGTTGATGTCTGCTTAGCCCCAGAGGTGGCTTCATCCTTTAAAAAATCCACTCACTTAGTCTATCAACATAAATCTGCCGTGGGAACCGCTCAGACGAGCGAGCTGAAACGGGGTACAATGCGTCCAGTACGCCGCGCGCAATAACGCCGCTGGCGCTGCCACCACCACCTTCACCGTGACAATGATGAGAGAGAGAGAGATGGCGCGCGCTCAGAATTTGCTGGTGTGGGCAGATATACTAACAATTTAACTTTAATGCCTCCCATCCGTGCCAATTAGCAATGTAATTAACCAGCATCAACATAAAGTAACACGAGCCCTGCCAGCACGCCACGGCGCCGACGTCGTGCCACAAATCGTCAAGTCTCCGCCAGATCACGCAATGGCACGTGGGTTTGTGTGCACGCCGCGCAAGCGCAGCGGGGGCATCTTCCATGCTGCACCGCCGCTGGGATTTACCCGTCGCGCCGACAATATATATAAAGGCAACTTGGGTGTCCAGAAGGCTCCACACACCAGGTATGAAAGACAAGGGTAGTAATTCGTGTCATGCAACAGCTATATATGCAGAGACGTCAGAAATGCCTTGGCCAAGAGTGCACGCAAATGCTGCTGGTGCTGTCAACACGGTGGTAGCACTGGGGCTTTTAGATAGGGCAGACTTCATGCACCATGTGCAACAAGTGTACATACACAGGGATTCCACTTGTTTTGAGGTTCCCAAAAATGTGTCTCTCACCCTCTGTACATCTGTCTGTGTGCGCATCTTTACGATGATTTGGTGCAGAAGCAACTGGAGCTACGTCGACTTGCAGACACCTGGTACTCGTGGTTTCTGTCCAACTGGTACTTGTGGTTTCTGTCCAACTTGATGAAGGCTCGTGAAGGACACTACAAATGTTTAGCTCCGGATGACCGCTGCAAAGTATGATCTTGTGTTTTCATTATAGTGTGCTGATCTTAAAGGTGCATTGAAATGTTTTGATACTCCTACTGATACTCCTGCTGTTATGGAGTGACTCATGCAGCCAGCTATGACTGCAAAGTTTGGTCGTACATGTTTATGTATTTCGTTTATTGTAAAATTTCAATCACAGTTCCTATGATCACTGTTACATTGCTTTCATAGCTTTATTTTGGTGATTTCGAAAACATTTTGGTTTAGCCATATTTGTTTGTTGTAGTACAGAGTTAGACTGATAACTTTAATATAAATTGTCTTATGGTTGTTATTGTTTGACTTGCATCCCACTGGGATTTTTGCACACAGCATTGATAAACAGTGCTTTTTCTGGAAGACTTTGCTGTTTTTTCCTGGATTTTTCTGTTTGCGCGTAGTCACTTTAAGATGTTTGTTGTTCATGTTTTTGTTTGCTGCGGTTGCACCCGATTCAAAAGCTCACAGGGCTATACCAAATAAATGAAACTGAAAAAAACTGAAGTGGGAAGCACTTTTCTTCCAGCACCGGAGTAAGGCACAGGAGTGACATCCACATAGCTTAGTGGGGCATGTGCCAGTCAACTCAGTCAATTAACCCATAACACCCTGGTCTGTCCCGTGAAGTACTATAGAGACTTTGGACACTTCACGTGGCCTCTAAGCACAGCTATCCTGGTAACAAGACCTGTGGTGACATCACCACAACTTAGTTGCTGTTATCTCTCGTTGCTTGTATGTCTGCATGAACCTCTCTCCATCTCTCCCCCGTGGCCGTATCTCTCTGTCTGTCTTTCTTTACATCCGTGTCTCTGTCGAGGTCTCTCTGCATAGCTCGTCATTGCCTATCTCTATGGCTCCCGCGCCCGTCTGCACATGGCCTGATTTAGCGCTGAGAGAGCCCTGTGCTTGAGCACAGAATTTTATACACATATTGCAAAAACAGACGGCACCATCTATGTAATATATACTCTCTGTCATTTGCTGCAGTGTCAGCAACACTTCACAAATTTAAAATCAATACTAATAATGCCCTTTATTTATCTTGAAAGCCTTAACGGGTCTCAAGACATTTTTCAGGACGGTCCAGCTGGGGTGTTTGTCCAATTCCTCTTTAATTAATTGACTCTTAGTTAATCCTTGACGGTGAATCATTGAGGGGGCTCTGCTTAGACACGTGGCCATGCACCATTGCAGGATTTGCTGACGGGTCGGTCCGACACCGTCAACAAAGTGGACGCAGGGTCAATTATAATAACAATTACAGCGGCATTGTTAGCTGAAATTGCAATTACACCACAATTGTAATTCATTACGGGATGACACGCTGACAATCGTTATTGACCAGGGGTGTTGCAGCAGCAAGCTGCCACCGTCAGCGCTGCCGCCACCACCAGACACAGTGGCCGCGACGCGCACACCTGTGGCCCAGGGCTTTGCAGGCAACGGTTGGTGGATCATGTAAGGATTTGTGAAACTCCCAAACCTGCTGGGATGTCAGGTGGCCAGGAGAAAGGCAGTCCAGAATTCTGGTTTTTAAATCTATTTATGAAGTGAAAACCTTTGAGTGGAATCCCCATGTATGCGTGTATTTTCTCCGGATACACCCAGTTTCCTACCAACATGCAAAACACTGGTTCAATATATAACATATGTTGGACAAACAACTCAAAGGGGTGACCCTCTTGCATAAGTAAAGAGATTCAATTAGGCTATTCTAGTTAAGAAATAAATGTCATTACTATTATTATTATTCAATGGGGCACTGCCTTTTCAAGGCAAGGGCGATTCTGTGCCTGCAGACCTGTGTAGCCGTACTGGATGGAGGCACCCATTCCAATTAAGATACTCTGATGCTCTGCAAGAGGCAAGACAAAATGTGCTCCCGTCACCAACTCGCACTGATCAGCGCAGTGAAGTATGGTGAAACTCAAACCCTCAAACGGCAGACAATTGGCATGGGGAGCCCTTCGTCCAGCAGTGGGTAACACCGTGACGGAATGATGATGATGACAATAACGAATAAATTGAGCAGCGACGTGTGGCTTAGTGCGAAGTCACGTGGGGACCCCCGAGGGAATGCTGGGGAGTGTGGGGAGGAAGGTGCTATAAGGGTTTTGGAGAAAGTGGTTTTTGAGCCATTGGCTCAAAAATTGCCTATTGGTACCAGCCAGGGTGGCAAGTGCAAACAATGATCTTATTGAAGTGTTTGATCTGTACATCACAAACATGTATGATAGCAATATCACAGTAGTAGCTTTTTTTATGGCAACAATGTCATTAAATAGGTACCATAGTATATTCGATAGACAATATTGTTTTAAATACAAAACGACGCAATGTGAAAAATGATAAGAAATAGGAAGTATGTGTGTATGTACGTTGAAATTATTTTGCACCCTACGTAACCAACCACACTAATCGGAGGTGTTGGTGAATGTATAAGGAAGTGCATTTATACGACAGACAGTATACACACCAAGCTTTCTGCCCATGGTAGATAGTGCCCACGGTGGAAACTAATAACATTTGCTACCCCAGGTGGTACTGACCAACCCCACCCATGGCTCGGAAGCTCAAGGGGAAAACACGGGTGGGGAAAACACAATTCTCACCTTTAGCGTCACCTGGCATCTCCAAGCCGCGCGTCCAGTAGAATTCCCGCTGTCGCTTCATCTCCGCTGCACAAAAGGGGATGCGATGGGAGTTATGGAACAGCAGGCGACAGTCACGGCTGTGTGCTGGGACGCCAGCGTTGGAGGGGCTCAGAGTCAGCGTCGCTGCGCTCAAGGGGTTAAAGGTTAACGAAAAATGTGGCGCGTTTGACGGTCCTGGCACGGTGGAAAGTGATCCGACTCCTTTAGCGACGTCCATTAAAACTAAATTCGTACCCGTCAGGAGTGAGATGTGCAGTGCTTCCAAAGAACACGTGAACAGTATTGTCGCCAATGTCACTAAACTTCACTGGTTGATTCCTCTACCCATGGTGAGGACTTGGTCGACCAGACTGACCGATTCATCTCACCGATTCATCTCACCACCACCCTACTACAAGTCAAAAGACATCTTTTTATTGATTTGAAGCTTTCGTGACTGCAGGAATCCATACTCTTTGGTTCTTTCAGGAAATCACGTGACTTTACCCAAGGAACCAAAGAGTACATCTCTTTATGCTTCTTAACTCGCACTGCTCCGCTTTGGGATGCTCTCAAAATGTATCTCTTCCATGTCTTCAGAGTAACTGTTCTCAATTCAAGAAACGTCTGCTAACTCTTAATCGCTTTAAAACTTTTATAAGTGCCATTTTGTTGAGGGCCGCTTGACGTTTAGGCCTTTGCCAACTAAGTCAATTTGGCATAAGTGGGCATTCCTCATTTCCGTTCGCAGTCAGAGATGTGAAATTCCACATTATCACAGAGAGACCCAGCTAATCTATTGCACCACCTCTACTCAGGTGCCATGTATTCAGTTAAATGTGTGTGGGAAAACATAATGAGGGTCGTGACCTTGCAAGATGACGCAGGCAGCCAAACTTGTAAGTGGCGATGACAACTTTTTCAATTAAATCGCAGCGTATAACCGTTCAGCTGGGCAAACATTGTGGTTTTTAAGACCGTTATATCATTTAATGCAGCACTCCGCATCCATTCTACATATCTGATGCATGTTCTGGAAATAACATCATAACCTGGGATACCATCATCATCATCGTTAACATTGTTACCAGCGTGGTGGGGCCGCACGCAACGCGCTGTTCACGCGGCGAGTTCGGCGAGAGACTCACCTTCCTGCAGACCCGGCACGAGTTTGTAGACAATGTCCTGCATGGTGCGATCATGCCTGCCAAAACATAAACACGCGTGCACACATAAGAACGCGCGTATGTGCGACTTTTCATCACATTCCATTCAAACGCACACGTACTTCCCCCTCTTTGTAAATCCAAAGCTCAAGGAGGGCATCTTTGTGGTTCGCAGATCGTGAGAGTTATTTGACCGTGATTCATAATTGAGTTTTGGGTTAGGTCACTGAATGATCTCGTCTAATCTGTATCAAGAAGAAACCTCCACCACCCGCCACAGTCAAACAATACTAATTTGTCACTCATGCAAGCGTTTAAACCACCACCAATTATTATTGTCTCAGCTCACCGGTGAGTTGAGGAATAATGATCACAACCCAAGTTTCGCAAATAGACACGTGACGGTTGGTTTGAGACTATGTCAAATACCACCGGGAAAAGGTCCACAAAGTCAAGAGTAATGATCTATAATCCAGGTTTTTTTATGTGCGAGATCGCGTAAATATATAAATGTGTCATTAAACCCGCCACCACCCGACACAGCCAATTAGTAAGAGATGTCACGTAAACAGAACGTGGCCAATTCGTCACTAGTACAGCACACCGGTGTGTTGGAGAGCCAAGCCACAACATTTACAGAGTACGACGTTTCGCCAGTAATTACAACTAGCTTCATTAGGTGACAGCCAGATTTGTGGAGAAGTCCACCTGTTTCGTTCGGATTGATCATGGCTGATGATTATGATACTGATTGTTGGTAATGTTTTGAAACTCAAGTTAAAGATTCAATATGCTTTCTTTCCTCTTGATAGCAAAATTATGACCGCCAATGGCTTAGATATGCAGTGGTTGGTTTACAATATCGACATAAAAAGTGCCTTGGCCACGAAAGATATTCCATTAAATGTTCAAAGAATTAATCTGTGCTCCGAGTACTACTTTACAATTGTGGCAGCTATAGAATTTAACACCGAAATATGAATTCTCAGCTTTAAAAAACTAAACTATTATTTTAAACAACACGAAGCCATTCGAGAATATGAAATATGAAATCAATCTAATTAATTATAGGCCATCCATATACAAATATAGACACACATGTTGTAATATCACGACTATAAAAAAACAAAGATACCCCATATAGCCTTAACAGATTGTTGGGGTAAGTGCTGTTAGCGAGTAGTACCGATGAAGGCTGGCACGGCACACGAGGGGGTGGATGGCGATGTTTAAACACCGCACCCGGTACTCATTTGCGGCAGAGTCGACCTAGGGGAGGCCCATGACTAGTTCAGATAAACGTCACTGGTGTTGGCCGTGAGCGGGAATCGAACTCGGGTTGCGGGGTTCGTAGGGCAGCATGCTAACCACGACGTGACCGCCCCCCACTATATACACTATAGGCTATATACACACACACACACGCGCGCAGTATTTTTAGGCCCTGTGCAGCATGTTACAGTGAGGTGTAGTATTGTGCAGGACTCACTATGCCACCACACTACCCCGTGAATTAGGCACAGCGAGGGTTTATGAGCGGCACGAGTGTGCGTGTTATTAACATTTCACCACCACTAATCATATTCCGGGGATAAATTACCCATAGCCTAATTGTTTATGGACACCGGCAATTTTTTTGTGAAAAATTATTTTCAGTTTTAAAAAGTTTTTCACACTACCGATGAACATACTTCATTGCTGGAAACAGTGATTATTAGGTAACACATTGATGCAGATTTTCCAGAGTAACATGTTTTTCCTCTGAGACTTTTATCTTCTCTGCTGACGATGACCGAGTGCTCTAATATAAAAATGTTCGCTAGATTGATGCGTTTGCCTTGTGTTTGGGGCGATTTCCCATGATGCACATGTCCTGCATCCGTACCGCAGCGCCTTGAGATGCAGCTTGCGGTATCGACGGCAAACAAATCCAAATTTAAATTGTGGTCTGTGCTCATTGCACAATTGTTAATCGTTAAAAACAGCATGGGCTCTGCGCGTCGCAGTCTTTAGGCAGGACGATTCGTTAAGTTCGTGCCACTCTCATCCTAACTGTGAACGTCAGTTTGAAGATCAAGAGGTCATCGCGAATACCAAGGTCACAATTATTCACCTCCCCCCCCCCCCACACACCCCCCAACAAGGTAATTCGATTAATTAGTTGCGATTCAGAATCTATTATTTTCTCAACGTGACACCTCCAGCGGCTGTAGTGTAGTCGTGTCAAACAATTACATACAACACAAACAAATCGAAAGACCGAATGCGTGAATAATGAGCTCATGAATAGATGTTAATTGATTCATTGATGCATCATATCAACCCCAATCGCAAATGACTCCCTCTAAAATTCCCCCCCCACCACCACCACCACCGCCCAGATTAGGTTTTTCCCCTGGCCTCTTGATTCTGGGTACCACGCCACTTTTCAACTTCTAAGTTGTTTTATTTTTTTATTTAAAGCTTTCGTGACTGCAGTAATTCATATTCTTAGCTCTTTCAGTAAAGTCACGTTGAAGGGAAACAATAAAATCAGAAAATATATATAAAAAATAAAAATTCTCACATGTGGAAACCCTCCCCGTAGAGGCGGTTACATTTTGATTTAAAGCTTTCGTGTTTAAACCAGGTGAGAACTCGAAAGACCAAGAAGAAAGTCTAATTTGCAACAATGACCTGGGTCACAAAAATTACAAAGGAAAAACAAATTCAATTCAGACCAAAAAACGACTCGAAAAAAAACGACTTAATGCATTGAAAATATTGCAAATGTAATTCCCTGCAGAGCAAATCGGCTTGGGCAGATTACCTCCAGATCGAACACAACACATAAAAACAAACTATGCTACGGAAATTTGAACATGAAACAGATGTCGGGTGAAATTAGTAAGAATATGTAACCAAACGAGAATATGGGTCAAATGCAAATTAGGTTATCGTAAAGAATCAACAGCTCAGCATCACAATGTTAATCCGATGGCAGAAGAAGCAAGGGCACCGGTGAAATGGTGGAACTCCACATGTTTGAGGCATTCACAGAGAAACATTCCCAGTGTTCTCGCTGAGTCTATGGGCTGCTGTGTAAGTCGATGACCTCTGTGTATGCCTATGGGTCTCTGTGTGAATCTATGGGTCTCTGTGTGAGTCTATGAGTGTCTGTGTGAGTCTTTGAGTGTCTGTGTGAGTCTTTGAGTGTCTGTGCGAGTCTATGGGTCTCTGTGTGAGTCTATGAGTCTATGGGTCTCTGTGTGAGTCTACTTAAAACAATGGAATTCTACGTATGGGACATTCACAGAGACCGACTGAACTACGTGGGTTTTGTGTTCTTCATACAGTGCGTTTTAGTGCAGCGGAACGTCTAAGGTTGAGGATTTTGCAATGACAAGAGCACCAGGTCGGCCGGACTATCTACATGAAACGTTTCTAACAAAATACCCCTGCAGAAGCACCACGTTGAGGCATATTGTGTATATTGTTCTTTCACACCACACAGAGTCAACAGTTATAATTAGAGGTGCGGAAAAAGCACACCAAACTAAACACAAAATGCAGTTCTAAAGATGTGAGTTGTGCAATCTAGATTTTAAAGTGCATAGCTCCAGTGGCTTTCTAATATCAGAAGGAAGAGTGTTTCAGATGGCCGCAGAAGCGCACCTGAAAGCGTGCCATGCAGTGACTGTCTTTGTTCGATGGTTAGCCAAAAGCCGCTGCGAGGATGAGTGGAGTTTGTTTGATGGTTTATGGTCATTGAAGAGATTACCGAGGAATTTTGTGCAACATAGGGGTGCCGCGGGATCAGCTTTCACGATGCAGTATCAATTACCATATGGTGATTACCGCAAAGACCGTTCCCCATAACTTTGTAAATGTAAACTTTGTAATTGTATTTAAGCAAACCATTTAGTGATGCTGCTGCTGCTGCATTGGCAGTGGTGCACATCAGAATGAACAAAAACACAGAACTCAAAACATTCGTCAATAACACAGTGGCCTTAAAATAGTTTTTTTTATATACGTATGTCACGTTTTGGGAAATGGCCCTTGTGGTGCTATGAAGAAGGGCTATTGCCTGAAACGTCGGCGATTATATGTTTTTTTTTCTTTGAAGAGAGTGTGGTAAAAGCTCACTGAAAATGTGTTCAACTGCAATTGACTCAACATATTCTTGTCCCAAGTCTTCTGCCGATCTCATCAAGGAGCATAAACCATCACGCAATCTCCTGTTCTTCTAATAATTGCGAATTAAAAAATGCGTAATACTTAAAATGCACATCCTGTAAGTCACAATAATACTAACAATAACAAGAGATGAACTACGAAAATTATTAAATCGAGCACCCATACACACCGTGGCTCAAGAGATGCCAGTCAATCAGTGGGCACCAACAAGTCGGGCAGTAACATCGTGTCCATTGGCACAAACCGCCGGGCAGCGTCAATGAACTGGGGTCATTCGGGAACTTAATGAATCTCTGTAGCGGTAGGGACCCTCGCTATATTCATCCCCCCCTTTACTACCATCATCAAAGCAGCAAACGACCCAATGGTGATAATAACTGGGCAGTGAATCATAAGAATTATATATTGTCTATAAAAGCCTCACCGAGTCTTGAGACTCTTCTGTACCGCCCAACATTGAGATACTTGGTCAATTCCATTAAAGAGTGTTTGGTTTAATGTCAGAGGAAACAGGACCGGCAGGAGAAAACCCACTCACTAATTAGGATAATGCTCAAAGGTCCTCACAAATGGATAAAAAAATATTACTATCTACTGTCGTTTTTCTGGCCACCTCGCATCCTCAGTGGATTTGGGAATTTCAAATATCTGTAGGCATTCCACCAAGCGTTGGATTAAAAGCGTGCGCTACCAGGCGTACGGCGAGTTAGCACTTAAAATATCCACAAGAACCATGTGCGCTACCTGCCACCTAACAGCCAAAACTTATAACACCTGGCATTTTCAGATTGATTCCCAACCCAAGTACTAGCCAGGCTGAGTCAGAGTTTTCTTTACTTGACCAGCAGATTAAATAAACCCAATGGGTCACGTAAAAAAAGTTCCCTCTCTAGCAAGGTCTCAGCTCTGCCTGGTTAATACATATGTACACAGCACATGCAATTTCGCATGGCCTGCAGCACGTTGCCACCTTCTCCCTGCCGCCTCACTCCATCTCAATGATTGGCCTGCCCCTCTCTATAATTCCTCCAGCCATGATGAAACCAGGAGCAGGACCCTGCCCGGTTCTGCCCCATACCAAATGCGCAGGTCTGTGCCATCACACCTGCTTCAAGATGATTCCGCATGGCCCCAGAGGTGCGCAACATTTATCTGTGCAACATCCATCCCCAGTAGCCGGCTAGACACGAGATTCACTAAGAATTACCGTCAGCACCAGCTGCGGCTGCCCAAGTGAGTTGCTGCCTCGCATTCTGTCCACCCACCGCCAAAACTGGGGTGCAATGGAGTTTGGGCGATCACTTATTCACAGGAATATATCCCGAGTGTAAAATAAACAAACAGATAAATAAATAAATGTGAACGTAGTGTTATCTAACAGGATGTGTGACATCAAACCTAGTTGACACCGGCGCCGTGTTGATGCAAACTGCTGTATGATGACGCAGCGATGCTGGCACGCAACTCATTCAAACCACAGCCACTCGTCAGCCGGGTCGACCACTCCACACGATGTGGGCAATCGACAGCTACGCGTGTAACGGCGCGTCGATTCGTCGATTGACATGGATACTCACGCTCCTGATTCGTGCATTAGTTGTGCAAGTATAAATTGTTTCTGAATCGTATGACCATGGTAGCAACCCCTAAACATCCTCCGATTCGGCTGAAATTTTGCAGCTATGCATAATTCAGCAGGAACAAGAAACAATCCCAATCACAATAAGGGTGGTCCTTAGTTAAATGATTTATAGACATCGTTACACACGATACAATAAGTACAAATAACATGAATGAACTGAGGCCAGCCCTTGGAACAAATTAGTTTTTGAAAACATATTTATTAATTATTTAAATTCTTAAATGGGGATGACAAACCTTGGTCACAAAATGATACCTAATAATCATTGTATTATTTAAAAATAAAACAAATTATTTAGTGATGCTGCATTTTGCTCACAAATCGTGCTCGATGATGTGGACCATGCCTACCCTGCTAGTGTCAATGGATCACGACATCTGGAGGAGCAATCAAAACGGCCCATTGATGGATTAGCGACTTCTACCATTGGCAGTGGTGAACAGGTACAATGAACAGTTGTAGCAGAGCTCAGAGCATGTATCAAGCAGAGCAGGGGAGAGCGTGTGACTCACCCGATGTACTGCGTCGGATGGCTCTGGTGGATGACGATCTTGCATGTGGGACAGGTGTTGTGGTCCTCCAGGTATCTCACCAGACAGCTCTTGCAGACTGTGGCACCGTCATGCGGAGCCGGCAACAGCACGCACAACCACACCGCACCACACACAGCCACACAGCGCACAACCACACCGCACACAGCCATAGTACGCACAACCACACCGCACCACACAGCACACAACCGCACCACACAACCACAGCACGCACAACCACACCGCACCACACACAGCCACACAGCACACAACCACACCGCACCACACAGCGCACAACCACACCGCACCACACAGCGCACAACCGCACCACACACAGCCACAGCACGCACAACCACAGTGCACACAGCCAGAGGACGCACAACCACACCGCACCACACACAGCCACGGCACACACAACCACAGTGCATCACAGCACATACCGCATAGCACCACACACAGCCAAACCGCACCACACACAGCCAGACCACACCAAGCACATGTATTAATACCTATTAATTACTCACAACAGAGCCATCATCACTTTAGAGAAAAGTACTCATCGCTAATTGCCGAGTAAACAGCTGGCCTATTAGGGACATGAAAACTACATTTTAGGCAGAGACCAATGAAGAGTCTTACTTTAGCAGTTAAGCTCATTTATCCTCTAATGCAGCCACTTGGGCTGATACTGGACAAATGTGTGAGTGTAGTGGTACTATTAAAGATGATACCAGGAACATAACACCTGGTGGTTAAAGATGCCACATTTCTACAGACGGCAGAAACTGTGACGAGTCTGTTCTAGTATCTGCAAACCACGTTCTTGTAAGGTGGAACTGTCAAGCATGCAGGCAGTGCAACTGCACCAGGACCCACATGGCTATAGGAGCCTAGGCATTGGTCCACGAAGAACAAAGAGGGGGGGGGGGCAGGCAGATATTGGACCCCATTTCATTCCTTGTAACAGGTGCCATGCCAGCCACGCGACGGACAATGCTGATGACGCAGCCCAGCTTAGCCGGAGCCGAGTTCTGGCCCACGGCCCCATTGCTTGATGGTGCTACTCGCTTAGAGCCGGGATAGTCCCAAAGGAGTCAGTAGCGGAGATACGGGGTCAACGCAGAAGCGAGGTACATGCTCCGTGATATCGCACGCTTGGTTAATAACGAAAATATTCTCGGCAGTGTTCGTGTATACCATTCAAAATTACAGATATTGCAGATGTTCCACCATATAAATTAGACTAACCTGACCACTGACTAAAGTACAAAAAATACTTTAAAGATTGCTTCCTAATCCCCACCCCTGCCGACACAGAGGGGGGGGGGGCAGACTGATGAATCCTTTATTTGAAACTTTATTTAAAAGAGGCAAGAGCCTGCTGCTGTCGTTCTAACAACCAGTGGAGATAACCTACACGAAGTGACTGAAGGACTTCAGAAAGAAGGCTCAAAATAAATCATGTACAACAAATTTACTAAACAATTGAAGATATTTGTTGGAGGAACACAACTGGAAAGCAGATAGGAGTACATGTACCTAAGACGGTTATTGTAGGCAGACCGGGATTGATATCATCAACTAATGAGATGGACACGAGGCAGCTTGGAGTGCTGGTGGCAAATTTTACTTAATCATGAAAGCAATGTAGTGATGTGCCTAAAGAAGAATGTTATTAATCATGGTATATTCCCATGCTATGCCACATTGATCAGAGAACACATGCAAGTCAGAGACATCACATCGACTATTAAGAAAAGTAAGTAGGTTTGGGCAGGATGCGTCACTCGGAGGGATGACGGCCAATGATCGAGACTAACGACAGAGTGGCAGCCAAAGGAGGGAACCCGGCAGACAGGATGTCTACCGCAGAGGTGGAGCGATGGAGGAATTAGATAGATTGTTGCATCCCAGGACCATGAGTTGGCTACGAATGGTGCGAAACAAGTTCAACATATGTACATACATGAGATATTGATGGCTTGGAGGGGCAGCATCTATCTCTCTGTCTTGACAGTGGAACGTAGCCAGTGTTGTTATGAAGGGGGTGGGGAATATCGAGCTGGAGAGGGATGAGCCCATGGAGCCTCATGGCTCATGTGGAGCGAGGATTTCAACCGCCTGGGTGCTGTTGCTGATCCGAGGCCAGTGATGAGCTCTCATCAATTGTGGAAATGAGGCGTAAGGATCACAGTATTGCAAATGGCTCATCAGTGTGTGCCAGAACTACCCGGTTATTGCATCAAGTGATTCCGGTGTGGGAAGGAGGATAATCAGAACCGTTCCCGTGATGACAACAATGGCGATGATGAAGAGCAGCTTCCGCGAGTCTCACTAAGGGTTAACCCCAACCCTAATCTCTCTTCAATCATGCCGTAGCTGTGCAAGTGCTCACTGAGATAGGAACTCAAGAGTGCAGTCTCTAAGAACTTTAACACAAACTTAACAATATGCTAGAAAAGTTGTGTATTTTTTGTTCTCCTTTTAAATCGTAAAAACTGCCAAAAAAAGCGGCAACAGCTTTTGAGCAACGGCGAGCAGCTGAGTGACTATGTGACCTGTCAAGCAGCTGAACGAGCGAGGGAGCGGGCCATTGACCGCGAACTGGTGAGCCGGTGGGCACTCACAGGTGTGTAGACACTCGGTGACCGTGGTGGCATCGATGAGGTAACCCCGACAGAGCGGGCAGGTGATGTGGGCGTTGAGCTCGCGCAGCTTGAGCTTGCGGGTGTACATCCTCCCTCCTCCTCCGCCCCACGCGGCCCTAACCCCACCGGCACCGGCAGAAAAAAAACACACGTACACAGTGATTAAGACGGACAATTAGAAAAACCGTATATGGGCAGAACGGTAAGTTCAGGAACGGGCACTGATGCTCATTAAACAAAAAGCAAGTGGATAGGTTGTGTGGTATGCCACTCAGCAAAAGGGGCATATTGGTAAAGTATGATAAAGCAGCACTGCATATCTACCCAATTGGTCTTTTCCACCATCTCCAATCCCTAATTTCCCCCTCTGTATCAAAAATTAGATCCCACCTTTCCCCCACGATCGTATTATGCACGTCTTCCTGCCTTAAGACGCTTTGTTAAGTGCAGAATGCACTCTATTTCTAAGGTGCGTGTTTCAAGCAGCCTAGGCGTCACTGATGAGTAAGGCACTGTGTGAGGTTAGATTTGTGATATTCATTTATTTCTCTATGAATGCAGTACTTAAAGCTACATTAATCTTAGTTGTCTTGTGGTTGTTGTTGTTGTTTGACTTGCATCCCACTGGGATTTTTGCACACAGCGTTGGTGTACGATGCTATTTCAGGAATATTTTGATTTTTTTTCCTGGATTTTTTGTTTGCAGTCACATAATCACTTTAAGATGCTTCTTGTTCATGTTTTTTGTTTGTTGCGGTTGCACCCGATTCAAGAGCCGAATGGCTCACAGGGCTATACCAACTAAATGGAACTATGAACATGGTGCTGCCATGGTGTCATGGGTTAGCATACTGGAATTGCGATCCAGCAGTCACCGGTTTGATTCCATCTCCCGACGCGACAGTCAAAATAATAGTGCAAGTATCTCCAATCCTCCCTCACCTCCTCTGTCCACCAAGTAATGAAAGTGCGTTCGCCACAGTTTACCGGCAGGTCGCTGGTGGTGGGGTCAAACGTGTGGGTACGCCCACCTCTTCCAACACGCCTGGCCAACATGGAGTAATCTTCTTGGTTCTTTTGGTACAGTCACGTAGAATTGAAATAAAATAAAACATTTTTGTTATTTTTTATTTTATTGTGTTTTATTTTTATTATTTTATATCAATTCTACGTGACTTTACCGAAAGAACCGAGAAGATGAATCCCTGCAGTCACGAAAGCTTTAAATCAAAATTTAACATGGAGTAAACCAAATATCCTCCAGAGTTGTCTCTAATAGAGGCCCTTCTGCCTGAAGTGGCATAAGCAAGCAATTGCAGGGCTGTACCTTTAACTTTCTTTGTCTCATCTAAAGTGAGACTGCCACTGGCACTGGAGCATGACAGAAAGGAGAGGTATCCTCTCTACCAGCTGATTAAAAATGACAGAGGTTGATATTAGTGTAGAATAGGACTAAAAGCTATGATTACAAACCTCAGTGGTCTGCTAAGTTGTGGAGATTGTATAAACGCGTGTGCTCACTGGACGACGCGTGGCTAATTGTGTGGCGGTGACCGTCGTTTTAATAGTCGCCATTTATAAAGAAACAATCTTTCAGAGTGCAAATTTACAGAAGTGGTGTACATTTTTTAAATGTTAAAGAAAGCAAGCTCTCGCGATAAGTCGTGGGCTGCAGGGTAAGAATGCTTTTAAAGAGAGAAGCATTGTGTTAAAGTAACGACGGAGGTAATGTTTGTATATTGCGCTGTCTGTGCTACACAAGTGTGTCTGTGTGACCATGCTAAAAGCCCCACAAAGTGTCCCGAGTGAAATACTAAATTCATCAGTCAATACTCCCAATATAGTACAGGAGCACACTGCATATTCGTCCGTCGCATATCCGCCCAGAACAATAAACCACCGGCACCCAGTGTACCATTCGCGAGTGGTGTAACTGTCATTTGACAAGATTTGGTTCACATATCTGACAATCTTCACACATTCGCTTATACCACAGTCCGCGGTGAGTCGCATGTGCGGTGAATGCGGCAACGTCGTTCAAAACATCGTATCAGCAGAAAGTACAACGGTTCGTGAACACACCGCGGCTTGTATTAATATTATGAGCGAGAGAAAATTAATTTTCCAAAACGGGCATGAAATTAAATTTGTACTCAACAAGAGGCAGTGATGTGTCCCGATAAAGGCAGGCACACAGCTGTCCATGGCCGCATTGAGAATGGTAACAGCAGATTTATACTGCGGCTGCCTCAAATGAGAAATTCTACCATCAAAAATGTACTCCACACAAACACACACATAAAATAAAAGAGCAATAATTAGCTTGCAGCATCTGTAAAGGTAGTGGGGTATATAATCCCAGGGCCCGTGGTTATCAGGTATGTAACGACGCATCGATTCATGGATTATAGATTTTTTTTTACACTCACAACATGTATGGAATCATGCGTGTAAGAATCAGTTATTTACAGGTTATGCTAATTGCGTGCAAATGATATGCAAATGTTACATTTAAGCTAATGGAGTGAAAAAAAGCCATACAAATGAGATAGAAGGAAATGCTCCTGCGTAGGGTTTTGCGGTTGTGTCGTGCAGCTATCCGATACGCTTGCGTTTTGTCGTTCAGCGCGATGTCTGAAGTTTCACTCCACGTACCGCGAATTTCATTCCTGGGGAAGGTCCCAGCATGGTGGAGTGAGACATCGGACATCACATCGAGCATGCAGTACAACCCAGAAACAGATCGGAGAAGAACCAATACGAACGAGATGGTACAAACCGGACAAATCTGAATCAAACCTCGAGTCAGGTCGGGACTCCCGACACTGTGAAAATTCGTTGAATCGTGGGATTGGTGGCGGTGCATCATTACACGCCTATTCCGTTGCGAATGGTGCATTAGATTGATATTATTACTGTTTAATATGAGGAATTCTATTTTCTCCAATAGATACACGCATACAAAATCAGAAAGACCGAAGCAACGTGCAGGACAAGCAAGGATGCTGCGGGTATACGATTTAAGGTGCAAATAATAACAATGCACCGCACACATCTCCCTCCCTATTGCTGCAAGTAGTAACACCCGTCTCCCACTGCAGAGGGCAATTGTCTTTTCCGCGAGTACGAACTGCAGACTGCTGATAAAATGTTCCTATTTGGAGAAACGTTGCCGTCGGATCCCACTGCAACACAGCCTTCTGAAGGGCATTTTGCAAACAGCCGATAGCGTACGGTGCGTTTTCATGTGGTTCGCGCAGTTCGGTTCTCCAATGTGTGTTCGTGTCTATAAGCACGTTGTGCTTTTCGGCACGATGTCTGAAGTTTCGCTCCACATGCTGGGAGCTTCTTCCTCTTCAAGAAATCGAATAGAATCGCAGGCTGGGAGCTTCTTCTCAATCAAATTCAGTTCCTGATTGTTGCTCCCGGCGAGTGCAGCGAAACGTTGGGGGGGGGGGGTAAAGTCAAACGATGTGCAGTACAACACGAATACAGACTGAAGAGCTGGCAGCGTGAAACAAATTCTCGGGAACCTCTCCTTCAGTTTGGGAGAGAAGTTGTAATGGGTGATGGCTTGAAGGTGGTCAGGAATGGCAAATTCTCCTATACCTGTTAGCTTCTCTAAGCTGGAAGCAGCCGCCTTCACTGTGTACCCATCTCAGAAGTTCAAGACGTGAAAACTGTTACAGACGTTTAACCAGCATATATACATGGATAAAAAATATGAACAATGATAGACAAAATGGAACAATAACTCAAAGTGCACAGTGAAGCATTGAGATATATATGCTTGGAAGTACATTGAGACAGAAAAAGGAACAATGATTTCGAGAACATATGCAAGTTAGCAACTTTGTTTTCACAAATAAGAGAAGGTGAGCTTTGGCAGGACAAATCAACAGAAGGCAGAAGGCCATTGCTCAAGACTAATGTCAAACTGGCAGCAGAGGAACAGAACACTCCCAGGAAAGACATCCACAATGCAGACAGAGCAATGAAATCAGCTCATATGCAGGCACGAGGTCGATTAGTGTGTAACAGCACCATAAGCAATGCCAACGGCTTGGGGAAGGCCTTCATCCAGCAGTGGATTAATCATGGCTGAGGGTGATGATAGTTCCATAGAGCATCTGCTTCAACTGATGCTTGTGCTATGATCACTGCCGTGATTTTTGGGAATGTTCCGAGTGTGTACTGAAGCGATCAGACGAAAACGCTTCGTCAAACACGTGCAGTTTGTCCTCCCTCCCCATTCCTGAAAACTGGAGATGTGTCTCACCACCCCGACTCTGCAAGCCATGCTCTGAATCAAACAACACCACTCAGAGGAATCTGCAAAGCCCACATGGTAACCATCGACCGGCTAGCTCTAGCTGATTAACTCGCAGCTGAGGCTGCGAATAAAGCAGCCAACTTTAGTTGCCATCTCGGACACAACAAAGTTAACTGCTGCCTTCTTGGCTTCCTAGTACAGATTACCCATGATGCAGTGGATATGCATCTGCTGAAGGCGGCCTTGCTCTCCGATACTTTTTGGTTTGTACAGCGTGTTGTTCGGCCCGATGTCTGACGTTTCGCTCCACGGGCTGGGAGCTTCTCCAGGTACTGGCTTGTAGTGAAATGTCAGACATTATGCAGAACATGCGGTGAAAACTGAAAACACATCGGGAAGAGCTGTACAGTACAACCGCGAAAACCTACGCAGCAACATAACGCAATATGCACTCCACATCACACGTCCAAGTAAATTGCTGCACCTCTGGAATAGATATTTGTTCATGATAGATTACATTGGGACACTTTGCTGCATACCACATTTAGATTGTATTTGAAAACACCCCTTTTTTATGCCGTTCACAGGAACATCGTGATCTTGCCAAGGAGTACATATCCAAAGGTTCCACAGTTTTTTTTCTCACCAACACCTGGCCACTTTAACGGGAAATTATCAAAGAGAGTAATTAAGTGGGACAGCAAATACCTTACTACATCATTTACCACAGCAGGCTGTAGTGTGTCTATATCATTAGCCAAAATCTTAAACATTTACCGGGAAAATATTACCAACCACGGTTACCCAGTTATCATTTGCGAAAACGGATGACGAATCGCCAAGTGTCCTCACATGGTAAAGAGATGGTGAATTGTGCTCTCCATCAGTTGTATACATTTTGCTGCTTTCACAGTCATAATCAATGCAATATGTTGGCTCGTTTGTGAGGTTACCACTCAGAACACAAGTTACAAAATGAACTCTTGATAAAAAAAAAATTATTGGACTCTTTTTCTTTCCCGCTACACTGACACACTGAACACCACCACCACCACCACTCCCAAACGTGATGAACAAGCAATACCAACCACAGAACGTAATACATTTCGTCGATGAAAGGTATCGGTTCAGAACAGGAAGCATTATAATAACCTAAATCAAAATAATACCCACATGATGAACGTATAAAACTGTTCAAAGCCTATCCCAGGCACGCTTCTCAGCCAGGGACTAGTAATAGCAGCCTACTGGATCTGGCTCCCATGCTCCCTCACTTATCAGTCACAAGCTCTCACCACCGCAGTCAATTAGCGAACTTTACCTAACTTATGAAAACTTTTACAGTAACTGCCGACGCAAAAAACCTTACCAATTAATGGGAACCTTTTAGCAATTTGCAAGGAACCTTCATGAAATTTGTGAGGCACTGGTACTTTATAATGAGCCCGCCGTTTTGGCCACGGTTTGTCTTCAACTAAGGTGATTATATGGTTGTGGTGGAGGGTGTCCAAGCAACCACCAACCCTAACCTCCTCTCATGAGGCTGAGAGGCACCGGTGAAGGCCAAGTGTGACATTGTGAGGTTAGATAAGGGAAGTGAATTGAAAGATTAACCGTTGCCAAGCCGAGTTATGATTAAATTACGACAAAAAATGGGGAGGCGAAGCCTAACGCGCTACACCAGTGTCCACACGCTTAATGGAATTGTCACACAGCTTGGCCAGTGACTCGGGGCAGAAGGTCACAAAGTGTCCAGATAACTACTGACAACTCACACACCGTGGAACGTGACAAAACAGCATCATCACCACCACCACCAACACCACCACAATTATCAGCACAACTACTATGCCGTTACCATTGATATCACCACAATCAACAACCGTCAGTGTTACTACCACCAATGACACCACTATCAAAACCACCAGCAGTAGTAATGCTTGCACGAACGACCCCATCACCATCACTAGTAGTCACCACGATCATACCAACACTTACTGTAACTACCACACACACAAGACGCACAATCTTCTCGATCACAAACACCATAACCATCATCACTAGCGTTACCACGACCGTGAACATCGCACACGACCAACACAACAACGCAACTGTATTTAGTTACAAGATGTGACTGCATCTCGAGACGCTTAACGAGCGCGTGGCGATGAGGCATGTACATCTCGGTAACAAGGAAATAAGCCAAGAGTGTTAATACATTTCAGGAGAGTGGGGAGAGGAGGATACACAACAGTGTATCTTAAGAAGACGCTTAACAAACCGGTAGGCACTTCATAAGTGCGAATCACGACCAACACAGTCACTATCGATCATAAACATCACATCACCAACACCACCACCAACACAACAACAGCACCCACAACCACCACCAGGCTATCGCCACACAGGCAACTTAGAACTGCACGTTACGGCGAGTGACCATTAAATACCATTGGGCAAGCATGAGAATACGCGACTTGTCTGGACAGAAGAGATTGGAAGGAGACGAGAGACGTTTAGTGGTTGTCGTTGTTGTGGTGGTGGTGGTGTTGTTGTTGCATGCTCGTAGTGTGGTTACGAGAAGAGGTGACGAAGCGAGGAGAGGTGATTTCGTCGTCGGTGTTGGTTTTGTGGTGGTTAGTAGTGTCGGCAGTGGTGTGCTATAATAATGGTTAATGTTTTGTCAAGCTTGAAAGCTGAGCGAGGAGCGGTGGTTTAATGAGAGGAGGGCTACTGTTGCTCGTGTCAGTGTTGGTAGTGGTCGCGATTATGATGATGGTTGGTGGTGGAGGTAGCATTAGTGATGGTTGTAATCGTGATGATTCTGAGCGGAGGATGGGAAAGCAGCAACAGAAGCAACAACAGCAGCAGCAACAACAACAACAGCAGCAGCAGGAGCAGCAGCAACAGCAGCAGGAGCAGCAGCAGCAGGAGCCGGAGGAGGAGGGAGTGTGACCATGGGCACAGCAACAGCAGCAGAAGAAGATGAAGAGCGCGGCTAGACGAAGGGCCCCCCCCTTTCCCCCGCCACAACTACCGAAGCCCCCCCCCCCACAACACACCGCTAAACCATCCCCTCAAAAAAGCCGTACCCGGTCAGGTCTACACCTCGTCAGCTCGTCAGCTCGCCACCTCGTCAGCCGTCCCCCCCCCCCCTCTCTCTTGCCGCCACCCCCTCCTCCTCCTCCCCACCACCGCCGCCGCCGCCAGCCGTCTCTAAAGAAGCCTTCCGTCTCCCCCAAAATGTGGCGACGACGACAAAAGGAGGGCCGAGAAAAGAAGGGCGCCGTCCCGAGTGGTGAGAAGCGGCGGGGCGGCGAGCGGGCGGGGAGGGGAACCCGGGAGCGATGTTTGTTGTGTTTGTGAGGGGATGAGGAAAGGCGGTGAAGGGGGCCGGGGGTGGAGGGAAAGGGGGGGCGCCTCGTCAATTAATGGATGATGAGAGAAGAAATCTCCTCATACCTGCTCTATCGAAATGTCCACTCTGCCTCTGTGTGCGTGCCCTTCCTCTCAGCGCGAACAATGGAAACAGCCGACGGACACGGCGCGATTGCGTCGCGACGTCATCGCGTACACGGGGCCGCGTGTGCAGCAGGGCCCGCCCCGTCCCTCACCACCACCACCATCCTCCTCCTCCTCCCCGTCTCTCACGACCACCACCACCACCACCACCACATCCTTCTTCTTCATCGTCTCTCACCACCATCCTCCTCCTCCTCCCCGTCTCTCACGACCACCACCACATCCTTCTTCTTCTTCATCGTCTCTCACTACCACCACCATCCTCCTCCTCCTCCCCGTCTCTCACGACCACCACCACATCCTTCTTCTTCTTCATCGTCTCTCACCACCACCACCATCCTCCTCCACCCCGTCTCTCACGACCACCACCACATCCTTCTTCTTCATCGTCTCTCACCACCACCATCCTCCTCCTCCCCGTCTCTCACGACCACCACCACCACATCCTTCTTCTTCTTCATCGTCTCTCACCACCACCACCATCCTCCTCCCCGTCTCTCACGACCACCACCACCACCACATCCTTCTTCTTCTTCATCGTCTCTCACCACCACCACCACCACCACCCTCCTCTTCCTCCCCGTCTCTCACGACCACCACCACATCCTTCTTCTTCTTCATCGTCTCTCACTACCACCACCCTCCTCTTCCTCCCCGTCTCTCACGACCACCACCACCACATTCTTCTTCCTCGTCCCTCACGATCACCACCACCACCATCCTCCTCCTCCCCGTCTCTCACGACCACCACTACCACATCTTTCTTCTTCATCGTCTCTCCCCATCACCTTCTTCTTCTTCCTCGTCCTTCACCACCATCCTCCTCCTCCCCGTCTATCACTACCACCACCATCCTCCTCGTCCCTCACCATCATCATCCTCCCCGTCTCTCACCATCACCACCATCACCATCCTCCCCGTCTCTCACCACCACCATCCTCCCCGTCCCTCACCATCACCATCCTCCCCGTCTCTCACCACCACCATCCTCCCCGTCTCTCACCATCACCATCCTCACCATCTCTCACCATCACCATCCTCCCCGTCTCTCACCACCACCATCCTCCCCGTCTCTCACCATCACCATCCTCCTCGTCCCTCACCATCACCATCCTCCCCGTCTCTCACCATCACCATCCTCCTCGTCCCTCACCATCACCATCCTCCCCGTCACTCACTATCACCATCACCATCCTCCCCGTCTCTCACCACCACCATCCCCGTCTCTCACCATCACCACCATCACCATCCTCCCCGTCTCTCACCACCATCCTCCCCGTCTCTCACCATCACCATCCTCCTCGTCCCTCACCACCACCATCCTCCTCGTCCGTCACCATCACCATCCTCCCCGTCTCTCATCACCACCACCATCACCATCCTCCCCGTCTCTCATCACCACCACCATCACCATCCTCCCCGTCTCTCACCATCGCCATCCTCCTCGTCCCTCACCATCACCATCCTCCTCGTCTCTCACCATCACCATCCTCCCCGTCTCTCACCATCACTATCCTCCCCGTCTCTCACCACCACCATCCTCCCCGTCTCTCACCATCACCATCCTCCTCGTCCCTCACCATCACCATCCTCCCCGTCTCTCATCACCACCACCATCACCATCCTCCCCGTCTCTCACCACCACCATCCTCCCCGTCTCTCACCATCACCACCATCCCCGTCTCTCACCACCACCATCCTCCTCGTCCCTCACCATCACCATCCTCCCCGTCTCTCACCATCACCATCCTCCCCGTCTCTCACCACCACCATCCTCCCCGTCTCTCACCATCACCATCCTCCCCGTCTCTCACCACCACCATCCTCCCCGTCTCTCACCATCACCATCCTCCCCGCCTCTCACCATCACCATCCTCCCCGTCTCTCACCACCACCATCCTCCCCGTCTCTCACCACCACCATCCTCCCCGTCTCTCACCACCACCATCCTCCCCGTCTCTCACCATCAACCACCATCCCCGTCTCTCACCATCACCACCATCACCATCCTCCCCGTCTCTCACCATGACCATCCTCCCCGTCTCTCACCATCACCATCCTCACCGTCTCTCACCATCACCATCCTCCCCGTCTCTCATCATCACCATCCTCCCCGTCTCTCACCATCACCATCCTCCCCGTCTCTCACCATCACCATCCTCCCCGTCTCTTACCATCACCACCATCACCACCCTCCCCGTCTCTCACCACCACCATCCTCCCCATCACCACCATCACCATCCTCCCCGTCTCTCACCATCACCATCCTCACCGTCTCTCACCACCACCATCCTCCCCGCCTCTCACCATCACCATCCTCACCGTCTCTCACCACCACCATCCTCCCCGTCTCTCACCATCACCACCATCACCATCCTCCCCGTCTCTCACCATCACCATCCTCCCCGTCTCTCACCATCCTCACAGTCTCTCACCACACCATCCTCCCCGTCTCTCGCCATCACCATCCTCCCCGTCTCTCACCATCACCATCCTCCCTGTCTCTCACCATCACCACCATCACCATCCTCCCCATCTCTCACCACCACCATCCTCCCCGTCTCTCACCATCACCATCCTCCCCGTCTTTCACCATCACCACCATCACCATCCTCCCCGTCTCTCACCATCACTACCACCATCCTGTTCCCCGTCTCTCACCATCACCACCACCGTCCCCCTCCCTATATTATATCTCACCATCCTCACCACCATCATGGTCGTCCTCCCCTTTATTAAACCATCACCACCATCAACCTATTCAGTCTACTGCCCCCTGTACTCTTCACTTCATTCTCCTCATTTTCAGTCATCCCCATTCTATTAATTATCCTCTTCATCATCATCCACTTCATTCTTCTCTCATCATACTCTTTGGTTCTTTCGGTAAAGTCACGTAGGTAGAAAACATAATAGATCACGACGTTTCGATCGCAACAACAAGCGACCGTCTTCAGGTGAAAGAATCATTAATGCCTCGTCCATAGAAGTCTTGATTCTTTCACCTGAAGACGGACGCTTGTTGCGATCAAAACGTCGTGATCTATTTATTTTTTCTACCTACGTGGCTTTACCGAAAGAACCAAAGAGTATGTATTCCTGCAGTCACGAAAGCTTCAAATCAAGATCCTCTCATCATCCTACACCTCTTCATCATATTTCATCCTCCGTTCTCTTCGTCTAAAACGAATCATTCCCTCTCCCCGTCTTCATCATACTTCCATCATCTTGTTAAACTTCCTCATGTGTACATAATTTATATCATTCAATAGCATTACCGCTGATCATATTGAACACCACCATCAACATGAGCATTCGGATTACCATCGCTAACTAGTCAACATCACTGTCATCATCAGCAACAATAGCAGCTACAGTAGCAGTATCAGCAATTTCATCATCATCAGCAGCGTTGTCTTCGGCAGCAGTAGCAACAGAAGCATAAACATCATCAGCATAAACTGCAACGTTGTCATCTACATTCGTATCGCCACCATCGTAATCGATAACGTGATTAGCAGTAGCAACTCATCATCCATTATCAATCATCACAATCAGCACTAGCAATAGAAGCATCATCATTCAACAGCAGCAAGAGCAGTTACAATCCTATTTAAGTGAGGCTTCTACCAAAAACAATTAGAGCCAAATTAATGCGGACAAACACAAACCGAGCAAATACAACGTGACACTTTTGGACAACATGAAAATATAAAGTGCAGTCATTAAAAGGCAAACGAGATATCGTTTCAATTATTCAAAACTAAAAATTCAAAAGTGTAGACGTTCAAAGGGAAGACAAAAATCCAGAGGCATAAGCCTCGCTACGAAATCACCCCGAATGGGCCCTGTCACCTCGAATCTATGCCGGTGAAACACGATGGTGGGAGAGCAACGCCAGAGCTTGCCAGATGTTGTAGGCCTGGGGTTGCAAGGTGTGGCCAGCAGATGGCAGTACAGCAAAGAGTATATCGCCCCTCTCGCATGGTGGGTTTGCTGATGGTTCTCCGGTTACCTTCCACACAAAGCCAAAAACCATTCATGGGATTTGGTCTAGTCAACCCACGTAGCAGGACCATCCTGCAAACGAGTCCCCGAGACTTCGTGAGGCTTTCTAGAGTAAATAAAGGAAGTTATAATAGCATCCATAATATACACATAAGGAATCGTGTAGCGTGTTTAAACCCGTAATTACATTTAAGTGTAGTTCAGACGTCTCTAAACAACCACCCCGACTTATCTCGACAGCTAAGCAGCCTTGAGGCTGGGTAGTGCTTAAATGTGTAACAATCATGCAGCATATTACAGGGGCTAACATAATGGCGAACAGAGGACATTGCAGCAAAATCGTCTTCACCATCCCGCACAAAAACCAGAGTGGTGATGATGTAGGACACAATAACCCCCTCACGACCACAGCGACGTGGGCGAGGCCCTCATCCAGCGGTGGATTGACAAGAGGGGCTGCTGTGCACGTGTAAATGTGGGTGAAATATCGTTCCTTGTGTGCGAGGCAACGCGCACGAAACTTGTGAAGATTCGGAACGCGGCCAAAACCGCGAAAGAGCGCGTCCCATGTTCCGCGGGCTGGTCTTCAGAGTTTGCATATACAGTTCACTCGTGCCGTTTGAAAATTAGTAATTAAGTCACTACTCTTGTATTCGAAACCAATGCTTAAGACGTACATGATACATTTCAGCACTTTGTCATTCCATTGCTGGATGAAGGCGCCTTAAATCTCTCCATGCCATACCGATCACTGGATTCTTTGACCATACTTCACACAACGCTGGTTAGTGTGAAGTAAAACCGCTCTAGAGGAGTTGTACACCCCTAGCCGCCACTGCTATTCAGTGGCCTGAAATCAAATGTTTCGCTCCGGATGATCTTGTGTTTTGATTATGGTGTGCTGATCTATAAAGGTGCATTGAAAATGTTTGATACTTCTACTGATACTCCTGCTGTTATGGAGTGACTCATGCTGCCAGCTATGGCTGCCAAGTTTGGTAGTACATGTTATGTTTTGGTGGTTTCTAAAACGTTTTGGTTTAGCCATATTTGTTGTAGTACAGTCAGACTGATAACTTTAATCTAAATTGTCTTATGGTTGTTATTGTTTTACTTGCATCCCACTGGGATTTTTGCACACAGCGTTGATATACGGTGCTTTTTCTGGAACACTGCTGTTTTTTTCCTGGATGTTTCTGTTTGCGCGTAGTCACTTTAAGATGTTTCTTGTTCATGTTTTTGTTTGTTGTGGTTGCACCCGATTCAAGAACCGAATGGCTCACAAGGCTATACCACATAAATGAAACTGAAAGTGGGTGGGGGGGGGCGAGGGGAAGGTCATCGGGGGACCGTGTGAGATGCCACTCGCCACTGATGTCAGCCGTGACCCGGGAAGCGAACTCGGGTGGGTTCAGGTTGACAGTACAGTGCGCTAACCACCGCGCCACCTCTTCCACAAACTTTTAAAACAGGACTGCAACGCACAATTAAATTACTGGCATCGAAAGGCCTTGTTGTAAAAGCGTTCTTGTTGGCACTAGGCAATACAGCGAGAGTTAGACGCTTGTTGTTGTAGATGGTACGACAGTTGATAATTGATTGCTGATGAGGGGCCGTCCATAAATGACGTCACGCGGTTTTGGACGATTTTTGACCCCCCCCCCCTCGTCACACGGCGTCACAAAAAGTCAGACCCCCCCCCCCCCTCAAATATGACGTCACAAAGCTCTGCCCCCCCCCCAAAAAATATATAAAACATGCTTCAAATCGCTTTAAACTATTGTCATTATAGTGCGTATTTAATGTGGCGCTGCACTCTGGTGTTGTAGGAGAAAACGTATTAAAAGTCTATTTAATTAAGTAGAACGTGTTGTCTATATTTATTTAAAGTTGCGCATTTTGATGTGACGTCACATTTATCCCCCTCTCGTCACACATCGTCACAAATGTCTGACCCCCCCCCAGGTGCGTGACGTCATTTATGGACGGCCCCTGATCGGCAGCAGCGGCGGTCAAACCATGATCATATTCATAACCGCCCACATCATCGCAATCATAATCGCGGCCGCCTTTGTTATCATCACCACCAGCAGCAGTTATCATCATCAGAATCAACACGATCATTAAAATATTATATCACGATCGTTAAAATAAACATCAATCAACACCATTGCCCTCATTAACATAATATGAACAAAGGCGATATATTAACAATTAACTGCGCATTATAATCAACATTATCACCATCATATTTGTCATCTTCACTTTGAACACCATCGCCAACATCACCAACATCACCATCAAAACAATTAGCAGCGCTACCACCGAATTAATCACCACCAGGTACCATCATTATTTTTTGTTATACGACCATGACAATCGCAATAAAATAATTCGTGTTCATTTGATTATATTCACGGCCTTAAGTAAACATTTATTCTATTCAACCGTGGTTGTCGAAAGTTAAACTTACCCCGCCATAGGAATATGGAATTCCACCAGTGACCCAGAAGCGCCGATGAAGATGCATACATGCGTCATGACCTCGTCTGATGTCGCAAGGTAAGCAGGGTGCAACCCTGGGTGGATAGAGCTTGGATAGGCGACCACCACGCACGGGACAGGTTGTTATAGGCTGCAGATCTACGTTATGAGCAGCAGAGGGCAGCCTAGCAAAATTGTACGGTACTCACGCTTCCACGTCTATGCTCCCCGCCCCTTCAACAACCATCAGTGACCAACGTGGTGAATACGGCCAAAAAGCCTTCCACTCCTCGCACGGCATGGCGAGGCCCTCGTCCAGCAGTGGGTTATAGCACAAGGGCTGTGTGCACGTGCATGAATAAAACACGTGTCCACGTCTTACTTTGGTTGCTTTCACCTCCCCCTTGGCTGCTGCTGCGTGATATTTGGTTTTAAGCAGATCTGGCGTGCTTGCCTATGGTGACTGCCAAATAATGTTGAGATCAGGCTACGAGGGGGCAGTACAGGAATGGATTATTGAACGTCTGTGCGGAGGTTTCAGTGCTTTCCCCTCGTATGCATGGTTGTTTTTTTCCAGGTACTCGACTTCTTCCCACATTCCAAACTCGTTAATTGAATTGGTCACGCATTCCTTTCTAATATCCATTATTAATCCCAGGCCACCCTTGAATGAGACTGCTGTTCTCAATGGGTTCTTATAATAAACGTAATGCGGTGTCTAACCCACAAACCAGCCATCTATATATATCATGCATGTCCTTTTGTTTACGTTACGGTGAGTGGATTGTACAGTACTAACTTCCTCAGCACCGTACGTAGCCAACCGTACGAATCGGAGGTGCGGGTTTGTAAAAGCAGCCCCGCGTCCAAGGTTACGGAAAACTACAGTACTGTATACATATTCAGAGCGTGGGCTGGTTGGAAACCTTTCGGTTCTCGACGCCTGGCCAACCTGCTACAGCTTGACAAGTTATCCATCCAGATTCGCAGGTGTTTTTGGAATGTTGGTAAACACGAAGCGAAGGCCCGTGGGTCGAAGTCAAGTGCAGAGTATAAGCTCTACCGACATCAGACCCCACAGGCGTAGTAGGCAAGAGTTTTTGATGTTATATTTGTTGTGAAACGTAATCTGTCGGGATCGTCAGCAGTCGATTAAACGTTACCAAAACAGACGAACTTCTAACCGTGGGCAAGGAGCGCTTGAGATTAAACTCGCTTTAAAGAGAGGCGATGTGTTATGTCAAGAAGAAAATACGTCAAGTGAAGAGTTCAGCTGGAGAAGTGTTTATTGAAAGTTTAATGGCTATGCATACGTTGGTTTTCGCATTCAAACGTCGTTTTATAACAGTACATACAAAACACATGTCGGGGCTCTTTAGCATCGCATGGCACGCTCTCCCGAACATGGCATTGACTTCATCGCCCTTTCAAAGCCCCTTCCAAAGCCATCAGCAGTTCCACACTCACAGCAACACGACCATCCCCCTACCCCTTGAATGATGCACAGTAAATACAACTGCTAAGTAATCGTCCAAACCAATAAGTAATAAAAACTAAACTCACTGTCGATTTAAACGAGTGAAACCCATGTGCAAATCTATGTTCAAAACTTGCAATGGTGTGTAAACAAAACGTTTAACTTCTAATGTTTAAGCACACATTTATTTGTACAATAATTAGTCAACATCGGAATATTATAACTCTTTACAAAAAGTAAATGTCTTTTTCTTTAAATGCTCGTTACTAGGTTTTACATTAGTATACATGTAGCCAGTAAAGTATACATCAATGAGGAGAAAGATCAATATACTTCAGAACGCAAGTGTAGGCTGTAAGCACCAGTCAAGAGCCATTTACAATGTACAAGTGGTTCGGGTATATACCACGCCTTCAATTGTGTACATTCGAGTTTATGCAGTGTGATATGCTTTTCAAGCATCGCAACAAAGCTTGCAATTTCAAAATGACACAATTTCTGTACTTTATAGGCATGAAAACAGCATTTAAATCTATTATGTCCAACTGTTTGAAGAGCCCATTAAAACACTTGTTTAAAAAATCGTAATAGCTACACGCTGGCAAATTCAACTTAATGCATGATACCAATCGCATTTTTTGTGGTAACTGGCCGTTTCGGTGCAAAAAACAGAAACTGACTAAAACGTAATTCCAGTATTTAACTTATAAAAACAGATAATGGTATGTTGTGTCGCCACATTGGTGCAGAATGCCATGTTAATCTCCCTGTGCTTTGCCAATCCAGGATGTCGGTTACATTAAGCAGCAAGGATGTCATTCACAAACTATTCGACCAAAGGGATTATTTAATTAAATAAATGTAACCATGTTCACGTAAAGAAACGACAAGACATTACAATGGGAGTTTGGCAGCATCCTTAACAGATGCAATGATAGTTGCACGCCACTCCCTGAACAAATGGGATGTTGCCATGTACTTACCACCCCTGACCTTAGACCGATCACAAGTCTACCATATAACATCATCGCCATACCCAGTAATTTAATTTAACAAAAATGTGACATGGTATGATGGTGATGAGAGGCCATGCACATCAAGAATGAAGCTTTCGGGAACAGGCGTAGAAAAACCAAACTCAGTTTCAACTGCTCCAAATTAAGTGAAAACTTGTCTGAATAAAAAAAATTACATTATACAACTCAAATAACAAGCTCATGTAATGCAATTAGCAACTTTAGAATTAAGTTTTATTTAATTACTTTTTAACACACGGAAAGAGGGTGCGCTCTTATCTACATTCCAAGCATCCTTCACAGCCGGGACCTGCACGACCGAGGCACTGAGGCATTGCGCCAGGCAGCAGGATCTCCAGCACTGGAAAGGACAAGTCTGAGCAGGTTGTGTGGAGCTGGGCCAGCAGGGGGAGGGCCCGCACGAGAGAGCAACTCAAAAGGGGAGGCAGAGGTTTGGAGGGCCGCGCCATGCCGCCACTGACACATGCAGGTTTAACGTTTTGTGCGCTCAGTTTGCGTTCTTGCTCAGCAGCTCAGTAGCCTGCTGTGAACAGAAAAGAGAGCGTTAGCCACCCCCAATGACTGGAAATGGCCAAAGGGGGAAACTGTGCAGCATGCTTCGACACCGCACTTATTTGGTTTTTCTCCTGCAGGAAAAGAGCAAGCACTGGTATTTAAATAGATGCAGGGCAATGCATTAAAATGTCAAACTAGGCATATTACACTAATTCATACTTCATCACTCAAAGGGATGCTGGACTCTTAAAAATTGTATCCCTATGAGGTGTATTTGCCTTTTCATTCTTGATGAATACATTTACTGAACTTGCACAAATGTAAAAGAACAGTAAACAGATTATTTTAAGTGCCAGGTCCATCAGTTGCCAACATCATTGTTCAAAGGCAACAAAAACAGTATCAAGCTCAAAATTGAGTAGGATTAAGCTATGCAGTTGTCATCACGTCAAAGTCACTTAAAATAAAGTGTTTTCTATACACAGACTTCTTTGGTACCCTTGGTACTTTGTTCAACTTGTTGTAATTAACATTCATGGATTACATAAATACCAAGCAAAGCGCGGCCATTACCGGCACAGACATCCGCATCATGCTATGGATAGGAGAGCATGGCACAAGCCGAATAAAGCAGATATCCACGTAGGGAAAGCAAGAGACTGACAGCAAGAGTAGGACCAAGACAGGGACCGTGGACAGAGCTCAGCCGATGGTCTCAGCGAGCAGTAGTTCTAGGTGAAGTGCCTGGGGCCTCATGTCCCACGTGAGTGAAACAGACTCAGCAGCGATTTCAAGCAAGATCTGTCCACATCTGTGCAACCAAGGAGAAACGGAGAGGCCCTTTAGCCTGCAACAAAAGAATTGAGGGATAGAGCACCACTATTATCATTGGATACCCAATTGTGTTAATAGGCAGGTGCAGAGTGTACTGTGGACACAAATGTTTAAGTTCACCTTGCTTAGTCACCATGGATGACTTACATTTGTGAATCCATGCAACTAAGCAAGTTATAACTGCAGGAAGGTAACAAGAGTTTAGTAAAAATAGGGAGCGCACAATGGTAAAACAGACTGGAAGAGGTCCGAGAAGCAAAGTTTAATGAAAACAATTAGAAACCAAGGAAACATCAAACCCAACAAAATGTGACGACAGTGCTATAACATTGGACAACTATCAATCGATAAACGGCAAAGAAAAAAACTTATAAATATACAAAACAAAGAATATATCACACAGCTAAGAAGATCTCCCGACCCCCTTTCCTCAAGGCGCGCTTGTTGGTCACATGGCTAACCTTTGCTTTTTGATTTTTCAGCTGGCTTGCCGGAGGGGGTCGCTGCTGGAGGAACGGGTGGGTTTGAGGCTGCAGCAGCAGCAGCCGCAGCCTTCTGTTTGAGCATTGTCCAGTCAAACGTGTAGTCGTACTGGTGGTTCAGAGTCCTGCGTTCGTTTACGACACACAAGTACGCGCGCGCGCACACACACAGGGTTGGTGGTTTTAGCAGAGCAATGAATGACGTAGATACCAGCTCGATGAATCATTGGTGATCAACTCCTCCAAGTGTCGAAGCCCAGGTAAAATGCAAGTACGCACCCGCGAGCTAAAGCAGCGTCCATTAATTATTAGGCAAACAAGTGACGCATGCGATGATCCCTCGGGGATAAATATCATTCACTGCACATTCACAAAAGGTGTGTCAGAGCGCCACCAAAAAGAGAGTCTTGTGGTAAGCAAAGAAAAAGCGCAGGGGAGGGGCGACAACAGCCACTTGTGTGACAGTATTGCACACCTGAAGAGGATGCGAAAGAGCTGCCTCAGATACATGTAGTCTGGAGCCTCCTCAAACCGCAGACCACGGCAGTAGTTGAGGTACATGGCAAATTCTGCTGGAAAACCCTGCACACCACAACGAACCAATTAGCACAATACTGATCACCAATGGATCACAGTTATTGGTGCATGACCAATGTAAGTTGTATTTATTTTATAATTTTGCTACAATAAAACGAATTCCACATTTGTATGCCACTTACCTTGCACAGGACCTCTACGGGCGTAGACATCTTCTTCTCGCTAATTTTCTCGTACTTCTGTTTCTTGGTGGCAGCCTGAAAGCAAAGGAAGGTGTTATCAAGTGCTTCAAATTCAAGTAAAAGCCAAAATTCAGGCAATGAATTAGTAAGTGGCGTCTGCATTCCATGTTTATTTTTTTCTTGTACATTTAATCTGCCACCGGTTGTATTTTGTCCGGTAAAAGTATCTTAAAAGTTCATTCCAAATGAAATACACAACTGGGGATGTAAAGGCCAATTATAATTGATCAACGTCAATCAGATGGCAGCAGTTAAAAACTTAAGCCAACAGGGTAGCACAAATTTTGGAAGGCAGGTTTGGGCATTTAACGTATGACCATTATATACTTATCATACAATTACATTAATACTGAATATAACGAATGAAAATAACACCAATTAATAACATTGAAATCTACCTGTGTTGTTATACATTTACATACACACTTTTGAGTACAGCAAGCACAGTTGAATAATTCATCCAATGTTATGGTCAATCTGAACCCAAAAGATGAATCCCAGTGTGTACGCCTAACTTAATCCAGCCCTTACACATTGGACACAAGCAAACTATTGTTATTTATCCATGAATCAGTGCTAAAATTATGGCTACCACCAGATGAGGCAAAACCTTCAGTACAAATTGATGTATGCAACGAATAGAAGCAAATTGCTATTTGATATCCTGTTAGACTTTCACACCTATTGAAAAACACCAAAATTGTTTCACCTAAGGCAGTAACAATGACAATTGTAACACCTGCACTCTGGGCCAGTGGACTTGATCATTAAAGAGTTCATGTGAAACAATAATATTTTGGGGGAACTTGGGAAGAGATTCACCTTGAGGCCCTGCCAAGGGAGGCTTGTCCTGTTGAAGTACATTAAAACGTATCCCAGGGACTCCATGTCATCACGGCGACTGGTGGGGGAAGGCAACCGCAAATATTTTACGAAGGGGGAAAACAATATCAATTTAAATAAATGGTATGTACACATAGGAAGTGTGAGAACATTTTAAAAATATTATTTTACCAGGTAAAGCCCGCTGAGCTGTATTGCTCTTTTTCAGAAGCAACCTGGCCATAATTGATAGCTCATCCACCAAGGGGATTATCATGTGGAAATTTATAGCAGCCAAATACTCTAAATGCATGTTTCGAACATGTGGAGAGAAATAACGTAGGAAATTACACACGACCACGGGGAGAACATGAAAACTCCAAATATACAGGCGTAAAGGGTCTGGATCCAACCCATATCCTCCTGTATACAGGGCGAAGTAGTTAACATCTCACCACTGTGACAAAATTTTAACTACTAATAAATAAATAATTCAGCAATGTCAAGAGTTTTCGCATACAACACCCTGCACACAGAATGGCATGGATATCTTTATATCACAATTGAGTAATTAATTGTGATACTATAATTAGGATATGCTCACTACTTACCCCACACAAACCCTGGGGGACTGACACTGCAAGGGGGGCTCACTTAAATGTCTTTATAAAGGCACAACGAGCGTCTTTGCAAGGCACCAGTGGGCAATGAACTCCAACTTGGCACTCAGCAACCTACATGAGGCATGTACATATGTAGCTAATCTATTAACATCGATCATCACGCTCACAATACGTGCAGCAGTAAACTGAAGAACTCGTGACAAACACCTTGATCTTTTTCACATACCCTTGCAGCCACGACTGACTGTATATGCAAAAAGGCAAAACATTATTTGATCTAACAGAATAGCGACCTTAAATGAAAACAATTAAATCAAAAAATGAGAAATTGTTACAAGCCTAGTACTATACAATGACAAAGGGAATAAGTGTTAATTGTCAAGATTGTAATGCTGTAATTGTGTACGATGATAGAGCGTAAAAAAGCTAGAGGTTGACGTCATCACTGACATTAAGGGATGAAAGCTGATTATATTTTGGTAATTTTAAAGACGTGATTATTAGGTGCACAAAGGCTAAATAAATATTAAACCATGAGCTCCAGACATTATCCACTATGCAAGCAGACTGGCAAACATGTTGGCTGCGATAGCAGTGTGACAGGAAACAGAAGCAGCTTTGTGTTAAGAACACAGGCAACAAGCAGCAGCTCTTAAGCATCCACGATACTCAAAATACCCTTCTGCAGCTAGTATAGCATGCATGACATAACCCAACCATTCCTTGCATTTAAGTAATGCATATCAAAATTATATTTTAGGAACATTATAAATGGGTAAAACTAATACAGCATGGCAGCATTTTTGGGAACTTTGGATTGCATTCAAACTGCAGTAAAATCGCTTGTCAACAACTTATCCAACTGATAATTAAAATGAAGATGCCAATTCAGTCCAATAAGAGAGCCTCCATTTTGCAAGCCAACTCAGCTGTACAACACATCATGGGCAACGAAACACACAAATGTGCAAACAGCCGTTTGTTAGGTGTGCGCACACACCCAAGAGCACTAACAGACACTTAAATGCACACGGATACATTCTAATGCAGTGATGATAATCGACAGTGCGAAGCGTTAAAATTAGTTTATGAATTAAAAATAATTTCATCTAAATATTTGATAGCCAGTCTTGTCTAACATTAAATTAATGGCATATGTATTAAACCTACTTGCTAAATTTCACGGCAATTGCTTTAGGGGTTTTGTATTTACCGAAAAAAATATTTTCATTGCTTACGTATGGACATACTTTTCTAAATTATTGACTGCAGAAGTGGGTTTTGGGCAGAACACATCGCTTTTAAAGATAATGGCCGGTGTTCGACTAAGTTACAGAGGCAGTCAACGGAGGGTGGAAAAGCACCCAAAAGGATATCCACAGTGGAGATGGAGAAATTAAATCCGGTCTTGTGCAGGTGTTAAGATGTTATTGCTAGATATGGCAGTGAGAGATGGCTATTGTTTGGGGAGCTCTTCATCCAGCAGTGGTTCTCATGGATGATGATGATGATGAAATCGGACCATAAGAAGCATACGGGGCTCCATTAAAAAGACAAGAACCCAGCCTAGAGTGGCCCTACCTTTGCTCAATTCCCAGATGGGCATTGATGCTGGCGTAACGTGCCGTGCCCGTCAGGTTCTTGTCCTCCCGGTATGGGATGTGCTGACGGGTTCTGTTGTCGCGGTACTTCTTTGCCAACCCAAAGTCAATCAAAAACAGCTGAAGAGGGAATGGCAACACTCGATCAAGATCATCATGTGCACCATTGTTCCCACACCAAACATCTTATCTCAGTTTATTTTGCTGTAAATCAGGAGTTTCAACCGTCCATAATGCAGGCAGGGCAACGATTCCACACGTGGGGGCAAGTTTACCTAAAATAAAAGCCCCATCTAAAAACGTTGCTGCTAAAATTACGTTAATGCTTTACATGCAAATATACCCACGCATTCAATATGGGTGCATGAAAGCCACCAGCTTCATTCCCGAGAACAAATTGAGTCTTATGTATAAACGCCGCTCGTCCACACAAACTTACTATTTACATAAAAAAATCGAGAAAGCAGAAAAAAGCTCCAAACTATAATTAAAACTGTGTTTTTTGTTAATGCAGCTGCTTTGGCAATTTGGTACCTGAATGAACACGGACTCTCCACTCACCAATTTGAAAGATATGTTTTAAAGAAAACTAAGATTAACATCCAAACCTCAACGAAAGAGGGGAATGGTCTGCACACACCATCATTGAGTTAAAGATTTTATTTGCCAGAAAGGTACTTTCAATGCTTCTGGTCCTGTGCACCAAAGCTTACTTCACTGACTCAAAATATTAAGTGAAATTCTGCTGCACATACAAAATGACCGATTACTGCAGTGCATTGGCCTTAGATCGATCTTTCAACTGTCTTTGAACAGCAAAATACATTTGAGTTTATAATACATTTATGCAAAGGCACACTCTAAAAATACTTGTAAAAAGTTCAGTGATCTGTATTATTGTAAAATTTCAATATTTAAGAAAATTATTAATATTACTTAGAAACTAAAATGTGTATCCGATGCAAACACAGTTGTACATAAAATGCATAATCTGGTGATACCAACATTAAAACCAGAACCCTTAAAGACGCATATACCAACCTTTGAAACCATCAAGGACAGCCAACACCACAAAAGCATTCACATTACTTAAAAACGCACGCCCTCGCCACAACAAACAACTGCCATTCCCTCTCAACCATGAAAATGTCAACACATTAACACTGCAGTCTGCAGGTGGGGTTTTCACGTGAAAATGAATCCAATTTTTTTTTTCTGAAAATAAATGTTTTAATTTAATTCAAATGCCTGTTCGAGTGATGGATGAAACATTTAACATTTTATAAACTTCACAATTGTGCAAAGTCGTGTCTAATTTCATGTAAATCGCACATCCAATTGAATTCCAACCTCACATTGACATTTTTCTGGCTTAATATTACATGCCCCGTGCTAAAAGTATAAATTCAACATCCCTAAAACTCGCAAACCTCGGGTGCAGCATTTAACTAACAACCCAATTCGCAATCCGGCTTCTGGAATAAACCTCGGTTATCACCAACAACATTTTTTTCATTTCCGTGATTACGATTTTTAAAAAAGCGAAACGGGGCAGACCTGTTGCAGTCCCGAGAATGACGTCTGGTCGAGACACTGGCTAACACACTGGGTGCTCCTTTTCCTCTTCCCAGCCGTTGTTTCCGTGCACTGGGCAATCAAAGATCGTGGCAATTTGTCAACATAGCCGAGCACGCGCGCACCTCTAGGGCGGCGCGGGGGGCCTTTGTTACAAAAATGTCGCTCGTCACACACCAGCAAGGGCATGCAGGTGTGAGGAAACACATTAGCATTACAGGTATCATAACATTAAATGGCACTTTCAGTCTCATCATGGGCTGATACAACGTTATAAGCCATCTTACCTTGGTTGAAGTTACTTAGATTTAACACAACATATGAAAAATATTCAGTATAATTTTTTTTTATATTTTAAATCATTTGCCAAGAATGCATCAATTTCAATTTGATATCCCAGCACCAGTTATGACAGCAAAATGACACATTTAATGAGCTGATCAAGTTTGTTTAACAAAATATTAAAATGAAAAAAACTAACAAAAATAATAAAAATAAAATAAAAACACATGTATAGAAACATCACTGCCATCACTGCTGCTGGTATGATATTGTCAAAATGGACACAGGTTGAAAGGTTGTAAGAAAGGTTACAGTACTCAAGTTACAAAGCACTTCAACCATGGAAGATGTGGCCTATTTTTGGCATCAGCCTCGGGAAGACTTTGGCAGGGAAGAGGAAAATGTAAAGCAATTATTCTTCAAATGCAGATATTTCGCTCAACGCGGGGGGGTAGATTTGAAACGTGAAACATAACATGACTGTATTTCTTGAAAAAAAAACAATCCGTCACTTTCGCCTGGACAAGGCTTATCTTGTAAATAACTCTAAGATACCTCAAAGGAAATGTCCTGCAAAAATGTCGTTTGATAAATAGCATCTCATAAAATTGAATGCACTTCTCTAAAATGGCACACGAGACACAGACGTGATGGGACCACGGAATAAAATCGCTAAAGGAAACTGTGGTCACAACGTACACCAAGCACTGGCACTCAAACCTTTCTTACAACCACCTACAACCCAGTCATCATGGCAGGCACTAAGCTTGCTTTCATGCAAAACTGCATCCTAAGAGTAACATGCATATACGCATATTAAAGCCGATCTCTACAAAGGTTTTTTTTTTACCTAAAAAATTGGAAAAACATTGTTGTTCATAAGTACATGCTCATGCCACTATATATGCAGGACATCTGAATTAGATACCTAAAACTATCTTTAAAACATGAATATATATATCAATTGCCTGTTGGTACGCAACACAAGTTATTATTTAGCCAACAAAGCGTTTAGCATCACGAACTGGCCACGTGTTAGGCGAGAGCGGGCTACGGAGATGAGCTCATCCGGTTACCTTGTTACAGTGGCGTCCAATCCCCATGAGAAAATTGTCGGGTTTAATGTCCCTGTGAATGAAGTTTTTGTTGTGGACATACTCAATCCTGCTGATCATCTGTGGCAAGAGTAAACACCACAAACGATTGTTGCCTTCATATGGTGCATTGCAGTAACGTTGTAACGATTATTTAAAATGTAAAGATTTTAAAAAAATCACAATTATACATTTAGTAGATTTAAACATTAACTTATGACGTAATGTCAAGAGGTTAACTTAAAGTACGGCAAGCCATCAAATTACACATAAATTGTGTGCAGTAATTATAGACTTACACCAGTGAGACAGGCACTAAACGGTTATAAATACCTGGTCGGCAAGCATGAGGACAGTTTTCATGGTGAAGCGACGTGAGCAAAAGTTGAAGAGATCCTCAAGACTGGGCCCCAGGAGGTCCATCACGAGGACATTGTAGTCCTTTTCCTGACCGTACCACCTGCCACACATTCACACAAGAGTGGGCCAGATGGTTCAGTACTTACCAAAAGGTCTAAAAATCAAATGACCTAGCATGGGAATAGCCAAGCGTGTGCATTTTGTGCAAGCAATTAAAACAAATACATGGAAAGCCTATAATATACCAACAACAATTATCCACCATTAGGTATTTGGCCAACACGATTATCCATCATTGGGTGGTTGAAGGGTTTATTGGACCTTTGTAATTGTGCAGTGCCATACCATATCACATTTTGTCCATGTTGCAAAAGTTTAATCTGGTTATTTAAAAAAAAAATACTTGGAAATTAGCATACGAAGCAACGCAGCTGCTCTCAAGTTACTTTAAATACACATGTAAAGAAATCAGCCACTTGTGGTCTCCGACGCAGGGCCCCTCCCCCTTGCCACACAATATGGAGAGCTCTGCACAACAGCTGAGACGAGGCAGCTACACCCACAAGCGACCCGAACAAGGAAGCCATATATGGAAATCTCAACCCCCTTCCTCCAATCCCCTTGGCTGGTATAGTCAGCACTGCTGACTCACGTCCGTGACTCCCCTCTCGCCTATTTTTTTGTGCAATGCCGCGCAGCAATCGCAAGCATGGCGCTGCATCGAATCATCGTGAGGAAGCCAGATCTAGGCCAAGCTCAACCAACAGCCATTTGGGCTTTGTGCGTGCCACCACGCGTCACGTTCCAAAGCAAAATCGGTAAATATGCGAGCCTTCCCCTTCGGAGGTAAAACTAAACAGAAACCCCTAACGACAAAACATAATTGCATTTAAATTTAAATACAAATTACTGGCAAGATTTTAACAATTAAAAAAACACCCGATGTTAATATAATCCATGGAGCATGACGGTCATTCCATACAAATGAAATCGCTACGTAAACAAAATGGGCGAGTCTCAGTTCCGCATTCTGGTAAATGCTTTTGAAATGTGTTTGCCTACAAACAATGGGGAAATTGTCTGAAATGCTTCAACATAGTATAAAGATATTATATACTGTACGTAGTATATTTGTTACAGTATATGCATTTCGCATTACAGTATTCCTTCACATTTTGCCTTTAACAATCATGCCTAGAATCAATTCCAATTCATGGATTCAAAGTGCAATAGAAGCCAATAAACCACAGCATAATTATTAACTAGACACCATTAGGAAGAACTTCAATAGGACATCTAGGGCATATTCAAAGGCAGAAAGGAAAATGTACTTGGCAGCTGTAAGCCAATTTCAAATATTCCATTAACTGTAGAGCTACTCGCATTACATGCATAGCTTTTCCTTTTTCAACCAGCCCCAGAAGGAACGATCACAATGCTCAAGCACAAACTGTACTATAATACGTGCAAGAATGCATTGCACATTTAAAGGGTGCACAGGCAAATATGACAATGCAATGTAACGTAAAGAGCTTTACTGAGTCGGGCTAGCCATCTGTGGTCATAAATGTGCTGTATTTATCAACTTAATGGACGAAATAGGTTGATCTCATGCAGTCCGAAAATACTCGGAATCAATTTTAGTGAACCACCAAATTAATGTGGCGACAGCTTTCTTATGCAATTATATAAGAAGCCACCGTGGACCCTCAAGCCGGTGATCGTCTGCGATGGCAACAAGTTCAACCAGCCCTTTCGCCTTCCTAAGATTTATTTAAAAAACTCCAACACCTACAGCTTCTGTAAACACATGGCAACTCATGGGAGCTCACGTTAACATCCCCCACCACCCCCTGCTTGTGGCGATACGGCTTCTTCACGTTACACTTCACGTACACTTGCAGGTGGGACAGGAAGTGGGGCAATGGTGGTGGATGGGCAAGGCCAGCGTTACAGCTTTAGTCTGGTTACCCTTTCCTCTGGTTACGCTTCAACTGAGTCTTGTGCCCTTCATTATATATGTACATTGTAGTCCGTGTGTTGCCTTGAGGACAATCGTATTTTTGTTTGGTGCGCTGGTTTCGTTGTTCAAGTGGGTTGCCACATCATTGTTGTTGTTCTGGTCATGGTTATACCCCTGGCTGCAAATGGTACGAACATTGGAATTTTCACAACAGCTGATCCACAGCCAACCTATTACATTGATGGTCAAAAACCCAGTCGGACCTTTTCCTTATTTTATTCTTCTCAAACCCAAGGTATATTTAAAATAAGGTTATTACCCATTCGCACCTTAGCTACGACTTGTAGTACACGTATTTATGACAAGGTTGAGTGTTTGCTCAACTTAAAAAATGTGGCCAACCAAAGAATGACTGCTGCCGTATGACAGCACTGATATGTCATTTCGCGACCACACTGCAGGCAGCGGAGCGAGTATTTTTACCATTGTCAATGCAGACGAAAACATTAAATCAAGAAAGTGGGAACCCCCCCCCATGAGGCTTGGGTTGGCCATTGTCTCGTACCGAATGTGTGGGATGCCCACGCCGCCCTGCAGTATTTTGTAGAGTTTGCTCTCGTAAAGAAGCTGCGGGTGTCTCGCCTTCTGCGACTCCAGTTTCACGGCCACCTCCTGTGGAAGCGAACGTAAGAAAGCACATGAGCAATTAAACATAACTGTGCGTGTACACGAGCCAAAAAAAAAACGACGTGAGGACAAAAGCCACCATGAAACAAACCGGGAACCCATCACGTAGCTTGCTGGCCGCCTTCGCTGTCGATTGAGAGAGTGGACGAGCGAGGAGGCTTCTACTGACGAGAATGACGACCCAACCCAGAGGGGTTCGCATTTGCAACGTTACTTAAAACATTCGGTGTCAATACTACTCGATCATACTTAATGTCAGGAAATGATTCTCATAACGTGGAGTTCTCTCCGAAACGGCAAAGGATTTAGGCGGCGCGATGGAAGTCGGGGGTGGGTTTCTTTGTGTGCGGATTTGACGGGGCGAGGCGCTCTCGCTTTTTGATGGCTCTTATCGTCAGCACCCAGCACACAAATCCATTACCCCTCATCGTCGCTACCATCGCCACCATTTACAACCACCATATTCAACACTTGGGAACAACGCGAAACAGCTCATCCGCCCATTGCGACGGCATTCAGACAACACTACTCAAAACACCTCATCGACAACCAACGGTGCTAGCAATCGGGCCCCCCCCCCCCCCCATTACCAACACACCGCCCTCGTGAACAAAGCAACGCCGATAAGATCCCCGACGGGGGGGGGGCGCGAGAAAAAAATATAACCCTGACAACTGCAGTCTCCCGCCCGCCCGAGGAAAAAGGAAAAAAAGGGCGGCAGGAGCCGTCGCGTTACCTCGCCGTTGGTGATGTTGATAGCGAGGTAAATGTCTCCGAACGATCCGCTGCCGATCTTCCTCACGAGCCTGTACTTGCCGCCCACTATGAACTCGGACTTGGAGGCGCCGGCGCTCGCCATTTTTCCAGCGCAAACTTTGCAGCCGCCGCAACAAAAAACGACGACGGCGACAACGACGACAGCGTCACGGCGGAGGGTGGGGACGGCGCGGGGCGGGCGGGCGGGCGAACGGCGGTGGGGTGTGGGGTGGGGGTGCGATTATTGTTTAAAAACACACACACAAAACTAGCGACGACGTCGACGCCGCCCCGTAAAATTGTCAACGGAAGTTTAAAAAAAATAAAAGACGGGTCGCCGTTGCGCGATGAGCGAAGGGTTGGGGGTGGGGCGCGGAAGGTCGCGGTGTTTCGGGCGCGCTGCGCGTCGACGTGGACCGAGTCGGTGGTGGTCGGGCGGCCGCTCGTGCGATGGGAGCGTCAACGCGCAGCCGCCATTGCGCGCCGCCTCTCTCGCCTTTCTTCTCGGGGGGGGGGGGGGGCGCGGAGCAACAACCGCGCGGGACCCTGGGAGTCTGTGACGTCACTTCCGCTCTCCACCCCTCTCCCTATGAGCCGTGGGGATGAGGAGGCGAACCCCTGCCCCTTCACCTTCCCTCCTTCTCCTCATACTCCACGGCCATCTTGCTATGACCGCCCGCCGCGACCAATCGCGAGCCCACGCCGTGGTCACGTGCGCGCACCGCGACCAATGGGGCGCGCGGCGGGAGTAACAACATGGCGGGTTGAGGCCAGTCGGAGGAGGAGGAGGCAGGGCAAGGAGGCATGCCACCCCGGTCGCGGTGAGGTAATGCCGGCTCGTCCGCCCACTTGCTGCCCGTGTTGCCACAACACGGCAACAACAATAACCTCCATTCGCCACGAAGTAGCGGTGGCGTCGCCACGGCGCTTGTGCCAGGCTATGTGCACGTTTAGGCACACACACACATAGCTTGCCTCACCAACAACTGGCGTTTAACACGTAGTAGGCTTTCAAGACCACAATATCATCCATAATACAAGGTTTTTTTGGGATGCATGTGTCGTTAAACCCGCCACCACCCGACACAGCCAATTCGTCAGGTTTGTCACGTAAACAAAACACGCCAATGCGTTACGAGTACAGCACACCGATGCGTTGGAGAGCCAAGGCCACAACATTTACAATCTGTTGTACGACTGTTGCATTACTGCCGAAACGTCGTACTCGGATTGTTAATATTGTGGCTTGGCTCTCCAACACACCGGTATTGGTGGGTTTACGCAATGGAACAACTGGCGTGTCTGATGTTATTTAAAAAAATAAATCTTTTCTCACACGTCTGAGTTGCTCTCGCATATTCCCTCCCGCGTACACCAGCATGTTGTGCGCGCGCAAAGTTAAATAAATGTACAGTACAAACGTACGGCACTTATCAGCCACAAGGGCAAAGGGCCGCTCGATTCCGTGTGGCAGCAAGGAGCTAAATGCCAATGTTGAGCTCTGCTAGCCACGGCGAGAGGACTTCAACAGAGAGTTGCTGGTGTCCTGCTATTCCTCGGTTGATGAAGGAACTTTTATTACAGTGGTCGACCAATGCGGTCCTTACTTGGGGGAGTTGCATGGCCAAAAACAAACCTGTTGTGGTTTATATATCTTCGTGAATGTAAAATTAATGACAAGGCACGGTTGTGTGGCCATGCAACTTGAACTATGCACCATTTCGTAAAGCCACAAGTACAGAGCCATACGGGATACATTTCAAGCGCAACAAACCACAGCAGATTTCGATTTAAAGCTTTCGTGACTGCAGGGATTCATATTCTTGGTTCTTTCGGTAAAGTCACGTAGAAGGGAAATGATAAAAAATATAAAACAAATTCTCACGACGTTCGATTGCAACACAAGCACCTTCATCAGGTGTGAAAACCACAGCAAGAAAATCTTTGTTATTTTTTTATTTTGTGGTTTTCACACCTGATGATGATTGCTTGTGTTGCAATCGAACGTCGTGAGAAAAACGAATAGTTTACCAGTTATGTGAAGTATCTAAATTGATTAAGGCTGAGGCGATTAGTTACTTATCTCCCCTGGCATTATTTACTTTGTCTTTTAATGGCGATGTCACATCACGAAAACTCAACGCATTATTCATAGCACACGCGCCATGAAGAAAGGACAACGTACCGAAACGTTGCGTGTAATATTTATTTTACGGGCCACCGTGTTATTAACGAATTTGTTTAGTTTTTTTTATATTTGTTGTGTTTGTGCACCACCGCCAACGCAGCAGCAGCTGTCACCACGACTGTCACCAGATATTAGTTGTCCTGCATGTTTGAGCACAGGAATTTCTTTCGAGTAGAGAATTTCCTTTTATTAAAGTTCTAGCGTTGGATTGTTTGGAAGACGATCAATAATAGGTCCAAATGACAACCAAAATAAACGTTAAATGTCTGCAGGCGTTCCCGCGGAAATTAATTTAAATTAAAACAGGTCCCTGCAGGGTGGGCTGGTAGGAACATTGGATTTTTGCACAATTTTATGACATTGTTACGTAAAATTGTGCAAATTGAGAGCGTCTTCCCACCTTTTTGCCCTCAAAATCGTTGAGGGTTCTTCGGACAAATTCACCTCTGTAGAGGAATGGAATGGTGAAATCCTTATTGACTGAAATCTGCTCATTTTGGAGCAATGTATCATAAAATCGTTAAGGGCTGGGCCGAAAAATGACAACAATTGCATTTAAAAATGAGGAATTGTTTCCCGGTATACGGTAGTATGGGGCTTTTGAAAGGGGACGGACGGACGGACACATTAATCTATTGCAGGCTGGTACACTCAGTTTACAACTTCGTTCCTACCAGTAAAAAAAAAGTCCAATCCCCACGTAGCTCAAGCTTTTAACAAACACAAGCTCACACATTTTTGAATAGACTTTTAAATGAATGTCTGCAAGGTGGTTTTAATTAGCATCTCGAAGCAAAGGTATATCACGGGTTTGTACAATTAGTAAAAAGCCAAATAAATCTATGGAAAAAACAATTCGGAGCAAATGTTTGGTGAATTGAGCGGCAGCCTGATTGATATTCTGAGCATAAAGCCGAGTTGGCCAGAAAGCAGTACAGCATGGATTCTTGAATCTATCCGTATGGAATTGAGTGTTACTCCCTTGATCAGATATGTATGTAGATTAACTGGGTCCCCATGTATATTTTAAATACAGTACAATACAAATTTGTGGTAATGTATTTATAGGCCACGCAAAAGTCTGAACAAAATGCGTTTAATATCGCCTTACAATGTCTGCAAGGTGTGTGTCCATCAAAGAAAACATTCATAACAGACGAGTTAGTCAGAATGCTAACATTAATAGCAGCTCGTTGCCAATACAGTCACGTCTCCAATCCAGCATGTCAGGATTATTAACGTCTGCAATACATTAGCAACCGGGGCAAATTCCCGGGTGTTGTACATGGGACAGAAGGGCAGATTGCATTACATAAATGTTATAACGAAGTAAACGAAGTCACTCAGGGCTTCAAATTCCATTTTGTTCAAGTGTTTATTCCAGTTTGATTTTTACACAAAAACCAGAAAGCGAACAGAATGGCGCAAAATCTGTCCGTGGGATACGACTTGATGCGAGCCAGTGTTTAAAGCTTCGTATAACAGACCAAGTAAAAAAACGTGCGTTGCTCACGTTGCCTTCGGTACGCTAGGCGTATGAATGTTTGTATTATAGCAGGTATACCCGAGCGGTAAGCTGATTATCATAATCTGTAACTCACAGGGGTGACCCGCATAATGTACACGGCATGGACGAGAGATTTTACCCTGCCATTGCCACACCAGTGGGCTCACAGGAAACCCACCATCACCCAATTGCCTTCAGAAAACATGCAAATCACATTTAACCCAGCCGGCACCACAAAGCAAACAGTGCTGACACCGCTGTTTAACTTCAGGGTAATCGAGATTAGTTCATTAACTCGTTCGCGAGGATAAGTTTCAATTGCCGCAAATCCACAACTCGACACGCTAGCAAAACCCGACCTTGGCAATCTGACCGTTGCCTTAGAGGTCCTGCCGTCACTTGCTTGCCGCTATTGATCACTGTCCTTGCAGATCATGTTATGTCTCTTCACAAGACAAACCCTGGATTCAGTGTCTACGCCACCACTATTGCCCCAGCCTCAAGTTGACATCAGCATTTCTCATACCAGGCGGCCATTTCACAAGGGCTTCAATGCACAATCCACTGCCTTTGCAAGGTGACTGAAAACCTTCATTGGCATATGGTTTTTGTGCTCCCAACAAATACTCGTGATTCGTAGTGTTCATTTATTACTGTAATTATAATGACCAAACTGGACATATGTATGGCAACTGAATTAATCCTCGTCCTGTGGATTAATTGTAGGGCAAATATCCGCGATGCGCGTCCCAACCAGAAAGCTAGAAAACAAGGATGAATTGATACCAAGCAGATTAAACACCACTATTGTGAAATCAGTTATCACAGTGATCAGACTCCCCAGTCTCTGAACCTTTTGCATTATCAGGGCATTACACATTCTAGGGTAGACAGGACAAAAAGTAGTGCAACACCTACAGTATTTACATAATACACCGCCATTTACAAAACAACACTGTCACCATATCATTTACACAACAGGAATTTACGTAAAAACACATTCCAAAATGTTTTACAAAAAATATTTTCTTTCATCAAACTAAACATACTGCATAGTCATGGTCGATATATATTTTAAATGAAGTAGATTTTTAATATCATTGGTCTTTACAAATATAAAGTGTCTTGCATCAGCTTAAAGGGCTGTAAACTACCAAAAAGGAGTCCTCTTTCTGTGTGGCCAATGAAAATAAAGTTCTGCTTGCGCCGTCGAGGATGATGTGACAAAGCATCGAAAGCAAAGCCCGAAACTTGCTGCGAGAGTACAAAATAGTTGGTTGAAAGAAAGCATGGGTTGTCTTTCCATGACCACTGTCAGGGACGATGTTTGTTCTGGGGCTTGGAATGCGACTGATTTTGCAGCCACCAGTGCCAGGCATCGTGCCAAGAGTCTCCACTCTGCTGGGCAGCCCCACACATTGTAAACATGTATTTACAAATGAGAATAATTACAGTGAACTCCCATCTCGAAAAGATGAGGCATCACACTACGGCATCCATACGCTAATTATGATCTTGCGGTAGCTTGGCCCAGGGGGGGTTTGACACAGCTCAGTACAGAAGCAACCAAGCCCAACAGCAGCAAACATCGTGGTATTAAAGCTCATGTCCCTCTGCTTAAAAAATCTGACATCAATCCACTCACTGAACCATCACATACCCTGCGAATTAAAATACGATAAAACATTGCTGCTTCAGTAACTACGTGCAGCCTAATAATATAAAAAAAACATTACCAAGAGATTCGTTTACTAAGTACCGTTAGTTTTTACCAGGTGTAAAGTATGAAATATACGATTCGTGTGTAAATTATAAACTTACTATATGATGTAAAAGATTAAAATTACTATGGTAATCCTAAGAAATTTTCTTTAAAAATGTGTATTTGAAGAACTTCTTCCCCCAAATGAGGTAGTGGACTGAGCATCATGCAAAAATCAGCTCATTCTCTGTCTGGGTTAATTGAGGGATCTCTATATGTGGATGATTTATATGAATCTATACGTGCGAGACGCAACGATGAGATTGGTTGACAGGCAGGAGTGGGAAGAACCGTGGCTTTCATCCATCTTTGAACAGAATGCGGGTGATGAATTCAACCCTCTTTGGCTCACACAAGGAGCGGCTCACTCTCCGACGACTCCACAGCCTCCGCTTTTCGTCTCCGGTACTCGGTCCGGAATGCCACCACCATGCAGCACGCGCCAAGCATGGCAATCCCGGCAAACAGCAATACGGAGACTGTGAGGAGAAGCCGGCACAACAAGTCAGCGTTGGGCAGTCACACAAAAACAAAGATCCCCCGTATAACCTTTAACAGACTGTTGGGGCAAATGCTGTCAGTAAGCACCTATGCAGAAGGCCGGAATGTTACACGAGGGGGTGGGTGGCAGCACCACTCCCGGCCGCATTTGTCTCTTTAGTGGCAATGTTTTTATACATAACACTAGATACTCAATTGAGGCTGAATTGAGCTAGTGGAGGCCCAGGATTGGTTCAGATAATCGTCACTGGTGTTGGCCGTGAGCCAGAATCGAACTCGGCTCGCCAGATTAATAGGCCAGTGCGTGAACCGCTACACTACCCCTCCTCACACACACACACACCATCACGGGTTACTGCACACACGTACTCTCGTCTCACGCGGTCCAAAACAACAAGGTTGCTATCCAAGTTAGTTTAGTGAGAACACATTCTGTGGCAGTGTGCCAATTATTAGTGCCTCACCACCAGTGTCTTGATATTCGCAGTAAACAGGGGCAAACTAACTCAAGAACGCCATATATGCGAACGCGTCAACAAATTCCACCACCGCCACCACAAGCTTATGCTAGCTGTGTAAATCTACCCGTGTTACTGCAAGGAGATATGTAAGCATGGTCACTGACGTTACTATCCACCTGATTTTTCACTTGTTTAATATAGTTTTCCCTTGACTTGTACATGAAATTAAGTGTAAACAGGTGCATGTAAATGAGGTCTCACGGATAAACTAATACGAAGTTAATGGAACATCCTTGACGATTCAAATGGCACTAGCCACCATTAAAATGGTTACTGAAGGTGGAAAGATGCCTCAATTAATTGATATGGATTTATAAGCTCACGACATATGAATGGACGTGTACATTTAGCGTTTTTTAATTCGTATTTGCTGTATGTAATGGGCTCATGTCACCCCTGCTAAAAGTATATAAACAAACCACTTTTGAATAAAATCGAATAAATTCATTAAGTAACCAGGGTTCATCGCCAGATGCCTTTTGGTCAACCGATGCCAAAATACAAATAATCGCAATGTAGTGTGCCAGAGGTGTTTAAATCAAGGTGAAAGCCTCCATTGATCATGCCACTTAAAATGTGCGGACGATGACTGACCTGGAAAACATTCACGTACGCTATTTAGAGGCTCAGACAATACACTCACACAGACAAGAAACAATACGATTGTACGAGTTGGCAGGAAGGATGTTACTGTCCATTACATAAACCAACTGAAAGATGATCAAATTTAATTAAAAGAAAACGGATCATCTGACGGGTTATTTACACATTACCGTAAACCAAGCGCGCAGCCACAAATTAAAACATCGTCAACAAGAGCCACATGGTTTGGAAAAAAAAGTGACATGATCTTGCTGCAAGGGCACACATGCTGTACAACCCAGACAGCTTTGTTGTTTTGTCTCTGTAGGTTTACAGGGCCTGTCACACTGTTACAAACATGACCTTATTTAGAGAGGGGGAGATGTCCCAGTGGTATATTCATGGATAAAGACACTGGGGATGGTGCTTAATACAAGGGGATAATAGAAATGATAGGAGATGCTGGGGAGGCAAAGGGGCATCATCAATTTTAACCAGGCATATTTGAGAAAGCTTTATAATTCTCATCTGCAGCTCCTCACCATCCCCGACATCTTTCCCCAGAGTAAACACAGCAGGAAAAAAATCAGACCCAATTACCGGTCCAGTCCTGCGGCGTCATGCCATTGCCATGGCACACGGCGGTGGGGACGGCTGTGGCCGGTAGCGGTCGCGCGACCACCTGCATCAGCACGATGTACAGCACGCCCTGCAGCTGCCTGCCCGCCACACACAGCACAGAGCACGGGGGTCGAACGCAGGCCTGTCAAGTCGGGTGGATCATTTGCTTGAGTTGATTACGAGGTGGGGGGGAGGGGCACTATTAAAAGTTATGTACATGAGTAAAGCAGGAGTGGAGAAGGGAACGTGGACAAGTTGTGACATGTTGTCACGTGTCTGTTGTTCTTTCCCAGAAACGACAAGGGTATACCACCACAATGCACAAAGAGATGCTATGGGGAGGGAGGGGGTGTGGAATGTTGACTCGTGGTTTGTTGCTCCTTCATGAAATTGATCCAGTTCACAAGCTCCGATGTGTCTATGCTGCTTGGAGAGTTGAACCATAACACTGCACAGCCCAGACCTGGCCCCCAACAACCAATATCTCTGCCGCCAATTTCCATTCAGAAATCTGAAGAGACACATGCATGGTCATATTTTTTTTGTATTAATGCTGTAGAAGCCTAAGTGGCTGTGTCTGGCTGTATTGAAGACCAAGGAGTGGATTTATTTTCTGCTGGAATATCCTCACCACAAAAATGAAGGTGGAGCAAGTGTATAGAGTCAAGGAGGCAACTGTATTGGAAAACAGTGAAAGAGTTAATACGGGGGGGGGGGTGTGGGCTGTCCAAACATTCAGCCCGTCTCACCCTGAGATGAAGAGGATGCCCGAACTGGTGGCCTCCCCGACTGGGTAGGTGCACTCGACACCCAGCTCCATGCACACGGGATAAATGGAGAAGCCGAACATCCCGAAGACGCAGCACGCCACGGCAATCACATACTCCTGCTCGCGCATGCCACACACCTGCAGCAGGAAGGGGGTAACTTTAGAAAATCACAAAACCAGTCAATCAGTTTATTTCGGCTAAGGCCCACAGCTACAAAGCTCTTTTTCAATGGCAACCCGGCCAAAACGGCGCATTACAAAGAAAGGATTTACAGGGGCTGCATAAAATAGCTGATACGACAGTAGCCAGCAGGTCACATGGGAAGGGAGGGTTTTCAGGGGCTACATATAAATGAAAACTGATAATAAATACAACAATTCACAATCAGAATTACGTCCAATGGACAGAGTAAACAATCCAAAATAGCATTGCGCAAGACGGAGAAACTCACATAATTTAAAATGGCATTTATATGAGCAAGGATTACAAATATATTGCCTATTTTGAATAAAGTCTTTCCAAAAATGGCATTTTCACGTTCCAGTCAGTTGGCTTTATGAGCACGGTTGGCTATGTGCAACCTACATACAGTTACAAGTGTTGCATAAGTTGTGAATCAACGATCAGAAACAATAATGAGAACGCGCGCAAATTCCATTTTAGTTTCTCCCCGCTGGGTAACTTTAGGCAGCATATGATCTCAGACATGCCAATTATAAAAAGGCATGCCATTGCTCGTTTATATTTGGCAAACATGCAAGGAGTGAAGGAATGGCAACAGTGGAAAAAAATACTTGAGTCTTGATCTCAGAGCTGTCATGTCTCCACTGTGATCATTGTGCACCCCTGATCAGATGTCTACAGCCTCACTGGAGATATACATCTGAGATGAATGCTGCTCGTAAAATGCTGCACGAGCATTTCATTCATACCACGAATCAGTAGACATTATTTAATTGAGAAGGAAATTCGAACGTATCTTTCCATTAATGTATTTATTTATATATAACTGAATAATTACGAACGCTCTCTTGTTATTAAACATGTATGCGTCTTTCTCGCTCTCTTTCTCCCCCAGTTAAGTATATGCCACCCTGACAGAGGTGTAAAACGAAGCAGAACACCGACCCAATGCAGGGCCGTGCAAACCCAGCGACTTGCTCACCATCGCAAACACGCAGGCCGCCAACGCTGCCAGGCAGAAGTTGATCTTGGCTACTTCCACAAATTTCTTGGAGCGATCGACGTAGAAGCCTACCAGCCCAGCACCGATGATTCCGAACCCGATCGTCAGCGCTCCACACAGCCCTGAGAAGCTCTGCAGCGGAAACATAAAAGCAGATCACAGGGGCCACAGAAGCCTGATGATAAAAACATGGATCGCTAACGTGTGTTTAACTTCACATATCCACCAACATTGCTACGGTTTTTAATACAAATTTCACAACAAAGCAGGGTTTTTCAAACTCCACTTCTCCCCATTCACCTTTTCATTGTTTAACAATCTCCATTCAAATAAAAATTTGGTAATTGCACGCTGCACGTGACCGACGATTGGTAGACACATCCCACATGGAGTACGTGGCAACAGTCGTGCCTAGGTCGCGTGGAACAGGTGTACTCGTACATGATCTTGTATTTTAAATTTAATCAGCTCTCTTCACGTCACATGGTGCGTGTTTATTAAGCAGTGATTCAGACAGTGTTTTTGGTAAGGCCCACTGAGCCAAGAATAATTTTTTTCAATGGCTGACCCTGCCGAAACGGCAAGTTTAATGGGAAGGGAGGGTTCACAGCTATTGGAGAGAACAAAAGCAGGGAAAGTTTAGAGAAAATGACGAATGAATAATAGTAAAACAATAAACAACCACAACTATGTACAATAGAAATCTAGTGTGCAATCCAAAATAACATTCCGTATGAAACTCGTGAAAGGAACTCATATGTAGAGTTGCAATGGCATTTATAAGACAAAAGGATAAAAATTGCATTTATTATCAAGTTTACAAGTAACGGGCTATTTCGCATTTGAATGGAGGTTGGTAAACGTGCAAAGTAGTTATGTTGTGGGACATGATGAATGATGTGGGAAACCCTGTATTAAAGATACGGGGTGTTGCGATTCGGCATACTGCAAGCTGCAGGCTATTCGAGGCAAGATCGGTCATTACAAATAATGCTGCTAAATTGTCTACACTTACAAGTCTATTCCCTTAGGTGCTAGTCATATGAACTTAAACATTTCCTCCGGGAAAGCTGTAGATCTTGGAGAGGGGCCAAATTAAACATGCTTTGCGTAAAAGAGAACATCTGGCCATATCCGGCATTAATTATCGTAGCTATTCAGCCCGTTTAAATTTGGCAAGTCTCTAAAAAACAATAGAATACATCGTTTAAATAAACGGGAGGGTGAATGACAGGTGGGAGGGAGAGGTGGGAGAGCGCGCAGGACAGCCCCGTACGTCCGAGTATCCCCGCGAGCACAGGATCTGCTCCAGCAACGTTGTGAAGGCGGTGAACAGGGCCACGCCGGCACCAAAACAGAAGAACAGCACGAGGTACGGCTTGTTGGTCATCACCTACACGGCACAGACAACACGCAGGCCCATGGCAAACGTCGGCACCGAAGCGAGGCCACAACAAAAGGGGAAAGCGGTTCTCTTGAGCACGTGTGCCAAAGAGGGAAGGAAACAAGAGCCTGGGGTACGATTTAAACGTGCTCAAAAAGCAAAGCGTCTGTTCATACTTCCCCTTAAGGACATGTCCCGTGTGCACAGCCATTTTGTCAAGCCACTGCTGTATGATGGTGTCGCCATTCAGTGTTGGTTACTTGACCAATACTTCAACAAGTTGGCCAGTGTGGGCTGATGAAGGTGGTGACGGGTGGGCTGCGCAGTCGAGGAAAAACAGAAGTGCAGTGCAACATTGGCATTTTCTGCACTTCCGTATGCTACCCGAAAATAGCCCCACAGCAGCCTACAACACCCGTTTATGGATCGAGGTCTCCCATCCAGGAACTACTCGGGCTGAACCCGCTTGGCTTCCGACACATGAGATCGGGCGCACTCCAGGCGATTTGGTCAAAGGCTACTTCGCCTTACACGCTTGGAAATATGCCCAACATGTGCCATGGTACAGAAACGCAGGCGCATCACAGTATACGTCTTCGACAGGCTTTCACCCACAGGATTTACCGCTTTGACGCTGCGCCAGAATGGCTCGCCGGTGGGGTGGGTGGCTCCGAGGGAGGGGGGTGTGGGAGGCGAGCCGCTGCACACCCCACACGTGGCCAGGGCGCAGGCCAGCACGGCCGGCAGGCAGTACAGGTACAGCTGCGGATGCAGAAGCGGCCATTAGTGAGGCATGCGGCGTTGTGGCACGGCTAAAGTGTGCAGGCGCTGCAGCTGTACCGGGGCCCCTTGGGCCGTAGCAGCCCAGGCACCGAGCTAGGAAGAGGTAAAGTACATTGGGCAGGTGACCCAATTTCATGGCGTGCACCAGGGTCCTTGCACCCCCACACAATCACGCAATGCCACTGCACCCGCTGACAAGCAGGCGTGTACACCACACACGCAGACAACCTACTCAAGTTGAACCTCCACTGAGTAACGGCGTGTTACAGCAGATACTCAAATCCACAATAAATGTACAATGTACAGCCTTTTTGTCAACACAAAGCTGGACGAAGGCCTCCGCATGCCATGCAGGTGGTGGAGGTTATTTGGGTATACTTTGCCATGCTGGTCAGTGCAAATTGAATGTGGACATCATAGACGTTGAGAGCACAGAGCAGTAAAACACTGAATTTTGCTGCACTCCACTGTACTCCAATAACCACACTGTAGTTGTGCAGCACCTGTTTAACGCATGGTGGTTAAAGATACAAGCGAGATCGGATGAGATTGGCCGCATTCTAGGTGACTTTGTTAAAGGCAATCGTTAATGTATCGCGACAAAAATATAAAATGACGGTCTGTTATAATGCCGTGCGCATACACTTTTTAATTACCGGCGGTTGTTGCAATGGAATGGTTTGGTCCTCGAAACCAAAATACATTGTACACCAGGCCTTGGTAAACCAATTACTTTTGTTGCTGAAATCTATATCAATAAAAGTAGGTGCATAGTGCTGTATTCTATATGGTTCTGTCAAATAATATTTCCATTGAAGATAAAGGATTTTTATTTTAATCAAGGGGCATGTACTTTGACTGGGCAATATGTCACAATAAGTTTAATATTTAAACTGGAGACCTTTTGAATCTGCACTGAACACAGCATTCCTAGTAAACGTGAGTGAAGGCAGATTGTGGGCCGAGTTGGACCCCAGTGGCAAATGCATCGAACGCCGCGTTAGCATTACCATCATAGGCATCTGATCTGCTTCATAGACGATGGTAGGGGACAGCACATTGGCCAGCAGAATTCCCAGGGGGTTGGCTGTGGAGAGGCACAAGAGAATCACATTGTTTAACGAAGCAAGCCAGCGTCCCTTAATTACACACGACAGTAATTTTATCTGCGAGCTGCATCAAATTCAGGCTTTAGCGTTCTCCCTTAAGTTCATGCACATTTATAATTACCATCATTTAAAATGTTCATTTAATTCCAATTATCGTTGTTTTCTGTTATGATGCCAAGACTGTTTTGTATGTCTGCGAATACCAGCATCCATCACTGCACAGAGAACTGTAAGTACTTTATTGATGAGGGCATTAAAATATTGTCAATATGGCCAACTATGTCAAGGCATACCAATGGTAAACATCAGTTGACATGCCACACCAACACTTCTAAGTGTGGTGGGGCTAGGGGCAAAAGAGGTGAGTTGATACCTTTTGGTAATACACTGGAGGAAATCCTTGTCGATCAAGGGGGTTATGTGATCATATTTCACCACGCTTGTCAGTGCACATTGGTTTGGGAGGGGTGACCCAAACCGATTCGGCTATCACTCGCCACTTAAGATAGCTGTGGCCGCGAATCGAACTCAGAATTCAGGGTTCATAGCACAGTACGATAAACGCATCACCGTTCCACACAACAATTTGTGAATCGCACATGAAATGCAAGTGGTGCAATAGAGAGAAAGGTAAGTGGATTCCCTCACACATAGAGGCCAGGGTGTTGGCCGTTGCTCGCTGGCTGTCGGGAAACCACACAGCAGCTAACTTGGTGGGGGCGAAGAGCAGGAAGGGCTGTGCCAGCGCTCCCAGTGTCTGTCCCGTCATTAGCAGCGGGAAGCCCTTCAGGGCCGTGGGCATGAGCGGGTGATCGGACAGCGCTCGCAGCACGCTCCCCAGCGCGTTCAGCCACGAGCCCAGCACCAGCTGCAGGAGGAGCAGACAGCCATCCATAAGCAGGCAACGTTATATGCAGACGTGAACATTTGCCCCAACCGTCGCAAAATTTATTCGTGCAAGTCAACTGCCTCGTCCCGGTTTCACTTTGTGCAGGAGTTCCCTGACCTTGTTTATGGGCAATAAACATCACCTGAAGGGGGTAAAATACATGCGGACAGTCACGGTACAGCGAGGTGTAATTCTGGTGGGGGGGGGGGGGGGTTAAAGGACGAGTCTTGATAAAAGGCAATGGAGACAATAACACCAGGGTCCGTGGCTCAGTGCCCATTTTAAAGCAACTGGCTGCTGTGGTCTGGCCTTATTTCACCCTTTCCCATCTGCAATGGTTCATGGCATATGACCCCTGTTCCATCACCAGGACCACACTGTAAACAACAGACTCCCTGCTTATGTTGTGCCACGACATTGGAAAATAAACACCAAAGCAGAAATAAATGGGCAAATGCAATCACAAACATATAGAGAGAAACACAGACAAAAGCACGAAAACAATTTTGGTAAAAAATTACACTGGAACTTCTGGATTAAAATATCAGCTGCAGACGTGCGACGCCTGTCAATGATGAACTTAAACGTGTTGTGCTCTCGCCAAGAGATGGAGAAACAAAGGCTGCAACGGCCGTACCGTTACACGCAAGCCAATGCTGTCCATGGACCATGAGGCCACTATGCCACATGGGATGCAGGCAACCAGAAAGACGATCGCCAGCCAGTTAACTTGCGCCAGTGAGATGCCAAAGAACGTGGCAGCTTTGTCTGCTATGGGCGCGAAGCTCAGCCAAATCTGGATAGGACAAAACAGAGGCATCACAATTAACATTCTTTATTCAGCAGTGAATAGACAAATGTCTGTACATGCACATGTAACATGCAACATCTGTAATCCTCTGGGGGCATTCACAACAGCCTAATTACATACTTTTCAGGACCAAAATTATTTCGACAGAGTTTCCATGAATGTAAACAGTTCGTCATTTTCCTGACTCGAGCGCTCGTAAATATTAGGCTACAAGAACTTGTTCACATTTATATGCTCATTCAAATTGTGATTTGTGATTAAGGTACTGTTGTATACATAACATTATGTTCGCTTTCAGACTAAAAAAACACTTAACCTCTGCACACATTGGTCCTGTTGAGCAATACTCTTTCCTCCACCTGAACTTCTGGAAATGAGGTCACATGGGCTTCTGCGTACCACACACATTTCTGGTACCTTCTCCTTGGGAAAAAAAAAAACCCCAACTGTACCACTTTGAAAAAGGCCTTTCCCTGCAAATAAATACGTGTAAAAAAAGACAATCGGGAAAACTGTGAGGGTAGTGCACGCACCAGGGCATTGGATAAGTTGAGCAGGCACAGGACCGCCAGCACGAACCAGCGGCGCGCATACACATGGTAAACATGGGCCCCGGAATCCACGGACCCCAAGGAGTCCTCAGGGTCCTCGGTCATGCCAAGCAGCTTTTCCCCATCCTCCCCCGGCCCAATCAGATCCCAGGACCTAATTGCCTGGTTCCCAAGATCTCGAGGCCTGGTCAGGCCCCTGGGCTCCCCTTGTTCAATGGGTTGATTCATGGGTTCATCTTGATCCAAGGCCACGTCAATGAGGTCTCCTGGCTCTCCCTGAATCCTGGGTTCCTTTGGCCAGGCTCCAAGCATGGGATCCCGACGCCAATTCCCATGTTCTCCCATACTCCCAGTCCGGACACTTTCTGGCTTGGCCATATCCCCGAACTCTATCGGTTCCACTAATTCATCCCCGGCCTCCTCCGGCTTCCCAGCTAGATCTTCTGCCTCCAGTGGCCAAACCAAGTCGCCACGCTCCTTGAGTTTGACCAAGTGGCCTGGGACGGTCAGGGCCCCATGGTGTCCCTGCCGGGCCAGTGCCTCTGGCTCTGCTATCCGATTCCCATAATCTATGGTCGGTTCGCCGAGTTGCTCAGGAGAGACTTCCTCAGGCTCACAAATCCGATCCTCTGGCTCTTCTTGCTTAGCTTGTTCTCCCAACGCTGTGTTCTGATTCTTTGTTTCCTCATCCCCAGTCAAGTTCTCAGGCTCCACGGTTCGATCATCCGCCTTCTCAGACTCAACTTGTATTTCAGGATCTACGGTCCGATCCTCTGATTCTCTTGTCACAGTCTGATCTTCAAGGTCTCCCGACTGCATGTTTTGATCAATTGATCTTCCCAACCCATGGTCCTCAGTGTTAATGTCCTGATCCTTTGGCTCCTCAGAACACCCAGACTGGTCTTCAAGTTTCACCGACTCTACGGTGCAGTTTTCTACATCTCCTGGCCTAATTTGGTCCTCAGAGTCCATCATCCGATCCTCTGGCTCCTCTGGTTCTGCCTGGTCTTCAATTTCTCCTTTATGTTCTGTGGCTTCATCGTCTGTTTGGTCTGGCCCAGCCTGGTCCTCCGGGTCCTGTTCAGGCGTCATGGTCTGATCCTCTTGCACTCCCAGCTCAGCCTGGTCCTCAGGGTCCTGTTCAGGCGTCAAGGGCCGATTCTCTGGCGCTCCCAGCCCAGCCTGGTCCTCAGGGTCCTGTTCAGGCATCATGGCCTGATCCTCCGTCACTCCCAGCCCAGCTTGGTCCTCAGGGTCCTGTTCAGGCATCATGGGCCGATCCTCTGTCACTCCCAGCCCAGCCTGGTCCTCAGGGTCCTGTTCAGGCGTCATGGCCTGATCCTCCGTCACTCCCAGCCCAGCCTGGTCCTCAGGGTCCTGTTCAGGCGTCATGGCCTGATCCTCCGTCACTCCCAGCCCAGCCTGGTCCTCAGGGTCCTGTTCAGGCATCATGGGTCGATCCTCTGTCACTCCCAGCCCAGCCTGGTCCTCATGGTCCTGTTCAGGCGTCATGGCCTGATCCTCTGGCGCTCCCAGCCCAGCCTGGTCCTCAGGGTCCTGTTCAGGCGTCATGGTCTGATCCTCTGGCGCTCCCAGCCCGGCCTGGTCCTCAGGGTCCTGTTCAGGCGTCATGGCCTGATCCTCTGGCGCTCCCAGCCCAGCTTGATCCTTGGGGTCCACGTCCCAATGCACGGGTTCCTCGGATCCAGGCTGCTCCTCAGGCTCCTCCGACTCCATCGTCTGATCCCGGGGCTCTCGAGCCCCAGCAAAGTTCTCAGGTTCTAATGCCCGTGCCTCTGGCGCCGGAGACCCAGCACAGTCCTCTATGGGTCCATCTCCAATCTGTTTCAGCTCGTCCTGGTCCTCGGTGTACGTTTCACGATCCACGGTCCCATCCCCCGTTCCCTCACACCGGCGTTGGCCCTCACGTCGCCCCGTCTCCATGGTCCCATTTCCTGCCTCTCCCGGCCCAGCCCGCGCCTCGGAGGTCGCGGCCCGACTCTGGGGCCCACGCGGCCCGGCCTCGCCTCCAGGCAGTCCGACACGAGTTCCCGCCTCTTCAAACACGGCCTGCCTCTCACGGTCCCGCGACTCCACCACGGCCCGATCCTCTGGTCCCTCAGGCACGGCCTGGGCCACGGGCTCCGCGTTCAGATCCCCGGTCTCGCCGCCGTCTCCAGCCGCGTCCGACGCAGCCCCGCCGATCCCCGCGCCTGCGACCGCTCCAGGCTCGCCCTCCGCCGACATTTCCCGGTGGAGTTCTCCGCGTTTCGTTCCGTGTCACTCGCACGTTGTTACGGTGTGTTGTTGTTGTTGTTGCCGCCGCTGTTGTGCTTTTGTAACAGTCTCCGGGCGGTCATGTGCTGCTGCTGCTGTTACGCAATCTCTTCCGCACCGAGTTCGTGACTGTGGGGACCCCTCCCCCGCTCGTCAGCAGCCACCACCACAACAACTACAACCACCACAACCACCACCACCGCCACAAACACCACCACCACAACCACCACAACCACCACCACAAACACCACCACCACAACCACCACCACCACAACCACCACCACAACCACAACAACTACAAGCACCACAACCACCACCGCCACAACCACCACCACAACCACCACCACAACCACCACCACAAACACCACCACCACAACCACCACCACCACCACAACCACCACCACCACCACAACCACCACCACCACAACAACAACCACCACCACAACCACCACAGTCACAACCACCACAACCACCACCACAACCACCAGCACTACCACCACCACAACCACCACCACAACCACCACCACCGCCGTTTTCCTCAAGGTGTCCGGAAGGGGCGCTGCGACGCAGAACATCGCCAAGCTCCGGCATGTCGGGACGATTGCTGGTGTCGTTTGGTACTGAGGGCAGTGGGGTGGGTGGCCATTTCACGAGTGTGGTGGGTGGTGCTGAGTGGTGGTGGGTGGTGAGTGAGTGGTGGGTGGTGGTGAGTGGTGGTGAGTGGTGGGTGGTGAGTGGTGGGTGGTGGTGAGTGGTGGTGAGTGGTAGGTGGTGGTGAGTGGTGGTGGTGAGTGAGTGGTGGGTGGTGGTGAGTGAGTGGTGGGTGGTGGTGAGTGGTGGTGAGTGGTGGGTGGTGAGTGGTGGGTAGTGGTGGGTGGTGGTGAGTGGTGGTGAGTGGTGGTGAGTGGGTGGTGGTGAGTGGTGGGTGGTGGTGAGTGGTGGGTGGTGGTGAGTGAGTGGTGGGTGGTGGTGAGTGGTGGTGAGTGAGTGGTGGGTGGTGGTGGTGAGTGGTGGGTGGTGGTGAGTGAGTGGTGGGTGGTGGTGAGTGGTGGGTGGTGAGTGGTGGGTGGTGGTGAGTGATTGGTGGGTGGTGGTGAGTGGTGGTGGGTGGTGAGTGGTGGTGGGTGGTGGTGAGTAGGTGCAGGCCCTGTCGACAAGCGGGAGGGAAGGGGGTGACATCTTATTGTGGACCCACGTTCAGAGCCCATCCCAATTTTTTGTTGTTGAAATAAAAGTTTATTTACATTATGGAGGGGGCAGCCAATAAGTCATACAGGTAAACCTCTTATCAGTGCCTTACCTTATTACAAACCAATTCAGAGCTTATTGGTCACCGCGCGCCCTTATAAATAGCAACGTTGATCCCACAAATTACCATCACAAGGTACAAACACAAAGACAAAAAACACGTGTTTTGCCCCTATTGAAACGGCTGTACGCCGTATGCACCTGGCAATATCCCTGTACAAGAATAAGTGGTCAGCCGTATGGGTCGACAGCGATGATATGTTCATGGAACCCCACATGGTTTTTTTCTCGACGCGTCTCGGTGGTGGTGACGGTGGCCAATTTCAATAACCCAATGCACACACCTTCCTGCTAGGCTACCTACATCCACTGTGTCTCTGTAATCTATGGTATATGCACGCGCGGAAGCATCTGTTGATTTATTAAAGTCGACTTGTTGCGTTCTCAGTTGCCGAGTTTGTTGAGAATTCATTTGGATTGGATTCGTGAAATTGGTTCACGCGGTGACTCGCTGCAGTCACACTGGAGGCGCTAATTTCACTACAGATTATATCGGGATGATGGGTTCATTACGGCTTTCATAAAATGTTTATCAATAGTGTAGAGCTGATTCTTGAACGTAATGTTGGCAATTCCGTGACGATGGCTATGGTGGAGGGGGTTTGTTGAATCATTATTACATGGTTCGTTGTAGGTTCAGCTTATCTGGCTATTCTCATGTCCAGTTAGTGGTTTAGGACCCATTTAGGCTCTTAAAGATGTTTACACAACGTATAGAGTCCTGGATTGTCATTTGGCAAACTTTATTTGCCCATTTTATTATAAAGAATAAATCTATGATCATTATTGATTATTGTCATCAGCGAGCGTGATGAGTTTAGTCACAGCAGTGAACACCCTTCAAGCATTGACAAGGGAAGTTTGCTCTATCGCGAGATTGGTCATGGGTTTTGATATTGGCCAAGTCTTGAGATATTGCAAAACAATTAAGCACGAGTGGATATAACCAGGACACGAGGTACAGCAAATATCGGCAAATCCTTTACTGTTGTTACCTCCGAAAACTTCCATTTACAACTGTGCCAATGCACGCAACTAAACCACAAGCGGTGTGTACAGTATGTTGAACTTCTTGCCCACCGTACATAGGCAATCGTGCTAATCTTTATTTCATCATTTTGATTCCAGTTCGCCTTTAGTAATTGCCCTAGTTTTTCATACTTTACCCAGTTGTGTTTTCCAGTTGTCTATCATCTTCATTACATACCTACCGTGTAGATTTGTTTACGTGTTTGGCTATTTTAATGCATACAACATTAGTTCAGTGGCTTAGGCTGCACTTGGCCACTCAAGTGAATTTAATGAACGCAATCACATTGGTTTTTATGCATCTTCAGAATGCTTGCTGTGAGAAGAAGAGCTGGGATGGAGTGCTTTTGGTGAATTAACTTTGATTGCGAAAATCAGCAATGTTCATGGAGAACGTTTTCAATCATTGCAAATTACCTGCCACGGCGCATAATTTGGAAACATGGACTGTGACAGTGAACATGGAGCAGGGCTGAAAAGTCAACAAAGAAGCGTGGAGAGATCGATTCTGGGAATTACACCGACACACGAACAGGAACACACGGATCACGGAATTCGTGCAAATAGCAGACAATTTTGACGGAAGACAAGTCGTGAGCTTGGACAGAACACATCAATCGAGAGGGATGATGGCCAATTAATGAGACTGGTAACAATATCGGTTCAAACAAGGAACATGCCCAAGATGAGGACCGCAGAGATGACATGATGAGAACGGAGCTTGTTCAGGAGTGCGATGGATGGCGATGTTGTGTGGAGACGTTATCCATCAGTGGTGGACACGTGGCTGGTTGTGGTGCTGAATGGCACTGTGATACAAATTCAAATGTTACACAAGTCCGGCAGTGAATTGGCATGTCAGCTGGCGACACGGATGCCTGCTTGTAAGACTGTAACGATGCATCGATTGCTGAAAACAGATTTTTACGCTTACAATGGATGTAATGAACCGTGTGTGAAAATCAACGATTTAAGCAAATTATATTAAAATAAATGTTACATTTAGATTAATGGAGCAAACATCTGTAAATAGATTATGCAAATAGAAAAAACTGTACAAATGAGATGGTACGAATGAGACAACCAGTTAATACTGACCCAGAATGATGACAATTTACAGCAAATGGATGTGGGTGCTGCGGTTGAGGTAATAGTGAATCTTGACATGCATGCTGGCTTGCATTTCCTCTTCTAAAATATAAACCATGGCTGCCTGTGCGATGCAGAATAAATCGCAAGGTTCCCTCTTCATCTGTTACTATTTGGCTTTGACCTTATCTTTCAGAACTGGATGTTACCTATGTACCTTTCGAAACCCAAATTACAGACCACACAGGACTCTTTTTTTGGATCCAAACTATAGAACACACTTCCTCATCTGATCAGGGAGTGAATCCAAAAATGTTTAACAATCACCTTCAAATGCATAATTTCTAAAATGTTTATTAACTGGTACAGGTTGTAGTTTTCTTTTATTTATAACCAGCTTCTAGTGTTAGACGTTTTCTTTATGAACCTTTACATTATGCGTATTTGTAGTTTGACATTTGTTTGGGATTAAATAAATTGAGTTCAGAGCCAGAAAATGTAAAATGTACACTGGCTGGGCTTAATGGTACAGGAAAGTAACAATGACAGAATGTGATAATTCATTTTACAATTTTATTCATATTGGCAAGGCAGGCAAAATAATTAAACATCAAAAACAATCTCACAACGTTACAAAATTTCCTTTCATAATTTGTGCAACTTAAAAGCAAAATTCACCATCCCTGAATCCACGACCATACCTTAAGACAGAACGGTTCGCGACATTCATGAAATATAATTCACCTGTGAAATATGTGACTGTACATAAAACTCACAAATATATATTAATCAACATCACCATTTATTAAAAAAAACCCCACCAAAGTGAGGTGAATTTGTAAAAAAACGCCACTGAAAACAATAAAATCATTTACAGTTTTTAATGGAAGTAAAATGTTACTTTGTAATATAACTGACTTGCCAGGCAAGGGTTAGTGTTACCTTAGCTTGCTTATTATGCAGCCCATCAAGTACAATTTGGATGAAATGCCAGTTTGATTAAGTAGAGGAGCATAATTCAATTGATTTGTCCTTAAGCCTCGCTCGTCTTCCATAATCTGCATGTGTTGGTCGGTCTATCTCTGCCAGTGGCTTGAAAGCCATACATGCTGTTGTTCATTTGTGCTGTGAACCCTATTTTATGTAGAACATGGTACCACAAAAATTCCATGCAACATACAATGCATGTACGCATCCGCTTCATGAGAGTAAATGTAACATAACATTGCATTCCTGTGGATCACCCGTATCCTGAGCAATTTACAAAAGTGAGGTTATTTGCGAGTTACTTAAAAATTCTCCCCCATGTCGTACTTGTCAACATAACAGGATTCTCTGGTTAGACAACCATTTTCTATAAAGTCACGTAGGTAAAATAAAATAAAACAACTAAATTTAATTTTATTTTACCTATGTGACTTTACCGAAAAAAAACAAGAGTATGAATCCTTGCAGTCACGAAAGCTTCAAATCTAGAACCATTTTCTGATCTAAGACCAGCCCAGCATCACTGAACTAGCACGCTCTTCCTCCCTGGGAAAACACCGTATCAGTTGCTCTGCACATAAAAGTTGTCAAACTGTGCATTCTGGAATGTGTGCGTTCCAAATGCAACCCAGCCTCTTGTTGGCATAATAATCTTCTCCTGCGTCATCACCAGCTGATTTTCAACCACGGCCACCACGCTGTCACCCTGGCAAGAAACATTATCACCATCATCATAATTGAAGCCTTTTACCACGCTTCACATGCCGTTACATCTTGGAGTGCATGCAAAACGGTGTTAACGTGTGAAACAAATTACAGTAGATCGAACGCACAAGAACTCGAACAAATCGGTGTTCGACCGATATTTCCTAACATTTTTTGCCCCGGAAACCGAACGAAATTCGGAGGTCGAACGGCAATCGCGACATGAAAGAACCTGTACGGCTGAGACGCGTATGGCCAGCAGCGTGCATGACGCTTGCCCAAGGGGAGTCCCCTTCCAAACAATAACACCACCTCCTCCTCACCACCTTCCACTCAAGCCTTACTACATGCAAATTGAAGTTCAATGTTCATTTATTTAATTTATTCCATATATTTATTGTGCTTCTTGTTTTTTGTATGATTTTATGCATGTAATTACTGTAAACTTCGTGTAAAAATGCTTTATAATGAAACATTTCTTGTGTCTGGAACCAATTAATGTCATTTACAATAATTATTATGGGGAAAATTAATTCGGTGTTCGAACAAATCGGTGTTCGAATGGCTTTCTGGAACGAATCAAGTTCGATCTCCGGGGTACCACTGTACTATCGATCTACAAATACCACATTTTAAAAAACCTACAAATACAAGAACACAAAATAAACTAGTTATCTCTCCGTATCATCGAAAAATGAGTCATTGTGCACAGCTAATTTCAGAAAAGTCTCAACTCATCAATGCAGTGATACAGTGATGTGCACACACCACTCCTGACTGAAACCTAACATCGAAAAATGAAGAATGTAAAGAGAGAGGAAAAGGGGAAGTACACTGTACAGTTGTGAGAAATGCTTAAACCCGATTTCAAAATAACACATGGGAAACACATTGCATCCCCACTCCTAGGCGTACACAATATCTCTGTTTTAAAAACACCACACGCAACCACTTGGGTCAGTGCATACATCCCTGGAGGCGCGTACACTTTTTGGACATGTCCCCAGCGACAGACTCGGCTCCAGGCCTCACCTGCAATGAGAGGGTCATCGTGTACCACGTCCAGGGCTTGGTAGGGGCTGTCCCTGACATAAACACGAACCTCCCAGCTGTGGGCAGGGAGAACATGCGGCAGTCGCAAACACAATTAGAGGCATTGGTGACACCACGGACCGTGCGCAGTCATCTGCACGAGTATCCCAGTGTATTCCTGGTCATAATCAGAATCTTTATTTATCCGATGAGCTATGAATCCCTTTTTCACAGATGTCCAATAAGGGCGGGTCAGCGAGTTACATCAGTAAACAATGCAAAAAAATATATAAAAGCAAGATAGAGAAACGGGAAGCAAGTCGCAAAAAATAAACATAAATTAAGCGTACAAATGTAGTGACATCGCGGGATGTCACTGTGTAGTGTCGGCCCTAGAGAGGCACGGCGTGCGGTGTATTGACATCGTGGATACCACAGTGGTGTGAGTGTAGTACCGGCCCTAGAGGGGCCCGGTGAGCGCTGATTGATAGCGCTGGATGGCACCACGCTTGGCGTGCAGTGCCAGAACCTACAGGACAGGGTGTGTGAGTGCCGGCCGTAGGATAAGGTTACTAAGGGCTGTTGGTCCCGGTCCGTAGTCGCTAGTTACATTTAATTAGTCTAGTTAGCCTGGTGGTCACCACCATATGTTATTCCGTTAAGGGGCCGTCCATAAATGACGTCACGCACCTCGGGGGGGGGGGGGTGGGGGGAGGGTCAGACATTTGTGACGATTTGTGACGAGGGGGGGGGGGGGTTGAGAAATGTGACGTCACATCAAAATGCGCAACTTTAAATAAATATAGAATTGTTCTAATTGTGTTTGCGACTATTATAACACTCCTACAACATCAGAGTGCAGCGCCACATTAAATACGCACTACAATGACAATAGTTTAAAGCGATTTGAAGCATGTTCTATTTTCAGAATGGAAATATGGTTTGGGGGGGGGGGGGAGAGCTTTGTGACGTCATATTTGAGGGGGGCTCTGACTTTTTGTGACGTCGTGTGACGAGGGGGTCAAAAATCGTCCGAAATCGCGTGACATCATTTATAGACGGCCCCTAAGGGGTCAGTCACCCCGTGTGTTGGAGTTAAATAAATCTGTTGCCTCCAAGTCTACGTCTGCGACTCAGCTGAACTCACTACACAAGTACAAATTGCACAGGTACAGTCACCATTGGCCATGATACATTCACCATGGGATAAGGGCCCAAGCTGTTGCCCACCTCTGTTATTCAGTGGCCTGAAATCAAATGTATCGCTCCGGATGACCGCTGCAAAGTATGATCTTGAGTTTGGATTATAGTGTGCTGAGCTTTAGAGGTGCATTGCAAAATGTTGATACTCCTACTGATACTCCTGTTGTTATGGAGTGACTCATGCTGCCAGCTATGGCTGCAAAGTTTGGTAGTACATGTTATGTATATCGTTTATTGTTAAATTTGAATCAGTTCCTATGATCATTGTTACATTGTTTTATAGCTTTATTTTGGCGATTTCGAAAACGTTTTGGTTTAGCCATATTTGTTTGTTGTAGTAAAGAGTTAGACTAATAACTTTAATATAAATTGTCTTATGGTTGTTATTGTTTGACTTGCATCCCACTGGGATTTTTGCACACAGCGTTGATATACGGTGCTTTTTCTGGAAGACTTTGCTGTTTTTTCATGGATTTTTCTGTTTGCGCGTAGTCACTTTAAGATGTTTGTTGTTCATATTTTTGTTTTTTGCGGTTGCATCCGATTCAAGAGCCGCATGGCTCACAGGGCTATACCAAATAAATGAAACTGAACTCTCGCTGTCCTACCTAGCACTGGCAACACAAGCGGATTTCTATCGTTCCATCTCCACGGCTCCTTTAGAGCGCATTACTCTCCGTCATTAGTCTCAACCATTTACCATCAGCTGAGACATGTTCCAGTGTCAGAACCCAAATCTGAATATTCACAACTACCAATACTACGCAGAAAGGTAACAATCTCTAACCCAGGTTTTGCACGTAGAATTAGTGATGTACAGAAATTAAATGTTTTTGTTGTTGCCCGCAAGCATTGTGTGGGGCTGTTATCCTGTTCCTTCCCATTGCTGTTGGATCAGTGCACTCACCATTACGGTGTAATTCTTCACATTGAGCGTGACCTTGCTTCTTCGAAAATGATTGGAAAAGACCATTACAAAGTATCCACTAAAAAGAAAATTGGCGCCATATCCACTTTGACCTGCGACCTTGACAGCCTCACCATTTGCTACAGATCAATGTGCACACTAGATTACAAGTAAATCTAACCCTAACGGTCTTTTTTTTCCCCCTCACAAATATATCTTGAGGGCAAAATAACCCACAACTGTGGAGGGGGTGTTCACATGGTAGATTTTGCCCGTGCTCTCGGTAATGAAAGCCAACTCATTTGGAGATACAAAACAAAAGAAAAACTGAAAGCTTTGTTCCAAAAAACCCAGCACTGGGCTTGACGTGTCACCTAGGTCATTGGTGAGGGCGAATGTTCCATTTGCGAAAATCCAGAAGAAGACCCCCCGGGCGAACGGGATATCATTGCCGGCCTTGTTCACCCGCCCGGCGATAAAAACTCCTCCCTGCTCGGCATCCTCCATAAACACGTCACATGACACCAGCACATCGCTCCTGCACGCAGTCACACGCAGCGGCAACGTACACGATTAACGGCCGTCCATCCAAAGTGCAAGCGGAAATCGTTTTTGCCGAAACGCCGTTCCAAACTGAACATGAACAAACGAATAAATGAATAACCATGGCGATCGGCGGCGAGTGGGTTCTCACGCCCATACCAGTTGTGATTTCCGATGACCGTGATTGGCTGTTTGGCATCCTCGGCCCAGGTGATTGGTCGGGTGGTGATCACCTGACGCATCGTGAACACGTGCGGTCCCGGATCGGACAGGTTCCGGAACAGTTCAAAGACGCCCGTCTGGTCGGCGAAATTTGGCGCCTCGCTGAAAGGAGGAGTAGCTTGTAGGGTAAGGGGGGATTGTGGGAAAGCAGTAAAAATTAGGGGAAAAAAACTTTTGTAAGCATTATGTTTTGTCTATTTCCCATAGAAGCTCCCAGAACAAAGAGCGAAATGTCAGGCATCGTGCCGAACAGCATGCAGTGGTAAAACATCGGAGAGCCGTGAAAACCTCTGCAGGAGCGTTTTGCTTTTTTAGTATTTGTGCAAAAAGACTTAAGTCAATGCAATCTTCGAAAAATATATTGAAAAAATTGAGTTGACAGAGTAATACAATGAAACACTGCAGTTTGTGAAGTAACAGTGTTCCAAATGTTTGCTGCGAATCTAATTCTGCAGGAAAACTGGATTCCCCATACAACCCTCAAGTACTTTCCGATGCAGGGGGTTGTTTTAAAAAAAAAATATATACGTATTTTTTACCTCACCCGCTTAAATGAAATCGTGCTTGGGCTCACACTTGATAAACGGTAAAGATGCTTCCCTGCCTTGTTCCACTGAAGGAAAAGGTCTAGAGGAAGTCGAGCAAGAAAAGGTGAAGATGCAGCCCTTTTCCATCACTGCAGGCGAAAGGGCCTCTACGAGAAGCAATGACACGAACTCTCTCCTGGTGCCCTCTCGTCGTGGCCTGCTGACCTCAACATCGGCCTTCAAGCTGCTGAACGTGTCGCCATACGCGAGGGTAGAATAGTTCTAGAGAGCCTCTCCTCTGGAGGGTATTTTGCCCTACTCTGTCCCACCAGCCAGACAACTTGGAAGAGGTAAAAGTACCCACACTTTACCCCTCCACATGCGACTTGTCGATCGACTAACACTTGTTCACAAACATTTATTTTTAACCATGAGAAGTTTTTTCTTGGGTTAGATCACGTAAATATAATTATGTCGTTAAACCCACCACCACCTGACACAAACAATTAGTAAGGTTTGTCACGTAAACAAAACTTGCCAACTCGTTACTAGTTCAGCACACCGGTTTTTTTGGGTGCTTTTGTGGACAACAGCCATATCAGACATGAGTACAATCTAATCGGCATAATCATTGGCTCACTGCAGCTCAAAGACTCACTCCTACAATGCGTGTGGTGAAGTTTGGAGAAGTCCATGTGCTTGGCATTTGAAGGCCTGAAGACCAGAATTGGTGATAATGCTAACGATGTGTTCAGGAAGGCAGCTCCATATCCGGGCAGCAAAGTGTAGGGAGCTTCTACTCAGGGATCAATGTTCTGGAAACTGGGGGGGGGGGGGGGGGGCGGGGGGGGGGGGGGCAAGGGCGTCGCTTGGCAGAGTTGTGCAGAATCGGGTGGCACGACGTTTCTCATATGGGGGTGGGAGCATGGCCTAAAGGTCTGCGGAGCAGTGGTTGGCGTACATTTGGTACAGGACTGTGATAACAGTCCTGTACACAACATTTACAAATCGAGTACGACGTTTTGTCCTTTATATTTCGACGCATTTATATTTAAGCAATCTAACCCAAAAAAAACCTCTATTATGGGTAATATTGGCCGCGACAGCCTACGGTGTAAAATTAGTTTTTTACTCTGCATTGCCAGCGGTGCACGTGATAAAGGGCCATTGCCCTAAACGATGCCGATTACACGTCTCGTCCTGTTCTGGGCAGCGTTTCAGCCGGAATGTGTCGAGGTTTTCGCCATTTCGTTTGTGAACTCACCGACGTCAAAGGAGTCGTTGTAGAGAGACGGGAACGGCTGGGAGGCCGGGGGCCTGGGGTAGTTGCCGCGGTTGCCGGTGAGGAGCGTAGTGAACGTGTACACCTCGTCCACGTCCAGGCTCAGGGTGAAGCTGCCCTTGTCCACCTTGCGTCGCACGGGGGACGACACCAGAAAAAGTGCGGCTCTCGCTTCGGCCGAGCTTCTCTATGGCAGCGGCGCAGGGGGGCCACTCCGCCATCACGACAACTCGGTTCCCAAAGCGGGATCGACCACAGCGTTCTCGCCTGATGGGGCCAGGACGACGGGCGGTTCGGCAATGGAATATTGCATCCATATGTGTGGAGCTTAGATTGTGTTACCGCACCCTCGTATGCCTGAGTTTTCGCCAAGTAGGATACGGTTTCCTCCCAGATGCCACACTCTCAATAATGGGATTGGCCAAACATCTCAACACAGCAAGACCTCTCCTGAATGAGTCTTGAGTGAGGATAACGTGGATAAATGAATGGCATGGCTACCATGTTATTATTCTACACCGCACAGACATGGCGAAATGTGTGCTCGACAATGGAGGCTCGTGAATTAAACACATCCTGGCCTGGGACAGTCAACTCCCCAATCTAGGCCCGCGTGGGCGAGTTACCTTGATGGGCGAGAGGGGCTCGAAGAGCACGCTGGGCTTCCCCGTGAAGTAGAGGCGCGAGTGCCACACCTGCAGGCTCGCCACGTGGGCCTGCAAGAACCAGGTAAAGGCATCCACATCGGACAACGTGAATTGGAATCCACGCACGGTGGTGTGGGGTTAGGGTACGCACTTGCATGCGTTGAATTTTCCCTGCACCGCTTGTGCAGTGGCCAGCCGCCCAGGCGAATGAAACAGAAGTCGGTACTTGTCAGGGCGGACGTCTGAACTCGGTGGAAGGCAATTGAAGGTCTCTGCTGCTGTCCTGCTCTTGAAGTCGAGACCCATTGTAGTCAAATAAATAAGCATACAATAACGCTTCCTTCCCATGTCTATCCCTTCACGTGAATAAATGTAAGAATATTTTACGCAGCCTGTCAGCCACGCGGCTTACAGACGAGGCACACTGCCGAGTCTGGCACGGGGGCGCGCATCCGTGACCCAGCACTCCGGAATGCGGCAAGGGTCGGTGGATCACCAATTTCTTTGTTAAACTCCCACACCCACTGTGCCGTGAGGTGGTGGTCAGAAGATGGTTGTACGGCAAGGAGGTTTGTGAACCCCGCTTGTGCCGACTTCTTCAAGCGTCAACTCCTTGTGTAAGTGGTGAGTTTCCTCCCGCACACGAAACGCTCCTCTGAATATAAATCAGGCCAAACATCTCAAACGCGAGACCCCCTTGACAAAAGACTACTGAGGCCGGGCGGTCATTTAGCTGATGAGACGACGGATGTGCGGCGACTCACGAAGGAGCCGGTGAGCCTGAAGGTCACGTTCTGCGGCGAGACGGTGAAGGGCGGCAGCGGCGGGCGGATGCACACCGAGTGGTTGTGTGTCTGTGAAAACAAAGCGATATTGACGCTCGCGTGAACTCAAGCCGCGGTACCGCAGATCCGACGCTAGGAACGATCTGGCTTCTCGTGATCTCGGAGACACTGGACCTGGCGACCTAACCGTGCGAGAGCTACACAAGGCAGGTGCGGTTACCTCCTCCATACCTGGGGAATTACACAGCCTAATTTGCGACTGCGGCGAGAAGTGCAATGCATCACTCGCATCACTCGTATGGTATGGGTCTCTACGTGAGTCTAGAGGTCTCTATGTGAGTCTATGGGTCTCTATGCGAGTCTATGGGTCTCTATGTGACAATAGTTCTATATTAGTATATGCATCTCTGAGTTTATGGGTCTCTGCATGAGTCTATGTCTCTCTATGCGAGTCTCATCCATAAGTGGACCAGTAAGGAGATTATGCAATCCCCATCACTCACATCACCCATCAATGCCCATTCACACACTGCAGTGAGAAGTGCAATGCAGCAAGAAATAGATACAGACTCGCATTATGGCAGTCGCAGATGCGATCTAATTACTTCTCCAAATTCATCATTCAGTTATAGACTCATTCACGGCCTTTTGATTGTCATATTAAAGTATAAGACAGTTCTGTATCAGTAAATTCGACTGGGCTGCGAGACGTGGCTGCATGGCTCAGGCAGCTAATGCCCTGTCAAACCACTGAGCTGGCATTGATGAAATCCTGGGCTGGAATCCAAGCAACCACCAGTGATTAAACCGGGTGATCCTATCAACTGCCGCTCAGCATAGGGGCTCATCCAACCGATGGCAGGAAGCTTGGGACTCAGATAAGACTGCATCACACCTTCACTACCCATCAGTCGCACGCGACAATTGCTTATCATTTAAAACCGGCAGGCATTTTAACTTTGGTTGCTTAAAATGAAATATGAAAAACAGCGCCTACAGATGAGGTGAAATTGTTTCTATGTTGAACTTCTTTCACATCGTACGTGGCCAACCGTGATAATTGGAGGTGTGGAGGAAGGACAACAAACTAATCACAAAGCAGTTCTAAAGAAATCAGTTTTCAATCTAGATAATTTAAAAGTGCACAGCTCCAGTGGATTCCTAATATTGTAAGGAAGAGCGTTCCAGATGGCCGCAGAAGCGTATCTGAACTTTGAAATAAGGGTCAGCAGGAGCAGGGATACCATGGTTTCTATGACGATGGTGAGGTTCCCGCTGCCGTCGGTGAGGGCCACGTAGGAGCCACCCGCCTTGAGGTGTCCGTCCGCTTGGAGGTAGTGCCAGCCTGGCCTCGTGAACTGGGTCGTGTGCGCTGGCACGGAGACACAGAGACGAGGGTCAGGCTCAGACGGTAGTGCAGCTTGGTAGGGCCCAGCGAGCTCAGCAGCTCTTTTACGAGGACGCCCACAGCCCAAGTTCGCCGGCAGTAGCGGCAGTTGCAGGACATTGCACGGAGGGAATGTGTGCAAACAACGGCAAAAAAAATCTCAATGATTTACACGAAATAGTCGCCCTATATCTGTTGTATGCTTTCGTAACTGAATTGTCATTTTTCTATGATCAATCTAAACATAATCAGCCCGAGCCGGGTTAGCTATAGGGGCTTTATTATCTTAACGGCGATTTATGTTTGTGTAATATTTTTCAATTTACCACGTGACACAATTGTTTTAGTTCTGATTTCCATTCTCTTCATTGCTGTACTTTATTGAATCTCTTTAGATTTTTTGTAATTTTGGTGACCCAGGTCACACTTGAAAATGAGGCTCCTCTATCATGGTGGTCTCTTGAGTTCCCATCGCCTGGCTCAACAGAATCAACTTGGACAGGGAGACGGCACGGCTCACAAAATGAGAACATCGCCACTCGGCAGGCAACGATTTGACCGCCCCGACCCCAGCGATTTGATGAACTCGCGTGATTGAGGATCATGATTCGGGTAAAATATTTATATTGTCTTGTTTTACCATATAATTGTATCGTTTCTTGTTTTTTTTAGCCTCGTGTGTACAGTATTTGTTTGCTCCATATATTATTCATATATACAATCCACTGCTGGAACAGGGTCTAGACCCACGTCATTTCGGTCGTTTGACCATATTACACCACACTGGTCAGTATGGGGTTGGCGACGTCAGGGAGCACAATTATTAGATTGTTGCACCTCCCTCTGTCGCCCCGAGTTCGTACATAGTTCATGTAAATAATCAATCCTCAACACACGCGTGACTCGATGTACGTATCGCAGAATCCATCGTTGCACGTATCGCAGAATCCATCGTTGCGTGCACGCTTACAGCGCCGCTCCACCTTTGTTGCTGCTGCTGCGCCACCATTGCCGGAGTGGAACGATGCACGCATTCTGTGCCCGAGTGGCTGATGTCTTGCGTTTGAGTTGAACGTGGAGATGTTTGCCCTCCCTCCCCGTACCCCTCTGCCATGCTCCAGTTACCCGAGATCCATATGGGGCCATCGACGCTGTAGAAGCCACTCCAGGGCTCCTCGGCCGTCATGAGTCCGTCCCTCCCGAATGGAAGTGACCCGTAGTAACTCGCTACCAGGTTCCACGAGATGGTTCTGCAAGCGTTCACAAAGACAAAATACCCCCGCGTAGCCTTTAACAGACTGTCGGGGCAAGTGCTATTAACGAGCACCTATTAAGGTCAGCACAGCATACGATGGGGTGGGCGGCCTGTACCATGCCTGGCCACCTTTGTTTCCCCAGTGCTGATATGTATACACCACCGCACCAGGTACAATTTTTTAGGCCGAGTCTCACCTCCGGGATGCCCAAAACCGGTTGAGATATTCGTCACCGATGTTGTACCATGAGTGGGAACCGACCTCGGGTCCGCCGGGTTTCTATCAGTGCACTAGCCGCTGTGCCACTGCTCCCACCCCCCCCCCCCTGAATGATGCCCACGCCCCCTTCCCCCGTGCCCTCACGAGGTCATGTTGCCATTGACGTAGTTCTGGTTGAGGATGCGAGCCCAGCAGCCGGCGCCCGTCTCGTCGTTGAACGTGCTGAAGTCCTCCGAGGACCAGAGCACCTTGCCCGTACGCACGGCATCCACCGTGCTCTTGGTGCCGGGGTAGTGGGCGCTGTGCGATGGGAGAGGTGAGGGGTGAGGGGCGGTGGTGAGGGACACCACACCGGGAATGTGATCAGCCGCATGTGCATGTCATCGCCATCATCGTCGTCGTCATCATCATCATGCCTAGTGTGGCTGTATAGGCTAACCGGAGGGACTTTATGAGTACTTCAATGAGTAGTAGTAGTGTACCTGGCACCTGTGCACGGGCTGATTTAATCGCTCCATCTCCTCAGTGGGCAACCTCTTGAATGCATTCTATCCCTCAGCTGCCACTCCGTCATTACTACTGACCACGGGTCATCATCCTCGATAATCGATCATTAACAATAACGAAGTAATTGGAAGTTCCCAAACCCACTTTCTTTCGTTACCAGTTACAACGACTTCATTAACCTTCGTGTATTCTTTAACCCACGTGCTCCTCTTTCTGTGTCTCAATTTTAATTCCAAGTACGCGTCTCTCTCTACTATGCGTCTTTGCGGCGCCCGTCACTTTTTCTTTAATTTTCCCCGTCACTGCGTAGCGTTCCCGATGCACGAGAGGCATGCCTGCCAGCGCTCCGGATGGACCGAATCGTCGTGAAGACCAGCAGCTGCCACCGCTGCCATGCCACGTGGATGACGATTTACCCGATGACACTGATGGCCTCTGCCAGCTCCGAGTCATGCAGGATGTCACTCGCGATTTCCCATTTGTTGTCGGCCGCGATGATCTTGACCCAGCCCAGGCCGACCTTGTCCAGGGTCTGCCTCAGCACCTGGCCATGCAAGTACGCACACACAACAGAGACAAAGATCCCTGTGCAACCTCTACAAATCTTTGGGCAATGTGCTGTTAGCAAGCACCTACTGAGGCCGGCACGGCGCACGTACGAGGTGGTTGTGTGGCCAACACTGCACCCAGCTGCCTCTGTCTCCAAAGGGCTGATGTTTACACACTGCACCAGGCGCCCATTTAAGGATAATGAAGTAGACCTCGAGGAGGCCAAATGAACGGGATAGATAATCACCACCGATATTAGCTGTAAGCGGAATTGAACTCAGGTCACCAGGATGGACTTTTCATAGCTAGGGACATCATATAAATAATAGCTATAAACTTTGAATTTTACCAGGCAAGACCCACTGAGCTATATAGGTCTGTTACAGAAGTGACCTTGTACCCAACTTGACAGCCACTCATTTTACAAAAAATATTTTTGTAAATTCTGTGGTAACATCTCTATGAGTGGCAACTGGTGGCAATTTGATATTATTATTATCATCATCACTATCATTGCTATCATCTTCATTGTTAAAGTTTTCATTTGATTCTGAAAATCTCTAGCGTTAAACACACATTAAAGTAAATTTTAAACAAATACATACCTTTATGTAATTGATGTCGTATTTCCTCTCATTCCAGATCTGTAAAAACATGACAGCAGTCACGGCACAATTCACCAACTCGTAGACTAAAATCGGTCCCAATCTTCATGGCACGTGAACCGGAACATGTGTATCATTATAGTTATTCCCGTATACGCTAATTATACAAACATACAATGCTACCTGGAAGAGCCTCCCCCAGCCGTCAGTGCTGTCAACTCCCTGCCACTGTTCAAAATGAAGCTCCAGAACCTTTTCTCCTGTCTATAACGGTCTCTTTTAGTCACGCAAATATATAGATGTAATATATATATAAAAACCCTCGCTATGCGCCAGTTTTGGATTAGCGAGTTTCACATTTACGCGAGTAACTAAATGTATACCAATTCGCTATTCGCGATCTGCCGGACTCGCGAGTGTGCGTAGCGCCAGACCACCGACATCAGGGAGGTGCACGCAGCATGCTCCAACATGCGAAGCTGTCTGCGAAGATGAGACACGACCCCATGGCTGCCCGTTTAGGCCTCAAGTCTTGCCGCAATCCCGCTCTAAACTCGCTATTGTGCGCATTTACTTCATAGGTTCTTACAGTCGACTCGTTTATACGTTTTGGTGTAAACGACTGCGAGGTCCATTAGAAAGAACGCGAATGCAATCGGGCAAAGTGTTGCGGCTATTGCTACTGAGGGTGCTAAAATGATGACAACTTGTGATTGCGTTGTTATCAAACACCCTGCACCTCCCGAGGGGTCATCCTCCTGAATTCCTCACTATCACCACCACATCCGTCGTTGTTAAATCATTATCAAAGGTAATTAAAAACACGCATTATTATTTATTACTTATTTATTGTAGTCATTGTGATTAAGCATTTACCATTTCTCCCCTATGTTCACTCGTACCAGGAACGTAACCCCATTTCTCCCATTGGAGCAAGGTTTCTGCATTCGTGAATTCTGCATTTGCAAGTGTTTTCAAGAACGCAACCCTTGCGGATAGAGAGGCTTTATTTTATTAACGCAATTGTTGAGCACAGACCCACAAGGCCCAAAACGTCTAGCAGGCACCATCAATTAGCACTTTCGAAGTTATTATTAGTATGTGTAATATACATGCAAGCTTCATTTTTCTGCGATGCACATATCCCACTGTTCATCAGTACGACATATTAATGCTCTACAGATGCAAATTGTATTGTATGCTAAGCTAATGAAACAAGAACATTCCTTTTCTCAATCCACTGCTGGATGAAGGCCTCCCCACGCTGTGCCGGTCATGAGGATCATTTGACCGTACTTCACCACAATGGCCAGTGCAGGCCGGTAAAACCGGGGCCCCATAGATGAGGAGGCATATAAGTACAGTACAACGAGCTTTTTGCCACACTGCCCTGCGTTGTGAATGGTGGTCGCACATCGAAGCGCTACCCAGGCTTCATCCTGCTTAGACGTGACAGCACAGAAGTACATGACAACAACACAAATGGATTTCGTGGCACCACTGCCCTCTGCTGCCTGTGCTGCTACAGTACTCACCCCGACGTAATCGATGTCCAGGCCATGGTACTGCTTGGCACCCAGGACCCAGGAAACCACGTACCCGGCCGTCACCTCCGGGTACTTGTACGGGAATTTGAATTCGCCGCCGACCCACGCTGGAAATGCCCATGGCAAGCCTGCGACACACCACGGGAATCTAACTCAGGTCGGCAAGTTCGTAGCACCAAACCGCTCAACCTTACACTTGAGTCAAACCGATTTCCGATGCAAATGAGCATCGAGGTGTCACTCATCTCGTCATTACAGCCCCGAGCCAGCGGTGGTGATTCTGTGCCTCGGACAACCACGGTCAACTTCTCCACAAAGTGGTTCCCATTTGATCAATCCCGGAGAGATGATAGGCTGGGGTCAACCACCAGCCAGGATTTGACCTCGCAAGCTTTCCGATGGCAAGCCGCTCACTCTAGCGCTGAGCCACAGTGGCCGCCTTGAACGACGAGGGTTTAAACGCGGGTGTTATCGGCGGGGCAATCTCCCCAGGGTCCAACTCTCACAATCGGGGTTTGTTTTTATTGCTTCATATTACTGAGAGTGCCTCACCCACGAGCGTGATGTTGGGGTTGCGCTTCTTGGCCTCCTTCATGAGCCACCACTCATAGCCGCGGAAGTAGTTCTCGTCTCCCAGGTCCCGCATGTGCGACGGCTCCGTGCCATCTGGAGCATGAAAGGAGCACAGCACAGCACGTCGCACGGGGATGCGTCGCGTGCCGCTCGCGAGTTACAGGTGGCGGCAGCTGGTGAATCTAAACTGCGGCTATATTGATAAAAGTGATGATGGTGATGATGATGACGGTGCGTTATGGCTGCACAGTCATACCTGTGGTCTGTGCGTCGCCTCCAATCTCCACTTTTAGGATGTGTAGAGAGGCGCCAAAGTTGGGCTTTGGGGAAAAAAAGAAGTTGAGCCATGGTTATAAAAAAAACTAAATCAAATATGTAAGCTGGTGCCGCAAATACCAGCATACTGCACGTTGGCATATCCCCCCCAAGGGCGGAATAAGCACGTGTTTGGCAAAATTATCGACAACTATGCCACTGATTAACACAAAATCGGTCAAACATCTACTTTTTACTATTTTACCAGGTAAGGCCCTATGCGCTATATAGCATTTTTTCTGACGCGACCTGGCCACAAATGATCGCTCAACGAAGTGGATAATCCCGTGGACATTTATAGCAGCAAATTACTCTAAACACACATTTCTAAATGTGGAGGGAAAAACCGGAGGACCCGGAGAAAAATCCACGCGACCACGGGGGGAGAGAGAGACACGCAAACTCCAAATATAGAGGGATCAGGGTCTGGATCGAACCCACGACCTCCTGTATATCAAGCGAGGTAGTTAACATCTCACCACCGTAGAACACGATCGAAGCAGAGTTGACGCCGCCCAAAAACCATCCCATATTCCTGACGCTCGAGCATTCGCAGATTCCCAGTGTCACTGTGGTCTGCTTGGTTTATTTTCGCCATAGTCTAGGCGCTGACGACATGTGCAGTGTTACCCGAATCTTAATCTGCGGAGTAATTATCTTAGTCTAGTCGACTAAAGCAGTCAAACATTCGATCCACGGCGCTCCAATCTCAACGTAGGATCCTCCTGACTAAAAGGTCTTGAGACTCGGCGAGGCTTTCCTGGATAAATGAAGGGCATGATGTGCAGCTACCTTGAAGAGGTAGTCCAGAATGGCACTGCGATGTGGCTCGGGGTAGTTCACGAGAAGCCGGGACGTAGCCTACGCAAGCACACGTCACACACACACACGAGCACACATCATAAACACACGAGCACACATCACATGCACGAGCACACGTCAAACACATACACACAAGCACATGTTACACACATAACTGTAGTCATGCAGATCGGGGGTGGCCAAACCGTGGCCGACTCTGCTGAGTGTCGAAACCGGGCCAGGGTTTGCTTGCATGCAGGGGCGGAGCCAGGATTTTGACTTTGGGGGGCCCAATGGGCGCCACAAATGTATAAAACAAATTTTATTGGATTTGAATGCGGAGTTTATTAATAGGTCGGAGCCGCTGATGTGGCTAATAAGTTCGATAAATTCGAAAGGCTGCCGCTCAAGCAGCCTGCAGGGCAGCACAAGGTGGCAGCCTGCAGGGCAGCACAAGGTGGCAGCCTGCAGGGCAGCACGAGGTGGCAGCCTGCAGGGCAGCACGAGGTGGCAGCCTGCAGGGCAGCACACAAGGTGGCAGCCTGCAGGGCAGCACACAAGGTGGCAGCCTGCAGGGCAGCACACAAGGTGGCAGCCTGCAGCATTTTGCAGCAGCCGGATATCCGGTTATCCCGATTACCGACTTTCCCAAAATTTCAGGGGGGGCTGAGCGCCCCCCAGCCCCCCCTATGGCTCCACCCCTGCTTGTATGGGATGAAGAAAAAAACATACATTTACAGGTATTTTATTTAGACGGAAAGACAGATACGGGATGGAGGCGTATTGTCTTTATTATTTATTGTTCATATGAAATAATCTGTTTCATTGTAGGTGCAACTAAAACTAACGTTGGTTAACGAGACCTCCAACATTCTACAACCCGAAGTTGTGTTGGTGTTAAATAAACGCGTTGCCCCCAAGAGTACGTCTGCGACTCAGTTCAACTCGCTACACTTGCATTCTTAACTGGCCTAGATCTGAAATGTTCCGCACAGAGCAGAATAAGAAATGAAACTAATCCATTGCTGTGGAACTAAAGGAACACTGCTCGAATGTTCATCCAAACTGCCAAAGAGGCCCGAGTTCGTACATGATCGGACGAAACGGGAGCATGAACTTTTAGAATCTTTCATCTTGCATCTTATGAAATGCTCTACACGTACGGCCCTTTTATCATTCGACTGCTGGATGATGGCCTCCCCCAATCCACGTGGGACGGAGGGGTTATTTTGACCATACGTCATCAAGCTGGCCAGCGTGGGTTGGTGAAGGTGGGGAACATAGACACAGAAGCACAGCACGACAATGGGTGTTGCTGCTGCGCCACCCTTGGCTGCCCATACCGCAGCCCCGCAGCAGCCGAGAGTGCCTGTCCTATGCGGAGAGGTCACCCATTCAAACACAATGCAGACTGAAAACATGCTTAAGCTTGCGAGATCTAACAAAGATAGGTAGCAATCCGGGCAATCTGGTCAGGATGCTATCTACATTAACATTGCCATACTCGGCCACGGGACACAAACCTTTCCGAAATCCCTCACATTATTCCCTTCTGGGTTTACGACTGAGAATTCACAGTTACATAACCGAGCAAAACGCCAGGGCTTAATTTCATTCGGGTCGGAAAATTGTTCTGCACCAGGCACACCGCATCCTGGATATCTCTCACTACGGCTGTGGCTCTTGGTCACAGCAGCAGGAAGACAGCAACACGAAGCTCGTGTTGAACGTCCTCAAGCGGTCGGTGTCCATTTGACCGACACTGCGTGATGATCACTCCGAGTCGGCGCATGTTTTACTTCCTAATTTAGGGGGCGGTGCCGCCGTGGGTTTAATAATGGTTAGCACACTGGACTTGCAATCCAGAAGATGCCAGTTCGACTCCATCTCCTGGCCCGGTGATTGAAGCGATGGTGCAAGTTTCCTGGGTCACCACGGTGGCGAGATGTTAACTACCTCGCTTGGTGTACAGGAGGTTGTGGGTTCGATCCCCACCCCAATGCCTGTATATTTTGAGTTTGCATGCCTCTCCCCGTGGTCGTGTAGATTTTTCTCCGGGTTCTGCGGTTTTTCCCTCCACATTCAGAAACACGCTTTTTCAGTATTTGACTACCACATGAGAATCACTTCGTCGAGCTATCAGTATTGGCCAGGTTGCTTTTGAAAAAGAGATGTACAGCTTAGTGGGCTTTACCTGGTAACATAAAACGTAGTTTCGTTCAAAATTTAGTTTATGATATCACCCACCCTGCATCTGTCCACCCAGCAGTATGAAAGGGTACTGCACAATAAAGTATTAAAGCTTTCGTGACTGCATACAATAACTCATTGGTTTTTTCGGTAAAGTCACGTATGTAGAAATACAATAAAATTATATTAAAACAAAAAACAATCACGACGTTTCGATCACAACGCAAGCGATCTTCATCAGGTGTCAAGAACAAATTACGGAGGTAAATACAACAAAAAGATGAGAGACGAGAATTCAACAAACCTGAAAAAACATTATGTGAAGCACATCCAGTCAGGCCAACAACACAGTTAGACACTTCCTGGCGGACCACAAATTTCAGAAGAATGTTAAATTTCGTGTTCAACCTTTGGATTGCACATACCAGCATAGATAGAATGAAAAATACGAGGTACACGGTCAGTAGAAATACATATACAAGGGTACTGCACAGTTAGGTAATCAGCCTGTCGTGTGTGGTGGTGATTGGGCTAAACTGTGGGTACTGTGGCCAGTGTTGAAGAGTAGGTCAAAGTACCCTCTGGAGGAGAGGCTCTCTAGAACTAATTCTAGCGGAGGCCCTTCCGCCAGGCCAGTGGCGGATATTAATTTCAGTGCTGTACCTTTCCCTTTACACCCCTCTGCGGACCTGTCTCTTGGCCTACTCCAGTCTACCGGAGACCCGGAACATGCCGAGTGAGAAATGAATCCCCGAGCAGCACGCTGCGCTTTATTGAGCTGCGGTGTTATGAATCCGCATCAATCATGGGGAGCAGTTCCTTCACAATCGATGCTAGAAATGCAGTAAGCTGTAAACATCGCTGTTGGCCCATGATTACTTTAATTTGACAGGGGGTCCACTAATCCAAGCAGCACGTCCACAGGTAAATTTATCACTTTCTGGACAAGGCAAAGGTACTGCCCTGCAACTGCGCACTCATGCAACTGCTGGTAGAAGGGGCTGCACTTTAGGGAGTGCCATGGTATTTGGCCTACACTTCCACACTGGGAGCACCCACACTTTACCCCACCGCACGTAATCTGCCGATCGACTGTGGTGTACCCATTCATGCTGCTGGGTGGACAGAGGTGGGGTGGGATGTAAGAAAGTCACTCCGCTGTTTCAACCGCCGCGCCGGAAGATCGATCGGGCGGCAATCCCAGTGTGTCGACGGACATCCGGATAACTCACCGTGAACAAAGTTGCGTCTTAAAACAACCTCTTTAAAAAAACAAATCGGCTCTTCATCTTGGAGCTAGCTACACACACCTAGGCTGTGTGTGGTTGCATAAGAGTTACCGCGTGCTCTGTGTGCCAGCATTGTCAAGATGTCACCGTGGCCAAAAGCCTTTGATTGCTACCCAACGCTGTCTACCCTATGCCAGATCTCGCAGCTGCGGCGAAAGTGGTGCGTGACCACGAGCAACGCTTGTCCTGCCAGAGTTGGGCAGGCAGGGCGCGCTAGACAACTTTTCACAGCCGCCACTGTGCGCCCGAGGATTTGGGCAAGAAAACGTGTGTAGTACAGACGGCGTGTTTGAGCCAAGCACGGAAAACCCGACTGTCATTTATATGGTGCAGTGGTTGGTGGCCGGAGTGAGAGAAAGGGCTGTGGCCATTCCTTTCCCAGAGCTTAAATTGGTTTATTCTTGGCACTCGTGATCATGGTACTTTTTTCAATTCATCAAATTAAATTTGCTTTCCTGCTCAAATGAGCACAGAGGTGGTGCGCATCTCCCGTTTACAGCTCCGAGCGAGTGGTGGAGATTCCTAATTCCTATGGCGGGGGTGAGTCTATCCAAATGACAACCACTGTGACTTGCCTATTACCGTAAGTGGTGTTCGATGTATCGACCCCAGTGGGATGATCAGCTAAGTCAACTCAGAAAGAGCATTTAAACTTGCAACCTTCCGCTCGCACGTAGCCTGCTCTACCGCCGAGCCACCTCAATATCGAATTTTAAGAGTTGTGTTGGGAAACGTGGGGCAGCTTTGGTAGTAAGTTCATATCTGCAAGAGCAGTTTGTTTGAAAGGTTTGGTTCACAATTATTTATTTGACCAGGCAAGACCCATTGAGCTATATAGCTCTTTTTCAGAAGCAACCTGGCCACAAATGATATCTCAACGAAGTGGCTATCACGTGGGAATTTATTACAGCCAAATACTCGAAACGCATGTTTCTAAATGTGGAGGGAAAAACCGGAGGACCCGGAGAAAAATTCACGTGACCACGGGGAGAACATGCAAACTAAATATACAGCCGTCAAGAGTCGAGATCGAACCCATGACCTCCTGTATACCAGGCAAGGTAGTTAAAAGACACGGAGTACGCCAGATTGAACTCAAGACATAACTATGCACGACATTCAAATTTTATGTGTAGCAATACGCATGGCAATTTTACTGCACAGCTTGAGTTCGCGTGATGAAATAAACTGCTGCCGTTGTCATGCAATCCTTGGGGTCTGTGAGGGGGCGTTCGGTAAAGTGTAGCCGGGTATCATCATTTTGGAATAAGTCGTTTCATAAACACTCATTCGCAAACTTTCTTGTTTTGAAAATTCCATAGTTTTAGCTGTTGTGTTTTTTTTTACTGCGAGATTGGAGGCATTATTTACTTACAAATGTTTAAAGTCACATGGCAGTTCATGTACACTTCGTTGAGCTATCATTTGTGGCCAGGTCGCTTCTGAAACAGAGCTACATAGCTCAGTGGACCTTACCTGGTAAAATAAAAATAGTTTATAGTTTGTGTATCCCAAAAGTTATCATTATAAAATACTGTGCAGTGTTTACCTACATTTTTCGTTACATCAGTATAATCAGACAGCAAAGCATTTTAACCCAAAGAAAATACATTTCACTCACCAAGTCACAACTGGATAGTAAATCAGTCAATAACCCATCAATACATTTTCTGGAGCGCATCATCTTTCGTATGGCTTATGTACAGCATTTATTAGATTTGCTTGTAAGTGATTTAGCCATTCAATTTCCTTGTATTAGAGTTTAACTGCAGATGCACCCACCCAACCATCCACCCACCGACTCACTCACCAACCCACCCGCCCACTCACCAACCCATCCACCCACTCAGCAACCCACCCACCCACTCAGCAACCCACCCACCCACTCAGCAACCCAACCACCCACTCACCAACCCACCCACCGCCTTCACATGTCCTCTACATTTGGGGCATTGGCACGTTGTGCTCCATATTTTGGAGTTTGTATCCACAGTCACACAGGAAAACACCCTTTGGTATCTGCAGCACTGGTACAACAGGTGATGTCATTCCAGCGTGACTTTGGTAAAACTATTTTCAACGAGTACACAACGAAACAAAAAAAACGAATACAACAGCAGGGCTGGCAAGTTCCGTTTTTGTTGAGTCCAGCTTTTTCAGCAAAGGTGCGATGGCCTGCATTCAGACCTGCACACACACACACAACGGGTCTGATCCCTGTGCATTAGTCTGGCTAAATAAGCATTAAGTTGGAACTGCCATATAAATACCGACTAACCCCTCAGGCCACACTGAACAAATATATTGGTCACTTTGCTGATGAGACCCAGTAGGTCGAATCTGGTCTAGGGATTGCTTGCTGAAACAAACGCTGTGAGGTAATATTGGTCTGAAAAGCCAATTATACTCATTAACTAACATGGTTTTATTGTATTTACTTGTGTGTGGAGACAGAACCGAGTTCTGCTAATATAAGATTTACCAATATCCCACAGCAACACGTAACGAGTTTCTAGCAATCATAGGTCACAATCCCCAAGTCCAACACTGCGAGGAAGAGGGTTTGGCTGGCATTTCGTCATGGGGAATTTAACTCACTCTAGAAACAAGCATCGAATCGAACACAATGTAGTCACATAGAGGGAGAAAACTTGAACACCGACAAAAACAGACGCGGCTGATCACAGGTAAGGGGTGTAAACATATCTAGGTGAGCCCAGGTGAGGCGCGTGCACCACAGCGGTGGGAGGGAGGCGAGCCACGTGGGAGCGAGGCAGCTGACTCGGCCAGCCCACGCGCACCACGTGACGCGGACGCCACGGCACGCGCTCACCTGACCGGGTGTGAGCGATACAAACAAGCAACAACAACCACCCCAATTTTGACTTACAACTTTCGTGACTGCGGGAATTCATATTCACGCAGATAGAAAATAGAAATACAATTGTGTATTTTCTAAAAAATAAAAGCAACAACAAAAAAACCCCGCGATGTTTCGATCGCAACACAAGCGATCTTCATCCGGAAGAAGAGCGCTTTGCCGAAAGAAACAAGAATAACAACAATAACCCCCTTTCCGGATTCTCAAACGCCACTCGCCTCCAACTTCACCCCCTCGCCAACAGAAACCCTCGCCAACACCACCGCCGTAGTGCTGCTCCCCATCCCCCACCCGCCCACGAGGAGGGGATCTGTGTGGTTAACTCCACAGGTAAAACAGATGGGGTCAGAGCGGGCAAAGGAGACCCCGACATCTCTCTCACACACACACACAAAGGTCTCACCCCGCCGCCACTCAGGCCTCCGATGCCGTCGAATCGGCGGCCGAGTCCCTCGGAGTCCCCGAGCCTCACGGAGCCGCCGCGGCTCGGGCCCGGCTCCAACACCAACAGCAGCGCAGCCAGGCAAGCCGCCGCGGTAGGAGAGCCTGCCATGCCCACACTGGCCCGGCTCGCCCTTGCCCCTGGTGCCACTGCCTGGGAGGAGTTCCGAGTGGCGGTGGGCGGGCAGCCGCTTTGGGGACGTCGAGATCGGTTATCCTTTACGTGCAGCGGTGCGATTGCATGTATTTGCCACGAAGGAGGGCCACCGTCTGAAACGTCGCCTGTTTATGTTTCCCTTGCAAGGCCACAACACCTGGGGGAGTGCTCTTTGAGTTTCCTGATGATGCTCCTCATTGATGGCAAACGAGGCAGGCATGGGGGGGCGGGAACAAAGTTGGCTGAAGCCACGCCCCCTTCACTCCCAAGACTCCGTCCACTGGTCACGAGGCTCCACCCACTGGTCCTCATCAAAGGAAAAGTCTCGGGAGGAGGGGGCGGGACTCTGCAGAAGGGGGCGGGGATCTACAGGAGTGGGCGGAGTTTGTATATGAGAGGGCGGGGTTATGCAGGAGGAGGCGGAGTCTATTGGAGGGGGCGGAGTCTCCACTGTGGGGGAAGGCGGAGCCTCGGGAGCTGGGGGGGGGGGGTCCCCTTGCCTCGTCGCAGATCCAATCAGATGGCCTCAACCCAGAAGCAGCGGGGGTGGGGGGCAACGCGGCATTGTTAAAACTGCTGGCCAATGGAACGAATGTGAACACGTCAACCGCGCGTTGTTTCTGAATTAACATTTTCCTCAGAGTAATAATTTAAGAAAACAATATTTACCGACCGCAGTGCTCACAATTCCGTAACGTCTACTACATATGACGCGTTGGCGAATGCAGGCATCAGCTGGTTCCATAGTGTAGTGGTTATCACGTCTGCTTTACACGCAGAAGGTCCTGGGTTCGAGCCCCAGTGGAACCAACCGGATTTTTTTTAAATTCCGCTTGCCTTGATCATTGGTGACCATTTTCCCTGGGTGAGGCACGATGAATGTCAAAACAAAAGTAAATTTAAGGCGTATTTACTTCCCAAGAATCACAGACACCGAATGTCAACTTCTCCCGTGCAATGGCATTCTTCCTTTGAAATGAACGCATCTTACGCCCCCTGCACGAATACACTTGATATTGCATCTCGTCACCCATTATTACCCTCCTAATGTGGGGTCTCGTTGGCTTCTTACATCTCGCTCTTTGGCCATGTGCTCTGAAGGTGGCGAGATGTTAACTCCCTCGCCTGGTATACAGAAGGTCGTGGGGTTCGATCCCGACCCTGACGCCTCTATATTTGGAGTTTGCGTTCTCTCTTCCCGTGGTCACGTCGATTTTGTCTTCGGAGTCCTCCGGTTTTCCCCCTCCATACTTTGAATGAACACGCGTTGAGATTATTTGGACACTGCGAGACATTTCCACACAATCCACTTCGCTGAGCTGTCATTGATGGCCAGATCGCTTCTGCAGAAACGACATACCACAGGGCCATTGCCTGTAAATTTGTCCCTTTAAGGCCACCGTGTTTTTGACGAATGTTGAGTTTTGTCTTGACTTGAGGCTTTCTTGACTGCAGGAAATACATATTCTATGGGTCTTTCGGTAAAGCCACGTAGATAGAAAAATAATTAAAATATCACGACGTTTCGATCGCAACACAAGCAATCGTCTTCAGGCGGGTTTTGTGTTGCGGTTGCGCACCGCTGCCAACATAGCAGCAGCACCATCACCAAATAATTTGTTCGAGCAGCCAAAATGAAGTGGGCTCATAAAACGCGGGCTTTTAGCAAAGACAAATTATAAGAAGTTAACCAGGCTGATGAGATGAGGTCCGTATGCAGGAGGGTGGGAGATTATAGCACACAGCAGGGCTGTGAAGGAATGGTGGTTGATGTCGGCCCACTCAGAGGCCTTCAAAAAGCAGATGATCGACCATGGCAGACGATAACAAGAACGAGTTGAGCTCGCTCCAACAAATGCACCTCTGTTCTTACGAAGTGCATTGAGATTTGGGCTGTGAATTGTGCATGATAAATATAACAATCTTGTTAAGAGGAAAGACATTCACCAGAAACGTTTGTGTTTTAAGTCAATTTTATTAGCAACGAGCAAACGTACACAGGCACGTAAGTTGTTGCAAGATATGAAAGTTGGTCGATTTACAAAAAACACAAAAACGTGTTTACGCAACAGTATCGAACACAATGCGAGGATTGAACACATATACAGACACTTGACGGCACAACGATGAACCAACTCAATCAAAAGCAGTCCCATTCGTAAAAAAAACTGATAAGTCAACACTTATGGCAACGTAGGAGGGCATCGCCAATAATTAACACACGTGAGTGTGCGTTCATGCATTTCAAATATTCCGCACTCTTAACGTAAAAAAGGCAACTCATAAATACCACAAATCCAATTAAGGCACGAGGCTCCCACATGTGCCACAACCGTCGTACCGCGCCATCCTCTGGACACCGACGCATTTCGCGCGATCAAAGCACAAAGCCGCTTCATTATAAACAGCCCGGGGGCCTTGGGCGTCCGCGCACACGCGATGCTCGGATGATTAGCACTTCTTTTGCGACCGCGGACTTTTTCTCTCGCGGCCGTTACATTTGATTTCTTTTTCCCTCTCCCTCCACCTCTCCGTCTCCACGGACGACACGGAACGAGGCGGCGGGGGGGGGGGGGGGGGCGGGCGTGAAAATGCCGCTCCGTGCGTCAGACGCCCAGCGGCGCGCTCAGCTGACTCACGCGCGCGACGAGGCGCTCGACGCGCTCGCGGTTCCTCTCCACGAGCGCCGTCTGCCTCTCCACCTCGTGGGTCACCTGCAACCGCGCAAGCCGCGGCGTGGGGCAAAACATGCAAATTATCCACGAGAAGGTGGGGGGTGGTGGAGGGTTTGGTGGGAGTGGGGGGGGTGCCGAAGACCACTCGGCAAAAAAATGTTTCGCATGACTCGCACCCGTGGTAATGAATACGGCTTTTATAAGGGAGAAAATGTGCAGACGGTGAGGTTTTTTTTTCGCCCCCCCCCCCCCCCCCCCCCCCGATTGCGCACCTCCGCGAGCTCCTGCTGAATTTGATGAGAACTCCCAACAGACTCCTCCTCGCCTGCCGCGGCCACCTCCTCCTCTCTCCTCCCCCCGCCTCGCTCCCTCTCGGCAGCCTCCACGGAACTCAGCCAGCCTCTCAGCACCGTCGCCTGCCTTTGCAGGGAGCTGGAGAAAATCGCGCAGAGTTAAAGACGCCGCGCGGTTTACATGAGACCGCAAAATGAGCACAAATGATATCCGATTTTCTGATATGCATGAGATGTGTGCATAAAAAAGTCTAATCCATTTCGTGCTGAAATAAACATTGCGGCGGTATTCTTTGGTTTCTCTCGGTAAAGTCACGTAGATATAAAACAAAATAAATTAAATCACGACGTTTCGGGCGCAACACAAGCGTCCGTCATCAGGTGGAACAACCACAGCAAGAAACAACTGCAGAGGCGGGCAAAAGAGCTGCTTGTTACATCTCCGTGACTTTACCGAAAAAACCAAAGAGTATGGATCCCTGCAGTCACGAAAACCTCAAATCCAGATTGAGGCGGTACTCATCGCCTGTTTACAGTCATGAGCCAGTGGTGGAAATTCCACATTCCTGTGGCGGGGTTGAGTCCCTGAATAGAGGACAACCACATCCCCAGAATGCGGTACTCATTTAATGGACATTAGCAGAAGGGGGGGTGGGGGGGATGATGGGCTGAGTAAGCCCCCCAACCAGCAGGATTTGAACTCAGAACCTTCCGATCACTCTACCACGGAGTGCAATGGCCGGTGCAAGACTGAGAGCACCAGTCCCGTGAGGGTCGTGGACTGGGCGCGTGTGAGAGCACCAGTCCCGTGAGGGTCGTGGACTGGGCGTTGTGTGAGAGCACCAGTCCCGTGAGGGTCGTGGACTGGGCGTTGTGTGAGAGCACCAGTCCCGTGAGGGCCGTGGACTGGGCGTTGTGTGAGAGCACCAGTCCCGTGAGGGCCGTGGACTGGGCGTTGTGTGAGAGCACCAGTCCCGTTGAGGGCCGTGGACTGAGCGTTGTGTGAGAGCACCAGTCCCGTGAGGGCCGTGGACTGGGCGTTGTGTGAGAGCACCAGTCCCGTGAGGGTCGTGGACTGGGCGTTGTGTGAGAGCACCAGTCCCGTGAGGGCCGTGGACTGGGCGTTGTGTGAGAGCACCAGTCCCGTGAGGGCTGTGGACTGGGCGTTGTGTGAGCACGAGGTAGCGGACGAACCGCAGTCGCGTCCGGTCTTCGTTGTACTCTTCGAGCTCGTTGTGGATTCTCAGCAGCTCGGCCATGTCTAAACTCGCGTCCGCAGATCCGCCTCCCTCCTCATCGTCCTCCCCCCATGAGGCCACCCCAGCTGAGCGTAGAACATGCGACGAGAACACAGACACAACGAGGCAAGAAGCGTTGAACGCAGCCTGGTGGGCAACCGTGGCAAGATAAACGTGATCGTTTCGTTCGGTAAGTTCGTCTTTTAGGCGTAACAGATTGGTATGGATATTTTTTGTGGCAGTTCAATACGCGCACCGGAATGTCTCACCGTGTAATAATTAAAAACGTGGCATTTACATAAGATTTGCCCCAATTGGTTTTATACTTTGCCCCGATCGGTTTAGATTTATACCAAAACGAGTTTGCGTGGGTCTACGTGCGTGTTTTCGTTGTTTACATTTATGAGCCCCAATCGTGAGATGTTCATCTCCATCGTCGTCGTCGTCCGTCATCTCACTGGCCTTCTCCGTCACGTGACAATAATTTCCACGACGGTCGCTTTTCGGTACAAACTGCAAACAAAAAAAACAAAGGCGCAGTCCCAATCAAACGCATCGCTCGCGCTGCTCCCGGAGAAAACGTAATTAGAGGCGCCACGGTGGCTAGGAGATGTTAACTACCTCGCCTGGTATACAGGAGTTGGTGGGTTCGATCCCGACCCTGACGCCTGCTGTATATTTGGAGTTTGCGTGTCTCTCTCCCAGTGGTCGCGTGGATTTTTCCCACCACATTTCGAACCAACCTGCGTTCAGAGTATTTGGCTACGACACATTTCCACGTGATAAGCCACTTCGTTGAGATGTCATTTGTGGCCAGGTTGCTTCTCAAAAGAGAGCTACATAGCTCAGTGGGCCTTAGCCGGTAAAATAAAAAGAGTAATTATCTGGCCGATTTTATGTTAATCAGTGGCATCACTGTCTAGAATTTTGTTAAGTTTTAGTAATGAATACGAGCAGGCAGGCGGGGGGGGGGGTGGGGGGTTCTCATCCGAGCTCCGTGATGTCAGACCTTCGTTGCTGCCGGTAACGTGAAGGAGGACGGCGGGAGGAGCGGCTCTTTCCAATTTGCCGGAGCTGCGAGGGGGCAGCCATCCCCAGAGACGCCCCGGGCTCCCTCCCCTGCATCGGCAATAACCGGCGCCGCTCCCCACGGCTGCGTGCGACAGAAACGCACGCTCGCAAACAGCTCTCCAAGTGAGAGCACCTCCAGCTCATTCACATTATAATTGTTGACAATTTAAATGCTTTTATGTAAAAAATAACATTTCACATATATACGCGTTATTTTTGTTTCTGCAATGATTCACTTGGGTTTAAATATAGCAGTTTTGTTGGCAGGTGGCATGTGGTTGCTCAATATAAGTACACGTACTCTACTTAATAATCGTGCGTCACGTTGTTTAACGACACGCGCTTGCTTGGTGTGTTTACTGGATCAATGACTCCTTTGAAAAAGAGATCTCTAGCCTCAATTGACTCTCATAATCAGCCATGGTCAATCCACTGCTGGATGAAGGCCTCCCCGTGCCATTGCCAATCGTTCACAGTCTCACGATGCAACAATCTACACAGCGCTTGGAACACGAGCCTATTTCATTGCTCCATCTCCGCTGCGGACGTGAAAATGGGCTCTCGAACTGCTTTCTAAATCAAGCTCTCAATCCGTCTGCATCTTGAATGCTAAAACGGATCCTTCACGCACGCGACGGCATACCCACGGCCGCAGCGGCCCCGAGCCGGCCGGGCCGAAGCCGCTCGGCGCGCGCTGCGAAGAGAGGAGCGATGGAGGCCGAGCGCCGAGGTCCGGCACCAAAACGGGCCGGGCCAGAGATGCGTCTCCCCGACGAACGGCCGGCAACGAGCCCCAGTCGACTGGAGTCTCCTCCCCTGGTCCGGCGAACGTGGCCACGGGGACGTGACCGGTGCCGTGACCGGTGCCAGAACCCGCACCGGGACGCGAGCTGGAATCCGCGCCAGCGGAGGCCTGCGCCAGGGGCCCGGATCGCTCGCCGCACGACACGAGCTGCCCCGCGGGAAGGTGCCGGTCGATGGCCTCGCTGCGGCGACGGGAAGAAACCGCCCCGTTAAGACGGATTCGTGGAAACGCAGCCGTGCAAGTCACGATCCATAATACGTCAGCTTCACAATTTTCTCCTTATTCTTTACATTAGCAGCTGTTAATAGCGAACATTAAAATTAAGCAGCCCTAAGTGGTCCGAGTTAGGGACAGCCAGACGCTGGGGTGGGAGCGTAGCCAATCCCATCATCATTGATAAAATGTCACTCCTTTTCATAAAAGCTTAAACAAGCCATTACTTGGCAAGTTTCATGTCGGGCGAACGGGGAACTGGAAGGCGCTCGAAATGTCAAAGCGGTGAAGCCAATCCCCCCACGCGTGAAGTCCGTCCGCTGGCGATGGAAACTAATTTGCTTCGTCAAAATGTTTTTCCGCAGCAGCGGCGGTAGCGGCAGCAGCAGCAGCAAGGTGGGCGAGCGTCGCAGGGGTCTAAACACTTTTTTACCGAGCGCCGAGGCAGCAACGCGAGGATCCTGCGTTCAGGCCGAACGCAATTAAACTGGGTGCTCAAGTGTAGCGAGCCGATGGCCTCAGCCCGGTCACCAATGAGCGCATCGTAAAAGCTACACGCATTATTAACGCTGGCTTTTAACTTAATTCATCACATTCCTGCTGAAGGTACTAAACGCAAATCCGTTCGATTGACAAAGCAAGCAAGCACACCCTGCACGGTTCGTAAACAGTGCACCCCCCCCACCCCCTCCAACGTGTAGCTAAAGAATCCGAACAAAAGGACACAAGGCGATGCACCGCTTGCCGCAGATTGAAAATGGGCAATGCTTTCACGTCACGACGACTGAAGCAATGTAGTCGGTCGAAATACGAGGACAACGGCGGTGGCAGCGGCACAAACGCAACGAAGTGAATTTGGCGGCCCCGAGCCAGCGCGGTGGCCTCTGGGCGAGGTGGCATGCGGGGCCGGGGTCGGGGCCGGGGTCGGGTCCGGTACCTGCGCAGGCGGCCCACAAGTCGGTCTCTCTGCAGGGACTCGAGCAGGAAGCTGGGCCGCCGGGGCTGCGTGCGACCGCGTAGCCGCGGCGGCGACCCGGAGCGGTGGGGCGGCGGCGGCGGCGCTCCCTCGCCGTAACGAGTCTCGCTGCGCGCAATTACGCCGCCCTTCTGTAGCTCGAGAGCCGGGCCGCCACCTCTGACACAGGAATTACGCCGCGGCGCAACGCGATGTTTAATATTTATACAATTATAATCTCATTTGAATTGCCCTATTAATGTTTAATGCGCTCATTTCGTATTCCTTTGCCGGACACCACCGCGGAGAGGTTTTAAAGAGGCTTGTGTGTGTGTGCGCGCGCACGTGTGTTCTTGTGTGTGTGTGTGTACTGAAGGCGATCCAGAGGCTGAGACCAGGAAAGGCACCTGGCAGAGATGATCTCCCAAGCGAAATGCTGAGGGAGGGTGGCGTTTGTGCACAGACTGCCCTACATGACATCATAACAACAGTCTGAACCACTGGACGGGTTCCACAGGATTGGAAGGATGCCCTGGTGGTCACCCTCTTTAAGAAGGGGGACCGCACAGACTGTAACAACTGCAGGGGCATCTCACTCCTCAGTGTGCCGGGAAAGGTCCTGGCAAGGATTATGCAACATCGCCTTGCTAGGCATGCTGAGGAGAGGCTTGCGGTGCCCCGGTTTCAGGAAAGGGCAGTCCTGCACAGATGCCATAGTTTCTGTCCGTCTGCTACAGCAGAGATGTAGGGAATACCAACAAGACCTACATCTCTGCTTTATTGACCTGGTCAAGGCCGATGATACCATCAGTAGGCCTGGCCTCTGGGTTGTTCTTCGTGCTTTCGGAGTCCCTGACCCTCTGCTCACGATCATTGAGTGGGCCCGGGTAAAACTACGTGGCTGGGAGTTGGAGCCATTCCCTGTACACCTTGGGGTGCGACAGCGATGTCCTCTGGCTCCCGCATTATTTAACATCTATTTCGACCACGTAGTTCGTGAAGCCTTCAATAGCTGTACCGGAAGAATTTCCATCTGGTACAGATACAATGGGAGTCTGATCGATGCCCGGGTGCGGTCAAGGGATGGCTCCCTATTGCTCAACCATGTTATGTATGCCGATGATCTGGTAATTACTGCTCACTCAGAGGAGGAGTTGGAGGCGCTGCTGCTGAACCTGGAGCTTGCCACGAAGAGGTGGGGACTTGCCATCAGCCCCACCAAAACTAAGCACCTGCCTGGGTATTTTGTATCATCGGACACTCCACCCCCACAAATCCCAATTGGTGATAGGGCAGTTGTGGAGAGAGTGGAGAGTTTCCCATACCTGGGCAGTGTGCTCATGACCGGCTCCGGTTTAACAGCAGAGGTCTCACTCCGAATCAGTCAAGCGGCATTATCTTTTCATCGATTGCGTAACGCTGTGTGGAAGCTACCTGGTCTGTCACTCCGCACGAAGCTTCAGGTCTTCTTGGCCACAGTCATTCTTTCCCTTCTCTACGCTTGTGAAACATGGATCCCCCTAATGGAACATCTTCGCCGGTTAGAAACATTTAGGCTGGCCTGCCTACGATCCATCCTAGGTTTAACCAGACTGGATTGTGTGAGGAGCTCACAAATCCTTGAAAGATCTGGGCAAGGTCCCATCGGTGAGCTCCTCCTGCAGGTAAGGCTGCGCTGGCTGGGCCATGTAGCCTGCATGCCCAGCCACCGCATGCCTAAACAGCTTTTGTTTGGCCGGATCGAGGGGGCTAAACGGGCGCGGCACGGGCTAGAGAAGAGATGGAGTGATGTGGTACAGGAGGATGTGGAGCTGAGTGGACTTGCCAATGACTGGTACCAGTGGTGTCAAGATCGGCCTCTATGCAGGAGGCTCGTGAAGGATGCTACTGGGCAGTTGGAGGCAGTCGCCCTCTAACAACAACGGAGGGCGGAGGAGTGACGCTCACAACAACGAGCGGAGCGCCGGGTGGCTAAAGCACAGCAAGTTGGCGCAGTAGGGGGCACAGGTGGTGCATCAGCCAGTCGTCTCAGTCAGTCGACCCGTGGCACCTGGGTCTGCCCCGTGACCTCCTGCCAGCGGGCGTTCGACACTTCACGTGGCCTCAAGGTGCACATAGCCTGGCACAAGCGTCGTGGTGACGTCACCGCCACTTAGTGGCGAATGGCGGTTGTTGTTGTTGTTATGTTTGTATGTTTGTGTGTTTGTGTGTGCGTGCAAGGGAGCAGACATCGTGCTGCTCGCAGCAGACATCGCAGCTGTCGCGATTTTCACCTGAAAACGGGCATCTGTGTTGCGTTCGAAACGTCGTGATTTATTTTATTTTATGTCTACCTACGCGACTTTACCGAAAGAACCAAAGAGTATGCGTGTGTGTGTTTGTACGTGCATGCATGGGGGCGCATGTACAGGTGTGTACGTGTGTGTGCATGTGTGTACGTGTATGTATGAACGTGTGTGTGTATGCTTGGCAATGGGTGCGTATGTGCGTTTGTGTGTGTATGTATGTGCAGGTGCATGTCTTCTCACAGAGCCTCGACGCTACAGTGGACTGACGAAGACGCCAGGGGAAGACAGTTGCTCCTCACAGGGCCCTGTCTCCTCATGCCGCCACCCATCGCTCCGGCCAGCTGCCCGGCTGGACTCATCAGGTCAAAGGTGACGGACTTCTTCTTCTTTGTCGTCGTCGCGGCAACGGATGGGTCCTCCGCTAGGCGGGCACGGAGCTCTCTGTGCTCAAGAGTCTTCCTCCTCCAGCGCAGCGCACAGCGGTGTACGAGCTGGTGCACGCTGTACACGCTCTGACACACGCGGGCGAGACGGCGGGTGGGCGGGCGGGCGGCTACGACAATGGTCAGAGAACTGAGCCAGCACCGCTGACATCCTGGGTTCACAATTTACTATCACTCTGCTTGTTTGCCAAGGAAAGTGTCACCGAGTCTCAACTCTTTTCATGGCGGGTCCTGGTAAGTTGCTCTGTGTAATCCGAAAGTAAATTGCAGGTAATATTTCAGCATTGGGATATTTTGTCAAATACCATTTCAATTTCTTGTTTTTATTTTAAAAAAAAATTGCTTTGGGAGCAAACCAGAAAACCCAGAGAAAACCCAGAGAAAACCCATGCAGAAATGAGCGCAAGTTGGGAATCGAACCCAGACTCTTATTGCTGTGAAGCACAACCTTGGTTTACCACTGGCGTCTAAATGGGTATGAACTGCGATTAAAGAGGATTCTCAAGTCTCTCTCTATCTCTCTTTTTCTTAGGGCATCCAAAGAGCAAACGATATAATATTACGACTGGAAAGTAATTACTTGCTTCGTTGTGGAGAAAATAACAAAATAAATAAGCAGGCGAAACGCCCCCTTCCGCTGAATGCCGAATCCGGTCCAGCTTTTGCTCGTGCTAAATCAAGGCTGCTGAAATTTCGCACCCCCAGAAAGCATCCCGTGCCTCCTGTGTAGTAAGCGGTTAACGGGGCAGTGGTCGGTCATGTGACGATATTATCGCACTTCAACACACTCAAAATAAGGTGACTATGTTCTTAAATGTCGTGAGTTCATGGTCGCAGGCCTGGTCACCAATGACCACACAAAATAAAAAATCATAACAAATGAGGCTTTTCACTCATCTAAGAATTAAAAATATTGGTTCGAATGCCATGTGTCAAACATCTGAATCATGGCAATCGAACCATGCATGTATACAAAGATCCTCCGTATAGCCTTAACAGACTGTTGGAGCAAGTGCTGTTAGCGAGCACCTATGAAGGCCGGGATGGTGCACTAGGGGGTGGGTGGCCAACACCATGTCAGGCTGCCTTTGTCTCCCTTGTAGTAATGTTTTCACGCATTGCACTTGGTACTAATTTGCGGCTGAGTCGACCTAGGGGAGGCCCAGAACCGGTTCAGATAATCGTCATTGTTGTTAGCTGTGAGCGGAAATCTAAATCGGGTCGCCGGGTTCACAGCGCGGCGCGCTAACCGCTACACTGCCACTCCCCACGTGTCAAACATTTGACACATGGCAGTTGAACCATGCATGCACACACAAACGTGCACACACACGTGTGGGAAAGCACGCCCTGAAGCGCGTGGAAAGACAAAGATCGCTCTCAGCCGTGGTTCCATGGAGCCTGCTTCCGTGGGCCATTCTCTCCGAGAGAAATCCGAACAGACCCTCGGTCACACGACGACAACAGCTGACAGCACAAATGAAGTAAAAACTGAAATATAAATAAGAAGACAAACAATGGATCGAGTTACACACAAGCCACCAGGGCAGCAATCGGAGACCGAGCGCTCGTGTTTACACACCGAACCGCGCCTAGCATCCAGCTTGCGCCATGTGCATAATCACACGTATATGTAACTGCGCAAATAAAGCTTTTACGCTACAGCTTTACGCACACGCAGACAGACAGACACCGGGTAACATGGAGACTCGCTGCCAAATCACGGCACGGCCAAACATCCTTGCGCGCTACACCGTATCCACGCGTCCCCCAGCACTTACTTCCCTTTGATTTAGCGCTGCACTGAAACGGCACAAAATAATTGATCAATTCTTTATTTCAACATTGATTTTCATATCAAGCGCAATAAAAGTGGCGCTAAATTGTATGAATGGCTTATTACGGCGCTCGCTGGGGCCAGTATAAATAGACACGGGGCTAAATACGGAGACGGGAATCCAATCGCTCCCGAGATCTTCGCATCCCTGGCAACGGGAGGAGGAGGAGAAGGAAATCACACGCAACGTGGCCTAACGGATGCGCCGGCGGCGTCTTCACCGCAAATACACACCAGGGCTGAGTCTCGGATTAAAGAATTTCGGATTTCTATTGACAATTTTATACCCTTACCTTAACTTCTCGGTTGACGTCCCTTTGTGTGCCAATTGTGAAACTGTCGGACAGTCCCGTCAGCCACCTGACACCAGGCTCAGGTGGGTAAAGCGCAGACGCCATTGATTGGCGTCACGTCACGTCTGCGCCGTTCCCACTTCCGGTCGTCGGATCGCTCCGAAACACAGAAATAATAACATTCGGATCGTCCCAAGTATTCATATCGAGGCCCGATTTTGCAATTTTTCAGATTAATTTGAAAATCGCGTGCACGCTAAATTCAGGGTGATCCACGTACAGATAGCCCACTGATTTGTGACGACTTTTAGTTTTCTCAACAGCTGATTGGATGTTGTGAAAGCGACGGCTTAAAAACTCACGGAGGAAAGCGACCGAAGATCTAAGTGCAGCACTTAGAATGGCGGCAGGGGTGTAGAGGCTTTCAGACAAAATGTTGTTTCTCTGTATAATTTTTTCCGATTATTTTGGCGGAAGAGAGGATATCTGGCGGAGGCTAGGAAGCATTGGGCAAGGTGTGGCGGCATCAACAGCTTTGGCCGCAATGACACCAGGATCTGTATTTTATACGTGGTATCTATAAATCGATCACCCGGTGTTATATTCTGGCCTGGGCACAGGTGAGGGAGGCAGATTTGTTGCTTGCGAACGACTGGGCCGCCTCCTGCTACAGAAGGACGCATGCCCGCTGCTTCAGGACCATGTCTAGAGATGTGCTCGCATTCTCACACTGCAAAACGCGTCGTCGTGATGGACAGGTCTCCTCACCTGTGTGTGGTGAAGGTGCGCCGCCAGATCGAGCGCCCTCACGCGTGCGAGGGATTACAAGTCAGGCTCTCACACGTGCGAGGGATTACAAGTCAGGCTCTCACACGTGCGAGGGATTACTAGTCAGGCTCTCACACGTGCGAGGGATTACAAGTCAGGCCCTCACACGTGCGAGGGATTACAAGTCAGTCTCTCACACGTGCGAGGGATTACAAGTCAGGCCCTCACACGTGCGAGGGATTACAAGTCAGTCTCTCACACGTGCGAGGGATTACTAGTCAGCCTCTCACACGTGCGAGGGATTACTAGTCAGGCCCTCACACGTGTGAGGGATTACAAGTCAGGCTCTCACCTGTGCGGGGGGGGGGGGGGGGTGAGGGTCAGGACTAGGGGGCCGGCTCCTCACCTGCGCGTGCCTCGCTGCCACACGGCGCGAGCGCTCGTGCGCCGACTGGGCGGCGTGGCGGAGCAGCTGGGCTGCCCCGTCCCGGAGGAGCTGGCGCCGGTACGCCTCCATCGCCAGGGAGAGACGCGCGCGCCGGCGAGCCCGCTCGCGCGTGAACGCCACCCACGCGGCCAGCACCTGGCGGAGACCGTCGCCACAGGGGCGCGTGGGTCACAGGCGCGCGATGACTCCCCCCCCCCCAACCCAGGACGGTGACACGGGCCGAACGGCAGTGCGAGACCCCCGTGGCCGCCCTGGTTAATACTGTGAGTTTGCATGATGTTACGAGTGTATTGTGCGGCGGTAGCATCGTAAGTTATCGATTCAAATCTGTGAATCGGTGCATTGTTACGTGCCTGGTCACTCAGGCGAACGTTCAAGGGTGGCACTACCAGAAAGGCTCCACACCTGAGAGATCAATTTGCGCAATTCGGTTGCATCCAAGCGAATCGCTCGTCTGTGGACATCTTCTCTGCAACCAGTTGCGACAAGGTGCACAACCGGTTGCTTGCAGTAGAAATGGACCCGGCCTTTCATGCATCCATCATCTCGGCGATTTATTGCGAGGCATTTCATCGCCGCGTGACACACACATTAGCGAGCTCTAATTGGTCGTCACGACCCTGAACACGCCGTTTAATTTTCCTCTTGTGCAACCGCTCGCTGAGATGCGGGCAAAGCGGCTGCGGGGGCGACGATTACATTGGGCGATATCAAGAGCGGTTTGTTTTCACAACCGATTGCTCAGGCACGGTGGCAAGGTGTTGCCTGGTATGCAGGAGATCGTGGGTTCAATCCTGGAGTTTGCATATTCTCCCCGTGGTCGCGTGGATTTTTCTCCGGGTCCTCCGGTTTTTCCCTCCACGTTTTAAAAACGTGCATGAAGAGTATTTGGCTGCTATAAATGTCCACGTGATAAGCCACTTCTTGAGCTCTCGCTTCTGAAAAAGAGCTATACAGCTCAGTAGGCTATTAGCTGGCAAAATAAAGATAGTCTATAGTTTTATAGGCACGGGCACGGCCGCGTGGTGTGGCGCGCGCTCCACTCTCCTGGCAGAATCCCGATTTAAAAAAAAATAAAAAAACGCTGCACCAGCTCCTCACCTTTCCCTGCAGCACGAGCGACCAGTGCCAGAGCGCCACGCAGGTCAGCGTCGCCTCCGCCCTGCGCTCGGACAGCTGCGGCAACAACAACAAGCAAGACGAGACTCCCCGTTAATCTTGCGGAGAGGCGCTTCCATTGCTCCCCCCACCCCCCCGAGGGTGCACGAGGGCAGACGGGGCATGCCGAGGGCCGACGGAGCGGTACCGCAGGCCGCAAGCGGTGCCGCAAGGCACAAACCCTCACCCTGTGGCTCCAGATCGCGAAGTACGTGCGGGAGAGACGCGTGGAGAGGAGCCACTCGCTCCGTCGGTGCAGCAGCTGCATTCCAAACGGTAACGTGCAGGCGGTACACACACAAAGGACCTCCGATTAGCACGGTTGGTTACGTACGGTGCAAAAGAAGTTCAACATGCATACATACAGCACACACCATCATCATCGTCGTCGTCGCCGTTACCAGCCACAGTCTCCCGACTGCAAGGCGAAGGGCTCAGCAAGCCGTCACAATCTCTCAGTTTTTGCGATTTCAGTGCTCCATCTCTACGGTGGATGTTTTCTCAGGCGTGATTCCTCCGTTGGCTTATATAGTGGTTAGTCGCGACAGCCCTCCATGTGACTTCATCCCTTCAACAGTGGAGGCTCTGGTGCCTTCATCAAAGCTTTAACAGCCTCTTGGGCCAAGTACTGTTGGCGAGCGCCTACCAACGTGGCACAAGAAAAAGTGGTGTGGCTAGCAGTGGTGACGTTCACACACCGTACCAGGTACTCATATAAGGCTGAGTCGACCTAGGGAGGAGGCCCAGGATTGGTTCAAATATTCACCGCTGTTATTGGTCGTGACCGGGCATCGAATTCGGGTCATCGGGTTCGTAGCGCAGTGCGCTAACCACGACACTACTGCTCCAAAACACCATCACTCCACCCACGAGCTACTAACCGTCTTGCGGAAGCACAGCGCGTGGTGACTCAGCCACGCCGCCAGGCCTCGGCCCAGCAGCGCCCGCCGGCGGTGGCACTCCGCCTGCTCGGCCGCCCTGCGTTCCCGCGCCGCGGCCGCGAGCCGCAGCCTCCATGACCCAAACCGCCGGCGAAGCGTCGCTGGCGGAGGAGGAGGAGATTAAAAGCAGCGTTAATTTTGTTCATGATATTAGCGACGACAATATTCGTCAACTTGGTGTTGAGCCGACGTTGACCGGGAGTGGATGAAGCTCATCGGGCGTCCGAAGACGGCTCCCACAGCTGCGCACTAGAGCCCGACTGTGCCAAGACAAAACAATCGAGACTGAATGAAGACACAGACTGCGGTAAGCCAGCGTCAACAGAGACCTCAGTGCACTGAGCGAGACCAACAATGGTAACCGGCTGTAGCAGTGTACGCATACAAAACAATATTACCAAGTTCAATGACTGACTTACAGGATAATAATAGGGGAGGAGGGGAATTGGTGACATTTACACACCACAACACGCATTTATTTTAAGGTGGAGTTGACCTAGAGGAGGCCACGGGTCAGTTCAGATATCACCAACACAAAATAACTAAGGGGGAATCAAATATTGGACTACTTCAGTCAACTAGACTAAGATAATGACTCCACAGATTAATACTTGAGTAAAACTGCAGAGAGCTTGTCATTTCCTAGATTATGACAATGATGAAAGTAAAACAAGCAGATCACATTGACACTGGGAACCCCCACGAATGCTCAAACAAGAGAAATGTTTTTTGGGCAACGTCAACTCCACTTCGCGTCAGCGATGGTGTGCTACGGTGGCGAGATGTTAACTCCCTTGCAATGTATGCAGGAGGTTGTGGGTTCCATCCTGACCCTGACGGTTGTATATTTGGACTTTGCATGTTTCTCTCCCCGTGGTCGCGTGGATTTTTCTCTGAACCCCTCTGGGTTTTCCCTCCACATTTTTTTTGAGTATTTGGCCGCTATACATTTCCACGTGATAAGCCAACTTCGTTGAGCTATCATTTGTGGTAGCCAGGTCGCTTCTGAAAAAGAGCCACATAGCTCAGTGGGCCTTACCTGGTCAAAATAAAAATAGTTTCAGTTTAGACTCCAAGTCTCGCGTCAAGTGTGTGACGAACCCACGCGACATTCGACTCCCGAGTCTCGCAGTGACAAAAGTAACCGAACGCAGTGCCCAAAGTACAGACGCGGCATTGTCGCCAGGTTAAAAAATATTCCCCTCGAGTACCCGATTAGTGTGGTCGAGATGCTGGCAGTCACGGATAAAAATCATTCGCGGGCCGCTTCAAAGTGGGGGGTATAGCGTGGCTGCCGCACGTATGATGCCGCATCTGGCCGCGAGCCATCGGATCTTGACCCCTGCCCTACCGAGCACGGAATGAAATGACGGCAAGGCAAGGCAAGGCGTCACTAAATAAATGACCTCGAATAACAAGTGTCCAAACACAACATCTTATTTTCACGGAAATATTAGTCTACCAACATTTTATTCTTGCCTCCGGGAGGGGCTTTTGAAGTTTCAAAATAATTGGTTTAAGTGAAAGAAAGAAAGCAGGAATGGAAAAAAAAATCCACCGACGCTAATGGAAAACCGCAGCAGAAAAATGATAAATTCCCTGGGTCCGACCGAGCGCTGAATAAAGACAGGAATTGTCTGCTTCTGCATCAACATGGAGTGGATTTACTGTGCGCGTTAAATCATGGGTAATGATTTTTCACACGGCCTTTGACAAAAAAAAAAACACCCGGCATTCGGCCCATCTCATCACATCTTGGAAGCTAAGTCGGGCAGAGCCTGACCACGTATACCAGGTGTTACGGATCGACTGGACTACACGCTACGGAGCAGGGGGCAGTGCGTCAAAAATATATTTGTTGTGCTACACGTACACGCTCTCCCGTATATGCTTGCCGCCTTCAAAAACCGGCACTGGCCAGCGTGGTGAGGTATGGTCAAATATCCCACACGACCGGCACGGCGGTGGGAAGGACCTCGTCCAGCAGTGGACAGGCGGGAAGGTTTTGTGCGCAAGCGATATTTCACGCCGCTCGTCCGATCGTTCCCTCCCGGCGCTTGTTTGCCGTCGTGTGTGACGGGGGACCGAGATACGTACGCAGGTTGAGCTGACTCCGCGCCCACTCCAAGCGGGCACGGGTCTCCTGCTGACGTCGCACGCGCACCACCGTCGCCTCGCGCCACTCCCGCAGCGCCTGCCAGCGGCGCAGCACACACACAAGACAAAATGTCACCCATGTAGCAGCCTTCGCAGACTAGACGGGCAAGTGCTGTCAGCTACGAAGGCGAGCACGGCGCATAGAGGGGGTAAGCGGCGAGCATGCCCCACGCCCAGCCACATTTGTCTCTCACGCTGGCGACGTTTACACACCATACCAGGTACTCATTTAAGGCCGCGTAGACCTAGGGGAGGCATAGGACTGATTCAGACATCACTCGGAGCATTAATGTTAGCCGTGAGCGGGAATCGAACTCGGGTTTCCGGGCTTGTAGGGCAGTTCTACGACATGACTAGACTATGCTCCCAATACAAAACAAAATATCTCACCTATTGCCATAAAAGACTGTTGGGGAAATACTATCAACTAGCTATTCAAGTCAGCCCAGTGCTGGCTGAGGTGGTATACACAGCATCACACACGACCACCTTTGTCTTCCCAGTGCTGATGTTGATCTAGGAGAGTGCCAGTGCCGGTTCCGCTAACCATTCCTAATTTTGGCAAAGGCCAGAAATCGAACTTGGGTCTCTGGGTTCGGAACACAGCGCGCTAACCGTTGCACCGCCACTAACCCCACCTCCACCACGCACATAAACGGCAGCGATAAATCCGTAGCTCAGTGCGCTAATCACTGCGCCACCGTGCCCCCACGTGTGCACACATTCACGCACGCACACACACAGTGCATACTCATCCCTCCTCCCCCTCCAACAAAGGCCGCTAGCAGCAGCTGTCTTCACTGGGCACCGCAGCTTTTATGTTCCCGGTTCCCCCCGTGGTGTGAGCACTGATTAAACGCAAGCGACTCTTGCGCAGATTGATTGTTGCACGGGGCTGCCTGTTCCATTCGCTCACTGATGGATGGAGCGGCGCTGCCTAACCCGGAGGTCACGACCAAAGAGAGGGGGGTTCACGGGGGTCGTGAGGGTCGCCAGCTGGATCGCGGCCACCGCTGGAATAACGAGGCCCGGGGGGATCGATATCGACGTTTCAGGACGTCAATAAAGAAAAAAAAATCTCAGAGCAAAATTCATATTTTTTTTCAAGCCGATTTTTTGTTGTTTGTTTCTTTAGTATTTACACACTTACTGAGCGCCGGCCCACAAGGCCTGATATATCAAGCGGTCAGGAACAAACAGCACGATTAGCAAAGTTGAAATAATTTCTATAAATGCAGACGTTTTACGAATCGAGCAAGGCCATTACACAAGTGTGGGAGAAAAGAGACAAGGATGCGAGGGATTGCGACCTGCGTTGTGGCAGCTGATCACTGCACGGGTGATGTATTTGGAGCTTTACGCACGCTTTCTTGTAGAATCTCGCGACACAGAATCAGCTCCTGGTCGGAGTCACGGCGCGATTCACTCTGCGAGCAGCACGCAGCACGGTGCGTGCCACAACCTCGCAGCGGCTACCACGCCGCACTCCCAACCTGGAGACCCAAGTGCGATTCCCAGCCACGGACGGCTTAAATCAGCCGCGAGTGCGGCCAGCACCACGCTCAGCCCCCTTTGTCTCCGCACCAGGTACTAATTTTAAAGCTGAGTAGATCTAGGGGGCCGGTTTGGATAGCCACCACCGATGTCGGCTGCGAGTGGAAATCGAACTCGGGTCGGCCGGTTCATCGCGTAGCGAGCGCGCGCACACTCACGTGCACGCGGACACACGAACGCACGCACACACGCGCGCACTCGCGCACACGCGCGCACTCACGCGCACACCCGCATGCGCACACACGACCGCAGACACACTCACGCGCATTCACGCACCCGCTTCGCGAGCGCCCGCTCGTAATGCCGCTGCGCCTCCGCGGTGAGCAGCCTCTCTTGCTTGCCGGCGAGCGCATTGGTGCGCCAGGCGAGGACGGCCCGCCTGCGAGTGACAGAATCAAAAACAACGCGAGCTCAACGGAAAATGATAAAAACCCGGTGACGACCGACGACGAGAAGCGAAACCGCGACGTTGGCCGCGTTTCCGCGTCCGTCGCTTTTTTGAGCACAGAAAAGAAAAGAACGAATAACACAAAAAGAATCCCGAAATTCAAGGGAGGGACGGGCACGCGCACGCGCGTGAAAAAAGACACGAGCGGAATGGAGGCTTGATGCGGGGCGCCTCGTTCGCGGCACGGCCCCGCGGAGTGAAGGGGGTCACGGGCGATGGCTCCCGCCGGCCCGGGCGAATCGGCAGCGTAGGTGTAATGCGTTGTGACAATCCCCGAGGGCCCCGTTGTGTTTTTTTAATGGAGCCTCGCTCAAGTTCTCGTCCGTCGTTTTGCTGCTTAATAAATAACAGTCCCAACCGCGGCTCCTTCGACGGCTACAGGCACCCTCGGAAGGAAAGGGGGAACAAAAAAAAAGATAAATAGGTAAATAAATAAAAACGCTGCTCCTGCGCTGGGCTCGCATGCTGCTTAAACGACGGACACGCGGCGAGGGTGGCGGCGACCGGTTAACCCAACAACGCCCGGGTCTCTGCCGTGATCTCCTGCCGGTAGCGAGCCTTCCAACAACGCCTCGGGAGCGGACCTCGCCTCGCACCAGCTCCGTGGCAATGACCAAGGACGACTTTTGGTGGATTGGCCACCAACCCTTGGCCCTTACACAGCCCAGTAATGGCCGCATACCCCTGGTTCTGTTTTATCTCCTCCACTTTCCACGCACGGCGCAGCGGGGTCTACGGATGATACGCGCCTTACAAATTCAAATGATAATCATGTCATTATTTACGCGTCTACTTATTTATGTGCTTGACTGGTGGTGATAATCCACACATTAATGCATACTGTGCAAGTCACAGATGTTACATGTTAAAGGCGTGTGTGTGTGTACGAGTAGCTGTGTCATGACGTTTATGTGCCACATGTGTGCCAAGTGACACCCAGAACACACTTGGAAGTAAAGACGTTTCATCTCTGGGGGCATTTCCAGGTGAAGCATTGTAGATACAAAAATAAAAGCAGAAAAAAATATTTGCGAAACTCCCAAACGCGATGGGCTGCCACTTGATCAAGAGCGGACAGTACAGTAAGTAAGTTTGTGAATCCATCTGTGCGGACTTCATGGCGTTATTCCCTATGTGTAGACAATACATATATTTTTTAACGGGCACTCTGGTTTCATCCACACAAGCAAAACACCCCTGACGCAAGGAACTGGCCGAACGTCTCAACTGCCGAGACTCAGCGAGGCTTTTCCTGGAGAAATTCAATTTCCATATCGATTTTTTTTTTTTAAACAAAAACGCAAGATTTGCAAACGCCACGGGTTTTAAGCTTCTCCTACCAAGAGTTAAAAATAAACGCCCGCTACTTCGCGCAGAAGACCTTCCCACCACCGTAACACGACACGGACTAATTTTATACCTTGTGTGCGCGGGTGCGCGTGTGTGTGCGTGCGTTCGAGTTCGTGGTAGTGTAGCGATTAGCGGGCTGCGCTGCGGACCCGGCGATCCGAGTTTGATTCCCGCTCACGGTCAACACCTGTGACGATTATCTGAATTTGGTCCTGGGCCTCCCCGAGGTTGAATCGGCCTCAAGTGAGCACCTGGCGTGGTGTGTAAACAATGCCACGGGGAAGACAAAGGCGGTCGGGTGTGGTGCTGGCCAGCCACCCCCTCGTGTGCCGTGCCAGCCTTCATAGGTGCTCGCTGGAACGGTCTTTGTATGTGCTGTAACTGACATTTGAGCATGTCTGATAGACATGCTGCCAGGAGAGAAGCCACAGAGTCGTGAGGAAGAGAACACAGCAGGCGAGTGTCGTAGATTAGAGTCGGCAAAAAACGGTCGCGCTTTGATGGGGGGGGGGGGTCATGTGTGCAGGATGCGGAGAAGAGGGACGACTGCCGGAAGAGGCAGTGGAGCGGTCCCCACGAGCCCGACGGCCAATGGGAAGCCCTAGGAGCAGATGGCGGGAGACTGTGCGGGAAGACCTCGACGGTCGCGGGTCGCTGTGGGACCTGGCGGAGGGGATAAAGCGTTGGCGGCGAGGTGTGGTGGTGGTGGCGGCAGTGGCGGCGGCGGAACCGTGAGTGGCGCAGCACCGCGCCAGGCCGTGTTTGCACGACGGCGCTAGCTCGCTGGCTCGCTGGCTCGCTGGCTCGCTGGAGGAGGGGGGGGGGGGGAGCGACGATGCCCCACGTACCGGAGCTCGCACCGCCGATGCCGCTGCTCTCTGACGCGCACCTCCTCCAGCACGGCCAGACGATCGGCGTGCTGGCGCTGTGCCACATAACCGCCACATATCCAGCACACGCACACACACGGATCATCCCATGCACACACAAAGAAGCACATTTACACGCATGCACATACAGGGACATACACACGAAATCTTTACAAAGACAAGGAGCTCCCATATAGCCTTAACAGACTGTTGGAGCAAGTGCTCGTTCTGGCCGTGCCGGCCTTCATCGGTGCTAACAGCACTTGCTCCAACACAAATGTACACACAAAGACAAAAACCACCCGTATAGCCTTAAAACGCTGTTAAGGTGCTCGCACATATGAAGGCCAGCACAGCACACGAGGGGGTGGGAGGCCAGCACTACGCCCGGCCGCCTTTGTCTCCACAGTGGCAATGTTTTTACACATCGCACCAGGTACTCATTTGAGGCTGAGTCGACCTAAGGGAGGCCCAGGACTGGTTCAGATATTCGTCACTGGTGTTGGCCGTGAGCGGGAATCGAACTCGGATCTCTGGGCTCGTAGCGCGGTGCGCTAACCGCTACACACAGACACAGAGAAAAAGATAATCCCATGCACACACACAGAAGTGCACACAGATGCACATGTACACACAGGGACATGCACACAGATGGACAAAGACAAGACATCCGCCGTGTAGCCTTCAAACGGACTGTTGGAGGAAGTGCTGGTGCTGGCCACCCGCCATGCCGGCCTTCATAGGCGCTCGCTAACACCACCTGCTCGAACACAAATGTACACACAAAGGCAAAAATCCCCCGTATAGCCTGTAACAGACTGTTGGCGCAAGAGCTGTTAGCGAGCACCTATTAAGGACATCATGGCACGGCGCTCAAGGGGGTGGGGTATGGCCGGCGCCACGCAGGGATGCCTGTCTCTCTAGTGCAGTCACACTGCAGCGGGTACTCATTTAAGGCTGAGTGAACCTAGGGGTGTTAAGGCCCACTGAGCTACATAGCTCTTTTGCAGAAGCGACCTGGCTATCACAAATGATAGCTCAACGAAGTGGCTTATCACATGGACGTTTATAGCAGTCCAATACCCTAAACGCGTGTTGATTCTAAATCTGGAGGGAAAAACCGGAGGACCCGGAGAAAAATCCACGCGACCATGGGGAGAACATGCAGACTCCAAATATACAGCAGGCATCAGGGTCGGAATTGAACACACAACCTCCTGCATACCAGGTGCGGTAGTTAACATCTCGCCACCGCGGCCACCAGAACATTCAAGTGGCGTTCCAATCCGTAACCATTGACGGCTGATACCACCAACATCAGCCGGCACGCAAGGCAGCTAGGTTGGCGGCAGTCAGTCAGTCAGTGGTTGTAACTTCCCACTTCAGAGGACATGAGTTCAAATGCACTCTCAGGTCCACTCAACCCCATCATCCCGCGCGGGACACCGAAGCAACTACCTCAACGGAGTGGGAAGTCATCAGCGGTCACGCAGGGCAACAACCTGTGCACGTCAATGGCAGCGTGGAATGTTCCGGACACTGCATTCAGAATCGCCAAATGCAGACGGGATGCTGCCCGATCCCTCGCGAGCGCGACTTATTCTGTACCTGCTTGACATACACGGGCAGCGCGGGTGTTGGGCGGTGACAATCCTCGTACATCAACAACAACAACCGCCATTCGCCACTAAGTGGCGGTGACGTCACCACGACGCTTGTGCCAGGCCATGTGCACCTTGAGACCACGTGAAGTGTCGAACGCCCGCTGGCAAGTCACGGGGCAGACCCAGGTGCCACGGGTCGACTGAGATGACTGGCTGATGCACCACCTGTGCCCCCTACTGTGCCAACCTGCTGTGCTTTAGCCACCCGGCGCTCCGCTCGTTGTTGTGAGCGTCGCTCCTCCGTCCTCCGTTGTTGTTGGAGGGCTACTGCCTCCAACTGCCCAGTAGCGTCCTTCACGAGCATCCTCCACAGAGGCCGATCTTGACACCGCTGGTACCAGTCATCGGCAAGTCCACTCAGCTCCACGTCCTCCTGTACCACATCACTCCATCTCTTCTCTAGCCCGTGCCTCGCCCATTTAGCCCCCTCGATCCGGCCGAACAAAAGCTGTTTCGGCATGCGGTGGCTGGGCATGCGGGCTACATGACCCAGCCAACGCAGCCTTGCCTGCCGGAGGAGCTCACCGATGGGACCTTGCCCAGATCTTTCAAGAATTTGTGAGCTCCTCACACAATCCAGCCTGGTTAAACCCAGGACGGATCGTAGGCAGGCTAGCCTAAATGTTTCTAACCGGCAAAGATGTTCCATTAGGGGGGTCCACGTTTCGCAAGCGTAGAGAAGGGAGGGAATGACCGTGGCCGAGAAGACCTGAAGCTTAGTGCGGAGCGACAGACCAGGTAGCTTCCACACAGCGTTACGCAACCGATGAAAAGATATTGCCGCTCAACTGATTCGGAGTGAGACCTCTGCTGTTAAACTGGAGCCGGTCATAAGCACACTGCCCAGGTATGGGAAACTCTCCACTCGCTCCACAACTGTCCCATCACCGATTGGGAGTTGTGGGGGTGGAGTGTCCGATGGTACAAAATACCCAGGCAGGTGCTTAGTTTTGGTGGGGCTGATGGCAAGGCCCCATCTCTTAGTGGCACGCTCCAATCCCAGCAGCAGCGTCTCCAACTCCTCTGTTACCAAATCATCGGCATACATAACGTGGTTGAGCAATAGGGAGCCATCCCTTGACCGCACCCGGGCATCGATCAGCCTCCCATTATATCTGTACCATATGGAGATTCCCCCGGTACAGCTATTGAAGGCTTCACGAACTACGTGGTCAAAAAAGATGTCAAATAATGTGGGAGCCAGAGGACATCCCTGTCGCACCCCAAGGTGTACAGGGAATGGCTCTGACTCCCGGCCACGTAGTTTTACCCGGGCCCGCTCACCATCATGAAGGTCCTTAATGATCGTGAGCAGAGGGTCAGGGACTCCAAAAGCATGAAGAACAACCCAGAGCCCAGGCCTACTGATGGTATCATAGGCCTTGACCAGGTCAATAAAGCAGAGATGTAGGTCTTGTTGGAATTCCCTACACCTCTGCTGTAGCAGACGGACAGAAAATATGGCATCTGTGCAGGACCGCCCGTACCTGAAACCGCATTGGGGCTCCGCAAGCCTCTCCTCAGCGTGCCTGGCAAGGCGATGTTGAATAATCTTTGCCAGGACCTTTCCCGGCACACTGAGGAGTGAGATGCCCCTGTAGTTGTTACAGTCTGTGCGGTCCCCCTTCTTAAAGAGGGGGACCACCAGGGCATCCTTCCAATCCTGCGGAACCCGTTCAGTGGTCTAGATTGTTGTTATGATGTCATATAGGGCAGTCTGTGCACAAACGCTACCCTCCCTCAGCATTTCGCTTGGGAGATCGTCTCGACCCGGTGCCTTTCCTGGTCTCAGACTCCGGATCGCCATCAGTACTTCCTCAACAGATGGCACCTCAGCCAGCCACTCACAGGGGGTGACTTCTTTCAATATTTGAGGCACCGCAGCCTCAGCAGGGTCATCCCCACTTTGTGCCACGACGTTTTCCTGGCTGAGGAATTTCCCCTCCCCGAGGACCTCACAGAAATGCTCAGCAAATCTGCAAACCTGTTCCTGAGGGTCGGAGATTGGATCACCGTTTTTTCCCCTAATGATGGAAATAGGTGTGGCGCTGCAGGTTACTTTTTTGATGGAGTTAAATAGAGATTTGTGATCACGGGCCACTGAGGCAGACTCCATCTCCTCAGCAACCCGCGACCACCACCCATCCTCGCAGCGCCTCACGGCTCTCCGAACCTCCGAGCGAAGGCTGCGGTAAGCCTCCTCATTCTCTGACGTGGGATTCTGTAGCCGATGACAGTGGGCCTGTTGCTTTTTCTCAACCATCCTGAACACCTCCTCTGTCAGCCAGGGTCTCTGGGGAGGTCTGGACCGCGTACCCAAAGCAGCCATTGCAGCTGCATGAATCACAGTCCTAAACCTCGCCCATTTACCCTCGACATCAGGAGGAGTGGGGGAAGATACCAACCCCAGCTGCAAGCGATGATGAAATTCTCGCTTGCAACTTTCATCAGATAACTGAGACCAGGCCACTTTAGGTTGGAATGGGGTCCTGGGTGTACACCCACCACTGGAGTGGAAGAATGGCAGGCGCATCTTACAGATGACTAGTCGATGGTTAGAGGGCAGATCAGCTCCACGGTAGGTCCTGGTGTCAAGGACATGGGCTCGCATCCGCTGGTCCGTCACTATGTAGTCCAGCAGAAGTTCTTGCTTGGACCCGGCATGCATCCATGATGTTGTGTGGATGCGCCGATGCCGGAACAGCGTGTTGGTAATTACAAGCCCATGGGCTGCACAAACATCTAGCAGCCTCCTACCATTGTTATTGAGCTGATATGGCCCATGCCCTCCAATCACTCCAGACCAGGTGCCAGCATCATGACCAACTCGGGCATTGAAGTCACCCAACAAGATGACTCTATCCCGAGGGGCCACTTTAGCCAGCACCTGTGACAGGAGGTCATAGAAGGCATCTGACTCATCGGCTTTGCCTGCATCCCTCCACGGATGTTCGTCTTCGGTGGGGGCATAAGTAACCATGACCGCCACTCCTCGCCTCCGGTTGATGGGAAGGTAAGCCCAAAGTAGCCTGGGGCTTACAGCTTCCCACACCTCACCGCCAAGCTCCCACGCCCCCTTCATTCTTTTGTTCAAAAGAAGAGCTACACCCTGTTGTTTGGCAGTCTGCTGCCCCGAGTAGAGGACTGTCCACCCCTCATGGTGCCATGAGCCAGAACCGGCCCACCGGACCTCCTGAATGCCACAGAGATCCAGGCGGTACCGGTCCAGCTCCCGACAGAGGAGTGGCAGCCTCTCCTCCGCAGTGAGCATTCGAACATTCCACGTGGCCATCCGTAGTGGCTTTTCGCTGTTTCTGGAGGAGCCCCGAAGGTAGACATTCAATCTCCTGGCTCCGCCAATTGGGGTTTGGCCAGGAGATGTCATAGACGCCTATCCCCCCTGGGGCCTCCGGCACAAGCTTATAAGTAAAATTTTGTATTCGTAGTTTAGTGGTAATTAATTGAAGGTGGAGGGGTTACCAGCCCCTTGCACCCGTCCAGAGCCCCCGTTTAGCCACTGTGGTGGACACAGACGCCATGAGGGGAGGAGCCAATCGGAATTGAACCTCCCCCCACAGCACTGTCTAAGACAGAGTTGACCGTCCGGCACCGCGAGGAGGTAGGGGGTTGTTTTGCTCATACGTACACACACGCACATGCACACACTGACACGTCTGAATAGGATGTTTATGGGCATCACAAAAGGGGCTTGGGCGATATCCCGCTTTGCCCGTGCGGCGACGCAACAATTAGAGGAGAACAAAATTTATTATTCCAGCGCCGCGCCGTTGAAAATTGGCAGTGGTTGACCAGTCATCTGCGCGCTAACGAGCACTAATGAATTAAAAGGCATTTCGATGCAAATTCAACTCGGGCCGCCCAGAGACTTCGCGCAGCGCCGCCGCGCTTCTGGCCGCGCCAAATCCTGAGCGCGAATCGCCGGCCCTCGGGCAGAGCGAGCCACGGGAATTCGTGCGATGAGGGGGGGGGGGTAGTAGGGAGGGGGGTCACATGACAGCCAACCGAGCCAGATGACAGTCAACCGCGTTCCATCAGCTGGCACACACGGCAGCCAGGTTGGCGGTAGCCAGTCAGTAGTCGGAGCTCCCAGTTCAGAGAACATGAGCTCAAATCGCCGCTAGGGTCAACTCAACTCCATGCTAATGGGAAGTGCTCGGGATTTCACACCTCCAATTGGCACGGTTGGCTACGTACGGTCCGAAAGAATTTCAACATACGCACAACGTACGTACATACGTGACGGCCAACCGAGTCATGAGAGCCAAAAAGACCATCATGTGACCCCCTGCTGCCACACGAAAGCGTAAATACCATGAGCTCCATACTCTTTGATTCTTTGAGCTCCGTCCGTCTGTCCGTTGAGTTGGTGGGGGGGGGGGGCATGATAACGCTCAATAGAGATGAACCACTGTTAAATTACACTTTAGTGTAACGCCGCGTTTCTATTCGGAGCTCTCCCCAAAGAAAACCGGGCGAATTGATCCAAGTGTTGCCCAAAATCTGGGAGACACAAAACCAGTGCTTAAAGGCCGTTTCGCTCACCTTCCACGCCGCCATGTGAAGCTGCAACACCTTGAGCCTGCAGTGCGAGTCGGCCCGAGCGAGCAAGTCTCTCTTCTCCCTCTCACGCCGCACAAACTGAAACGACGGGGGGGGGGGGGGGGGTTAGCGGAGCGGCGGGGAGACAGGAGGGGAGAAGGGGAGCACAAATTTACTCTCGTAATTAACTCCAAGGAGCCTGCAACGTTTCTGCGTGGGCGTTTTATTGCGTTTCGTTTTGTTTTATTTTACGCCGATGCCACGCGACGCGACTGAATAATAAATGAAGGCTCACCGCCCTCCATGCTTGCCACGAGACGCTCAGACGCTGCCTGCATCTGCGCTGGACCACCAAGCCCTCGCGCACTCGGCTGCGGGGAAGACATGAGATGCAGATTCGATGCCAGCGAGTGTGAATATGCTGATGATGATGATGGCAGTGTGGGGAGCGGTAGTGCAACGGTTAGCGCTACGCTGCACTACAAACCCAGTGACCAGAGTTCTATTCCTGCTCACGGCCAACACGAGTGACGATTATCTGAAACGGTCCTGAGCCTCCCCTAGGTCGGCTCAGCCTCAAATGAGTACCTCGTGTGACGTGTAAGCATCACTTGGGAGAAAAAGGCGGCTGGGTGTGGTGCTGGCACCCACCCCATCGTGTGCCATGCCGGCCGTCATAGGTGTTTTGCTAACAGCACTTGCCCCATCAGTCTGTTAAGGCTATATGGGGGATCTTTGTCTTTGATTATCGTAGTGATGATGGTGCTGCACCAGTGCTGGGCTCCACCAGGCCGGTTCTCCTTTATATGAATGAACTTATTTCGCACCGTACATAGCCAACCATGCTAATCGGAGGTGCAGGGGAATGACAGCTCCTGAAATCTGCGTGCACTTGAGTGACCATCTCCTGGTGAAAGTGCTGGTGGATGAAGCCACTACCGGCACATTCCAGTTCAGAATCAGCATCTTTATTTCAGAATGAGAAACCTTATTTCGACTGGAGGAATCCAATGAGCGATGAAGCTCTTTTTCACACGTGCACATTCCCTCAGTGGCTCAGTGGGGTCTCTTTGCGAGTTTGTGGGTCTCTACGCGAGTCGATGAGTGTAGGAGTTCTCGATCAGAGAAAGCGCCGACGATGACGCCACTACCAGCGCATTGCAGTTCGTCAATGAATCCGCCTGCATGCATTCTCAGCTGAGACTGTAAAACCCGGCACGGAGTTTGCACCCTCCTCAACCAGGAGCCACGATCTGCCACTCGCCCGCCGTGCGATGTCTAAGGAGGTTCCTCCGAGGCACCCTAGGTCAGAGCGCAGTCACAACCTTGCCCGGCACAGGCTACACCGTGCCACGCTGGGGGTCGCAGAGTTTAATTGTAACCGGCGGGGAGATTTACACGGCTAACGAAGCACATAGGCACAGACGCCGCACCTCTCCTTGGCTCTCGCGACGAAGCTTCTCCAAGCGAGCAGGCAACGGCGCAACGACCGAGCGCGGTGATACGCCACGGCCTGGGCTTCTTTTCGCCTGTCGTCCTCCACATCCGCCGTGCGCTTCCGCCACAGGAAGAAGATCCCGGCCCGCAGCTGGTGCTCGTGGTGCAGGATGGCCTGAGACGGCCAAGAGAGGTCGTTCGGGGAAAAAAACGAGCGGCCGTCGGTCGGGAAGGTCCCGAGGACCCACAAGATACGCCTTCGCGCGACGCTCGTTCACGATTAGCATCGCTAATGAGAACAACATCCCCGGTAAAGCTGAATAGCTGAGACGCATCGGCGAGAGACGCAGGGGCCCAGATGTCAATTTTAATTTGTATTAAAAAGCAAAGTGATGCTAATATGGGAAAATAGCACAACACGGTTGCAGCGGTAAAGAAGAAGTCAAATCAAAGTCAAAGTGATTTTTCCGCTGCTCAAACGGGCACTGAGGTATTGGTGCCCATCTTCTGCTTACAAGCCCCTGCAGAGCCAGCGGTGGGAATTTCACATTCCTCCGATGTTGATATCAAATGATGTCGAGTCAAAACCTAAGCAGGAACTGAACTCGCAGCGTTCCGATGGCCGCCCGCTCTCCAGCCGAGCCACATGACCGCGACGTGAATTTGTATTCACGAACACAGTAAATCACGGAGCAGAGCACAAGAGGATGTGGAGTAGTGGAGACATGGTTGATTTTGTGTGCGCTGCACCCTGAACCCAGAGACCTGAGTTTGATTCCTGGCCACGGCTAACATCAGTTGGCGGGCGATATCAGGACCGGTCCTGGGCACCCCCATCACCGACCCGCACCGACCAGCAGTGGTGAGGTGTGGTCAAACAATCCCCGAGGGGTTTACACGGCGTGGGGAGGCGCTCATCCAGCAGCGGATTCAGAAAAGTGCTGTACACCATAAAAATTATTGTAATTATAAAACCAGAATAGCATCGACTGTGAGATTAACCCATTTCACTCAAATGCCGTCGATTCAGTATCACGCCATATAGCAGAGACACCAATTAGCAACACTCTGCATTAGTAATTACAACTGAACATTAAGTTACTTCGCTGCATAGCACTGGGAATTTCCTTCTAACGACATCGACCCTTTTACAATTATACGCCGTAAATTTCATTAACCCCATAAAACGAGCTACCGGCAATCTTACTAATTGTTCCCCCATTAAAATACTTTACGCTGTTGCATTAACGAGGGTGGAGGAGGTGGGGGGAGCAGCACAAAGGGGGGGGGGCCCGCACCATCCTCTCGGCGAGCCGCTCCTCGCGCTTGCTCCCCGCCTGCTCCCACCAGCGGTGGAACACCCACGCTCTGACTGTCGCCCTGTGAGGGGGAGACGCAGAAAACAGGGAGCAAAGATCACGGCACGCGCACGCCGTGATCGCGATGCCAATAATAACAGCAATAGTCTTCTTCTTGGTTCTTTCGGTAAAGTCACGTAGAAGGGAAATAATAAAATTAAAAATAAAACATAATAAAATTAAATTCTCACGACGTTTCGGCCACAACACAAGTAGCCGTCCTCAGGTGAAGAAACAGAACTGTCGGAAAGACAGCGCTCCGATGAACCACTGCTAAGCTTGGCAGCGTCTTTTAAGCTGGGTGGGAGGAGCAGTAGTACCGGAGTAACGATTACAATTACTATCATTGCGCCATCGTCACCACGCGGGGCTATCTTCGCGAAGGTGCCGGTTCCGCGTGGCTCCCTACTCGTTGCCGAATGACGGCACGGCATCATTAAAGTGCGCCGGCGAAACGGAAGGAGCGTTGGTGGTATCCTCGCCGAGTGCTCCCGCAGCATTGACCAGGGCGGCCGCCGGGGCTCCGACCAGCGGAACTCGACGGTCGGCAACAACCACGCCCGCCGCTCCGCCAGGTCGCGCCCGCGCGTCTCCGGGCTTGCGTTGTCAGAGTTTCGCGGTGACCCTCTCACAGCAATCGGCCATGGCTTTTACAGGGTAAGTTCGTAATAGCAACACAACCGTATCGTGAAGTTTCATTCATAATGGATCATCTTTCCGAGAGTTATCGTGCCCCCCGCCCCCGCCCTGTTACAGACAGACGGACGGACACGGCTAATGCATTAATGCCTTCAACCTTAGTTGGAAAGCATAAAAAAGGAACCCGCGCACGGCATCACTCTCGCTCGCCACGCAACGGCACAGTGCACTTCAATCTCCCGCTCGCGGTGTAAACTACAGGGCCACGGGCAGATTTATTAAAGTTCCGCGCAGCCAAGGTACGGCGCAGAGGTACGCTGCAGCAATACATTAAAACCGGGAGGGAAGAAGGAGAAAAACCCCACCCCCCCCCCCCCCCCCCCCGAGGGAGAGAGACTTGCGGGGGGAACGCGATCGTTAATTTGGTCGCCTCGTCACTCAGCGCGTTAGCGGAGGGGGGGGGGGGGGGACGCGTTTTTAATCTGCCCTTCACAGGCGACGGCTTCCGACTCAGCACCGACTGCCGCTCCGGCCATGCGGGGTTTCTCGCCCGGTGCTCTCCTCCGTGTCCTCCAAGGTGGGGAGGGTCGGGGGGGGGCATTCGCCAAACACTCGGCTATCCATCCACCCACGAAAACTTAAAATCGGCAAATAATCATCCCAAACAGGGAGCTCCTGATAAACGGAGTTTTGAGATTCGGCGCGTGTCGGAGATAAAGGTCAGGACAGCTGCCCACCGCCGCCCTCAACTCCGAAATGTTGACAGAGGGAGGCTTAATAATATTCTTCACATGTCACATGGCTACTCGACATTGCCCCCCCCCCTCCCCCCCTTGGCTACCCGCCTCCCCCGATAAATTAAAAACCACATGACTCCTACAGTGAGCCGGCTTTCTCAGCAGGGTTGAGCCCGGATAGCGGCTGGATGAGCGGCCTCCATGTTACTTTAGGCTGCTGCCAGGGGCACGTGACGGACAAGCAGATTACGGTGCAGTAACATCTATTGTTGTGCTGTACTTCAATGCTCCAACATCTCTGCTTCCCTCCTGCACTGCCCAGTGCGACGAACCATGGTCGAGAATAACCCCCAGAATCCTCCCGAGCATACAGGGAGGACCCTCATCCAGCAGCGGACTGAGAATGGGGCCGCTTGCGTGCGCACGTTTTGCGACGCGGCACGGGGGCGGTGGTGACGAGCACGCGGCCCCCCTCGGCCGTCCCCGGCCTCTGGAGTCACCTTCGCACGGCGGGCTCCCGTTCCTCACTCCGCAGCTCGTAACTCACGGCGCGTCGGGGAGGCCCGGGTTATTTAGCGCCCGGATTAAACAGCCAGGGCGGGAGGTGGGGGGGGGGGGGGGTCAGGGGGGGTCAGAGGGGGGTCAAGGAGGATCGCGGCGCCGCGCCGGCACCGCCGACCTCCTGGACGCGCGCCGGGCTCGGTGTATTGCGGCGAAGCCAAAAACTTTTGACAACGTTCGACAATTTAACACCGCGGCCTTGGACGGAACGAGTGTATGGACCTTCTTCCCAGAGAGGCCAGAAAGGCAGAGGGCCTGCCTCTCTCTCTGTGCCCAAAATGTCACTCTCTCACACATTGTTTCTTTTTAAGGCCACAGTGTCGTTGATGATGAGTGTGTCGAGGTCATTTTTGTGTTGAGTTGATGGCCATCACCTGGTTGCCGATGACTGCACACAAAAAAATAAGCCGTAATAATGAGTGCGCAGTTGTAGAGGCCCGTGAAGTGCTCTGTTGGAATATTCAATTCAATCCAATGTTTAGTTGTTTCGCGAAAAAATCCCGTGTAGCCAGTTACCCCGCTAGGTTTGCAAGGCAGATCCGTGGTGCTGTCAGCGCAGGACAAGAGCAACAACATCAGAGCGATCGGTACGGAGGAACAGGCAATATCGGAATAGAATTAATGCATCAGAGATGCAGGCAAAAAATAATGCACGGAGAACAAAAATGAACAACATTATAAAAATAAACGACAGGCATATTGCCCCAGAACAAGGATGAGATAATTCATGGTTGGTAGAGGCTGTATGGCTATGTGGTGGGTAGCATGGGGCAGTGTATTTGCAAATTTTTTCTTACAATATTTTAAGCTAGGCATGTGACGATTCGCCCCCAAATTGATTTGATGAATTGTCACGAATCAGAGAATCGATTCGATTTCTTTATTTAAAAAAAAAACGTTGTTGTGAATGTAGCGTCTCTAGTGACTGCGGTGGTGATGCGGTCCGGTTAAATTTAATATAAACAAATCATAAATAACGGACGTGTCCCCTTGCTAGTTTACCTATTAGTGCAAAAATCACCATTAATCCGTGTCAACATGCCTGTGATTAAAATGTTTATAAATTTCCCCGAGCCAACTTTTCAAAACGGGACATTTATTTAATTTAATATCGATTCATGTCCCTGCGGCATTTTCAATTTCTCCTCGAGCGCGATTGCCATTGCTACGATTTCTGTTTGCTTCCTTGCCGTATATGATCGTTACTGCTCTCGTGACGTTGGCGACCCAGGGTCAACCCTTGCGCAGGAGACTCACCCTGGCCTCCCGACTTCTCGCCCGGATTAAACAAATGTCGACTCGGATTCGGCGCACGCACCGCGAGCGCGAGCATCGGTTCCGAACGGTTCCAAGCGACGATTGAACGCGCCGTCACCTGCGGAAGAGGGCGGCTTCCCCCTCCATCTCCCGCTGCCTCCTGCGCCGCACAGCGTACGCTCTCCACTGGCCCAGAGCTCGGGGCAGCACGCGGCTCGCGTGGCGAGCAGCGGCGACGCTCAGTCGTGACTGCACACGCATGCACAAAGAGAAAGTTACCCCCGCGCCCCCCCCCCCCTGCCCCCCCCCACCCCCCCGTTATAGCCTTAACGGACTGTTGGGGCAAGTGCTGTTTCCGAGTAGCACCTTACGAAGGCCGGCCCGGCACACGATGGGGGTTGGTGTGTGACACCACTCACGAGTGGCGATGTTTACACACCGCACCAGGTACTCAATCGAGGCCGATTCGACCTAGGGGACGGCCCAGGACCAGTTCACATAAGCCGTCAGTGGTGTTGGCCGTAAGTGGGAATTGAACTCGGGTCACCGGCTTCAAAGCGCAGGGCGCTAACCGCGACACTACGGCTCCCCACGCACACGTAAGCATGCGAGTACACACGTGCGCACACACGTACGCACGATAATGCACGCGCACGTACACGAAATGCGCACACACACGGGAGCAGCACGGACATCACAAGTTCTGCAGTCACAAACCTTGCCAATCTGGCTCAATAATCGATAAGAAACTCTTATGTGCTGTTGGAACAGTGCTGTTTGTTGCCGGCCGCTTGGCACTTTGACTCTTTCGAGCTGTGCTCGACACAACCGTGATGAAAACAAACAAAAAACACAACACAGAGTCGCCGCCAACCCCCCGTAGCAGCAGCACGCGCTGGCGACACGGCGCAACCCAATTGTGATGATGTCACCGTCCGATTACATAACGTGCGTCTCCATTTACCCGACTATCCCCCCCGCCCCCCGTTGTGTTTCTCCTTGAAAGAGACATCACGATCATCCGTCCAGTTGCCGTATCCCCGTTTTGACAACAACAAAAAAAAAATTCCTCCCCGGTTGTGATTGCTGAAGTTGTAAATATCCCCCCCCCCTCTCCTCCCTCACCCTTCGCTTGTAAATCTCCGCGCATAATCACCCGCGCCCCCCACTCGCGTGGCGTGGAACTGTCTCGCAAAACCACTCCCGGGGCACCTCCCCCCCCCACCCCCCCGTGTCTCCCCCAACAATTCGCCGCCCCCTTCCCAGTTACGCGCGGAGTCTCGAGACGCGCACGAGCCGCTTTACGAATCCAAATCGTTTCGTGCCGTCGCCGCTGTTGCCCCCCGCCCCCAACATCCCCCCGCCCGCCCCCCCCCCAACTGCCCCCCCCCCCCCCACCCAGTCTTGCGGGAGCCCTTCAGCTCGTTTAGCATGCGAGCTCTCGACAACGGCCGTCTCTGTCCTTGACTTCTGCCGGTGCAGCTGGAAGCGAGGCGGCTTGTGGGTGCCGACTGGGCAGAGAAGTAGCCCCCCCCCCCCCCCCCCCGCCCCCCACCCCCCAACCGCCCCCCCCCCGCATTTGAGGCCGGTGTGACTGGCGGTGTTGGCGCGGTATACACGATGCTGCTGCAGCGGGCGGGCGGGCACTCACAGGGCCGCAAGACGGGAGCACAAAGCGAGAGCGGCTTGCCGGTCCGATGGCTCGCCGCGCCACGCGGACAGCCAGGGTGGTGGGTGACGGTGGGGGGGCCGCCACCCCCGCCCCTCCACCCCCGCCCCTCGCTTCGAGCAGCGTGATCGATAATAAGCAGCGGCCAGGGGAATCAATGCGACCGTTTCACTAAGGGGAGCGTTTATCAATGCAATTAAGTATCCATACACACGGCCCGGTTTCTTGGTTTAGGCAAAACAGTAATTGCAATAGTAATTGTAAAGATTAGACGGGGGGTGGGGGGGAAAATCACTTTTAATGAGGTTATGTAATATTTCTGCTCTCGTGATTGTGCTCGGTATAATAAATCCATGCGACAGACCAAAGCGCGCGCGCTGCCTTCAATAATGCGCCGAGGATCAAGAGGGCGTTTCATTCGCGACAGAGAGCGTGGAGTGAGGGTGGGGCGAGCGCATACCTCGTGCGCCTTTGTGGTGCGGGCGCGGTGAAGCCAGCACCGCACGGCCCTTCTGACCAAAGACCTCCTGGCAGTACACACACACACACACCGGCACCCGGTCACGCCAACGCACCAACGCATCAACGCACCGGGACACGTCCACACCATCGCATGGACTCACTTTGCCCCGCCATAGGAATGTGGCATATCCATCTCCGGCTCAGATCTAAGTCGCCTCCCATGCTCATTTAATCGGGAACCTAATTTGACATTTGATTGCTTGACTGCTGGACTAACAGGCAGCTGTCTTCCTATGGTCGTCTCTCGGGCGGCGGGGGGAGTTGACCGGTTCACGTGGAGGCTTTTGAGACAGCTGGCAACTTCAGACGTGGCCTGGTGAATATCTGAAACGCGTCCCAATGAACGTGTGCCAATCACTGAAAGCGGAGTTATTATTCTTATTATTTTTTTATCTACAGCTGTCAAACATCACGAGTATCCCGAGTGGGAATTAAGCGGCGCTGAGGACTTAACCCCCCGGGGCAGGAGATAGCGGTGGAGGTTACTGCGAGTGCAGGGTGAGTGTACCGTTCGCACGGGACCGCTATCGACCCCGGTGATGGGAACTAGACGCACCTGCGATGCTCACAAGCGGCAGCGGTGAGCGAGGAGAGACGCTGCTCCTCCCTCTCGTCGCACGATCCCTGCCAGTGGCGCCAGCAACTCCGCATGAGCTGTTGGCGGTAAAAGTCGTCATCAGCATCGGCCATGATTTATCCACTGCTGGATGAAGGGCTTCCCAAGCCCTCGCCAACTCTCACATTCCCGCGATGCAATAATCCATCTATGTAACGATAAACTATTTTTATTTTACCAGGTAAGGCCCACCGGGCTATGTAGCTATTTTTTAGAAGCAACCTGGCCACAAATGATAGCTCAACTGAGTGGCTTATCGTGTGGAAATTTACAGGAGCCAAATATTCTAAACGCATGTTTATAAATGTAGAGAGAATAACCGGACAACCCGGAGAAAAATCCACGCAACCAAATATACAGGCGTCAGGGTCGGGATCAAACCAACGACCTCCTGTATACCAAGGAAGGTAGTTAACATCTCGGCACAGTGGCGCCCCGGCTTCTGCACAGGAGCCGATTTCATCTTAACTCCGTCTCCACGGTGAACGTCCTCTCGGATGCGTTTCTCTCCTTTGGCTGTCGCTCCGTCCTTAGTCTCAACCGCCGGTTATCGTCCCTTCTGGCCGTGACGACGCATCCTGCTCAATCCCAGTAACTTCTCTTAATGGTCCATGCGATGCGTTCCTCTTCCTGTGACTCTCAATGTAACACCAAGCGTGCATTTCCCTTCGCACACTTTTCAGCTTCCATCCCATTGTCTTGATCAACTGTATGCCGTCACGCGCATGCAGGAGCTTCGTGGTCTTCCCCATCGAGCGCCCGAGCATTAAGCACTTCTGCCAAGTGCTACTGCGGCAGGCATCTTCAGGAGTCAGTTTATGATGTTATCAATCTCGCCTGCTATGCAGGAGGTCGGGGGTTCCATCCAGACCCTGACGCCTGCTGTATATTTGGAGTTTGATCGCGTGGATTTTTTCTCCAGGCCCTCCGGTTTTTCCCTCTTTAGAAACATGCGATTAGATAATTTTTATAATTTGGTTGCTATAAATTTCCACATGATAAGCCACTTCGTTGAAATACTATTTTTTAAAATAATCTAATAGCTCAGTGGATTTGACCTGGTAAAATAAAAAAAACACTGTGATTTGTTTACCTATACTTTTCGCTCCTATCGTGTTTCTGTATTGGATGTTGTTGCAACGTTGTGACCCGCCCCTACTGGACATCTTTGAAAAAAAGATTTATAGCTCATCAGATTCAAACAGTATAAATAAAGATTCTGATCCTGAGAGCCGGGGGGGGGGTGGGGGGGCGTTTGGTCCCCAACCCCCACCCGCCGCCCCTCCACCCGCCAGTGCTGGGGGCTACTTACCCACTGGCCCACACCCGCCGCCCCTCCCCCATGCGAGTGCTGGGGGCTACTTACCCACTGGCCCACACCCGCCGCCCCTCCCCCATGCGAGTGCTGGGGGCTACTTACACACTGGCCCCCACCCGCCGCCCCTCCCCCACGCCAGTGCTGGGGGCTACATTCCCCCACTGGCCCACACCCGCCGCCCCTCCCCCCCCCCCCGCCAGTGCTGGGGGCTACTTACCCACTGGCCCCCACCCGCCGCTCCTCCCCCACGCCAGTGCTGGGGGCTACGTACCCACTGGCCCCCACCCGCCGCCCCTCCCCCCCGCCGCCCCTCCCCCCCGCCAGTGCTGGGGGCTACGTACCCACTGTCGCCTCTGCTGCTCGGCCAGGACGGCGTGAATCCTGGTGTCGCGCACCGCGGTCGCGTGCCCCTGCAGCGCGAGGAGGCTCCGCCGCTGGGGCCACACGGAGGAGGACGAAGGCAGTGGAGAGAACGATGAGTTCGTGTCACACCGGGCGAGGTTTTAGAGTCTCTTCTTTTTAAAATCCAATTTTACTCCGGGTGATGCGGCATGATACTAAGAATCCACTTGGAACTCTCGCACAAGTGGAAACCGTCAGGAAAACCGCCCATAGAAGCGGATGCTACAGAACTACGTCTGAAATGCCCCCAAGTGAACTCTGGCCCCTATGAGGGAAATGTTTAAGGCAAACACTCGCTTGCGACTGGATGAATTTGTCACAATTCGCTGCTGCGATTGTATTCAATAATTTTTCTTTTATAACAACACTGCGGAGAACGGTAGCGCCTCCAATGGCTGCAAGGGATCACGCGATCTCACAACACCCAACGTAAATGCAAATTGCGGGTAATCGATTCTTACACGCGCGTGCATCGCAAGCGTAGCAATTCCATCTGAATCTCCGAATCGTTACAAGTCTACACCGAGGGCACACGCACGAGACACACGAGTACACACACACACACACACGCACGAGACACACGAGTACACACACACACACACACGCACGAGACACACGAGTACACACACACACACGCACGAGACACACGAGTACACACACACACACACACGCGCGCCACGTGCACACGCCAGCGCCCGTGCAAATTCCACACGCTGCTTGCCACTTGCGCAATTATTAACGCCGACGAGAGCAACGCGCCCGCGTCAAGCAGCTCACGTCACCGGCTGTTATGGCAGTTGGCATTGTAATTGACTGGCTGATGATATGTAATGAAAATAAACCAATTACGCGGCGTTTATCGCCATCTCTTGCTCCTCCAGTTGTTACGTTCAGGCACGAAAAGCCGACGCCAAGACGCACAGAGGAGACACAAGCAGATGGCGACTCCGCGTGAGCACGCCGCGGAAAATGCTTCACCTGGAAAGATATTTTTACCGCGGCATATGTTAGCTACCGTACCGATGCCATAAAAATATTACACGCCAGCACATCCGGAAGATTCAACGCAAGTCGTAGCTTGGGCTTTAATTAAACGCAACACCCGCCACCCCCCACTCCCACCCCCACGTGTTACCACCAAGGGCAAATTGCGACCAGTAGTAAGCTGTTGCATCTCGTTTCGGTGAAAGCGTAATTTAAAAGCAACCGAGTCGGCAAAAGTGTGCGGAGTAATTAGGCCTGACCTTAACGTAACCTTCCTTGTTGGGAGCAAAGAACGCGGTGCCTAACGCTCCGGTATTAACCCCGTCACGCGCCGTCCGTCCGTCACACGGCTCACGTGAACGCTGTGCGTTAACAGCCGCGCTTCGTAAATCAACGGCCGTAAACGTGAGTTAAACACGACGACGATTTCTACACTCGGGAGGTTATTCATTTGGTGCCCCCCCCCCCCCCAACCCCATCGATGCATTTGCGCGCCGGGCGGTCACCGTGCCCGCCCACCTCGAGGGCCGAGCGTAACATCGTCACCAAGCGGGCTTACCAGCAGCAGCCGGTCCTGGAACGCGCCAGCCTCTCGCCATCGATCCTGCTCGTCTTCCGCCAAAATCACGTCTGATCGTCAACGTTAGGGGGCTATCAGCAGGGTTATCGTACACAGGTTAATTATTAAAGCGTCCCACTTTACGTTTTGTATTCATGTACAGGTCAGGCCTCGTCGGTCAATGGTACTGGTTAACAGTTTCTTCTCTCTCTCCGAGTTGCAAAAAAAAAATATATAATTTGTCACAGCAGCGCGGCGCGCGAGTGATATCGCCGCGACGACCTCGCAAAACCTGACACATTATTGCGATTTACGCTCCCCCGATGTTACCCGGTTCTGGAAAGGATCTACAGCGTAACATGCCTCGCGTCCAACGTGCAACGGTGGCCAACTTGTTTAACTCGAAAAAGTTGTCGGTATATGTTGTTTGACAGAAATAACAACGATACGGAGTTAAATTTCACCGCCAACATTTTTTTTTTAATATCGTTGACGCCCGTTGCCATTGGTCTAGGAAGATAAAGCCTGGACCAGTTTCAACTTTCTAGAGTCTCATCAGCATTGGGCCATTCAGTGAAAAAATTGTAGAAAGCCATTTGTGTAATCTTGGGGAATTGTGGGTAATTACGTAATACATCAGCACACAAGGGTCTGTTTGTTGATGTTCTTCTTCTTCTGCATAACAATATTGTCTGAGTAGCGACCGTAATTCGATATCCAAATTTGAAATCCAGTTGAAGGCTTTTGGGGAAAATGAGCGAGCGCCTCTGGGACCGTGTGGAAATGATCGTAATGGCTCGAGGGTCCGCGCATATAACCAGCACCGGCCATTGCTCAAGGAGCAAGTCACGAGGCAACCAATCACATGCACGCATTCAAAATCATAAAGACAGATCATGCCCTCTTCGCTCCGACGATGCAAGCATTCAGCGGCCCATCGCAAGCGATTAGCTTGCGATGGGCCGCCTCCGTGAATTCGCCCAACAGAAATAATTACGCCCTACTTAAAAAAAAAATAAACGCGCGGTCACTGCGGCGGGGATACAATGGCGCCAGTGTAGGAGGGCCCGGCGCAAGCGGGCGCCAGCGGCCAGCGCCAACGCGGCTTCCAGCTTGTCCCTCTCTTGCTGGCGATCCTCCCAAGCCGAGCGCCAGCGTGCCACGCAGCTCGCCAGCGCACGGCGCTGGCACAGCCCCCTGGCTCGCTCTGACCACGGTGACGGAGGAGCAGGAGAGGCGCGAGTTTCCAGGAGACAGAAACGGTCACAACTTTGGCTCGCGGAGGGTAACAAAAGCCGTGCTCAGGTAGCGTGAAGGCCAGTTGCCGAGCCAGTGGATAAGTAAACGTGGCCAACATCGGCAGCTGCGGCCAGGAAATAGAAACGGTCATTGTGCCGAGAAAGGAGCAGGATAAGCCGGTAGTATCCCCCGCCCACGCCGTTTCACGCTGGTGGGAATGCCGTCCTTAATTGGAGTCGACTTTCCGTCGTGCTACGGTGTTGTCCATTAGGTAAATCAACTTCCTCTTCATGAGTAAACGCTTGTGCAGTTACTACTACAAACGGATTATTGACGCGAGGTGGGAGGGGGTTCGTTTTTTTTTTATTGTCGGGGGCTTCCAGGTACACTGCGCCGTCATTGCACCGCGGGGGGGAGGGGGTAGGCACCGTAGAGCTCCCGCTTTCGCCGGCGCTCCCCCGCGTAGGAGCGCCAGGCCGCCAGCGCCCTGTGCAGGCCGGCACGGTGGCGGTGCGCGTCGGCGAGCTGCTCCCGACGACGCTCGGCTTCCCGCGCGCGGAGCCCCTCGCTCCACTGCACCCAGGCCTGCGGCGGGCGCGCAATGTGACCGTTAAGGAACGCACGACGAGGAAACCAAAAAACAACAACACGCGCAAATGCCTCCCGCGTGACAGACACCCGCGATAGGGCAATGCGGTAGCCCCTCATTGTCTGCAACTCCCTTCCCACCCGGCTGGTCAGCGCTGTCGGCCCCCTGCACCCCTGTTCAAAGTCCAGGCTGGCTTAAGGACTTTCTCTTCTCCTCTGGCTGTGACCGACGGCTTCGCTCTGTAACGAATTAAAAAAACCCACGCTCGCCACCTCTGCAGCGTCTCCAGATGAAAGTCGCGTTCAGACGTTACCGAAGGCCCTCAATTGCGACTATAACCTGGGCTGTGTGGCCCAGGTTTTAAGCGGCATTATCATTTTTTCTTTCACGATGCGTACCGGGCAGGGCTCATTTCGCCGTTTGCACCGACGATGGAGACAGGGGGAGGAGGAGCAGTGGCACCGTAAAGACCCTGGGCCTACGTGCATGGCCGAGCTTCCTGCTCCTCGACCCGACTCCGCAGGGTTCCGTCTCCGCGCTCTCCGCGGAAATGCATCGTTCGCGAACGCTTCTGCTACTGCAACCACTTATTCTGTCAGTTTCCAGGCCCGAGCCTTGCGGAATTGGATTTTTTTTGTTTTTATCAGGCTCCAGGGAGAAGTTGCCTGTGGTTGGGATTTGAACTCGCGCTTTTAAGGTCACGAGCCCCCCCCAATGTGCCAAGGCAGTATTTATATTTTCGCTCGTCGTTTGCTGTTCATCATCTGAATCGCCATTATTGACCGTCGGCAGCTGCACCAAGGGAGGGCCCCTTAAACCTCATGAATGTTTTAAGCAACGTTTCTCATCGGCTGCCCTCTACTTTGCTCGAATTTTACCCAGTGTCACAGTTTAAGATTTCATTCATTATCGATGCTATGATAAGCACGCATAATGTCAATGTGTGTGAGCGTGTGCGCGCATACGTGCGTGCGTGCGTGCATGCGCGCCCTGGCGTCTTGTATGCACAGTAAATATATTTACACTGCGATTTACATCTTCGGCCCGGCAGTCTAATCAAAACGGCCGCGGATCTCTGCCCGCATTCGCCGCGTGCTCTCGGCACGTCAACCGTGAAACGGACCGTTTAGTTAGGAATTTCAATGCAGTCGCCGTGTGCTCCGCGACGCATTGGGAAACAATAAAATATGGATCGCACATCTCCCGGGCTCCGGCTGCCGACCACAGAGCCCTCGCCTGCGCACGTCTCAGAACAAAATGAAGCATTATGCGTGTCGTGCCATTTCTCTTGCCCGCATCCTTGCATGCGAGGTAAGCCCCCTCACCCCCCCCCCCCACCCCCCCAGCACCCCCCAACACCCCCCCCCCCCCACCACTCCCAGGAAGCTGCTTTCAATGCACAAGATGCTGCCAATGTGGGGTAACGTTCAGCGTACGGGACTTGCGATCCAGAGGTCACCGGTTTGGTTCGACCTGCCCCACCCCCACCTCTACTTGTCCACCCAGGAGTATAAACGGGTCCACACTGCAGCGGGGTTGATCGGCAGGTCGTGTGGAGAGGAATGTAATATGTATGTACGTGTACGTTGAACTTCTTTCGCACCGTACGTGGGCAACCGTGCTAAATCGGAGGTGCCGGGGAAGGACAACAAATGAACACAAAAAGCAGTTCTAAATAATTGAGTTACCTATCGAGATTTAAACGACAAAAGAAAGAAAGTGTGTAATCGTATCCTCCAGACGGGGCTGTCTGTGGTTCCTTCTCGCAGAGCCACTTCAGCCAGCAGCGGCACGATCAAGTATCTGCAGGGCTGCACCTTTACCATGCACGCGATGCAAGTGCACAACCGCAACCCCCCAAAGACCCCCCCCCCACCACCGTGTAGCCTTAACAGGCTTATTGGGGCAAGTGCTGTTAGCGGGTAGCACCTATGAAGGGCGGCACGGCACACGAGGGGGTGGGTGGCCAGCACCACGCCCAGCCGCATCCGTCTCCCACTTCACACCAGTTACTCATTTGAGTCGACCTAGGGGACGCCCAGTACCGGTTCAGATAACTGTCAACGGTATCGGGCGTGAGTGGGAATCGAACTCGGATCTCTAGATTTGCAGCGAAGCTTGATAACCCCTACACTACTACTCCCTGCACCACCCCCCCCCCAACCGCTGCTGCTGTGCCAGCTTCACCTTGTACTGCAGGTGCAGCGCCCAGTGCTGAAGTGCGGCTCCCTGCTTCTCCTGCTGCCTCCTTTGCCACCGCAACCTCCGCAGCCACGCGGACCACGAGCGCCTGATTCGCACGGACACGGTCACACGGGGCGGCCGCCAACGACCCCTCTTGCCCCCTTCGCTGCGACCCCCTTCGCCACGGCCGGGGCTTTCCCGACGCGTGGACGGAGGGATGGGCGGGCAGGTGGCTGGGGGCCCGCTCGTTGTTGTTTATCGGCGGCGCTGACGGCCATTAAAACGGGGGCCCCCCCCCCCCGTGAATTACGGGCTCCCAAACAAAACGCGCGGCGGTTTAACGCGTCGGACGCGAGGCTTTCATCTGCTCCGGCAATTTGTCAGAAATTAATCAAACGTAATGGCTGTAGAGGAGCATTAAATGGAATAAACAAGATGCCAAAAGATGCATCGCATCGTGCCGTAGCAACACGGGCCGTCGAAGGCAGAAGGTTTGGCTAACAAATGGTGCACAAAAGGAAACAAAACGCAATCAATGAGAACACGGTTGCAGAACAAACACTATTACTCAAGCATCGAACATTGGAAATAGCACCGGGCTATTTTTACCCCGGATAAACACTTCTGCGGAGACTGCTGGCAGTCAAGCCACGAGACACTTAAACGCGCAGGCGAATTTGAAAATGCATTAATAATCACCGTGCGAAATGTGTCAAGAGCGCGCGGGTGGAGATCGCGGGGGTGTGGGGGGTGGTGTGGGGGGGGGTGTGGGGGGGGGGTGTGGGGGGGGGTGTGGGGGGGGGTGCCGTACCTCAGCAGGAGCTCCAGCGAGAAGCGCACCGCCTCGGAGCGCATCGCCCGCTCCCTTTTCTGACCTCCCAAAAAGCGTCTCCAGCCACCCCACGCCCCGCGCATTAACGAGCTCCGAGCTGCCAACGGAGAGGATTTACACGGGGAGCGCTGAGCGAGCCGCGTGGCGATATCGCGGCGTGGTAACCGCGTCGCTCACAATAGCCGCCGAGGCCTGCGCGGGCCTCGATAGCGGCTCAGGGTTTCGGTGACAAAAAGCCCACGCCGGGCCCAGTGGGGTTCAGCCCACGCGCCGGGGGGGAGGGGGATCAGTGCCACCGTCGGGGCCGTGCCAGCGGGCACCTCGCTGGCTCGCGATTGTTTGCGTGCCCGCGTGTGCTGTGTTGTGTCACGAACGCGCGGGGGTGCCTCCGTGGTTGCCATGTTGGGAGCGCCACGGTTTCTGTTGGGACGACGTCGCTGCGGTGCTCCCCACCCCACCTCCTTGACAAACCTCACTACCTCTCTGCCCTCATTGTGTTCCTCTCCGTTTTACCTCGTCTCTGTCCCCGCTCTGCCTTACCGTGACTCTTTCCCTGTCTCACAGTGTCCTTGTCTTACCGTGTCCCTGTCCCAACGTCTCTACCCATCTCACCGTGTCCCCACCCATCTCGCCATGTCCCCACCCATCTCACTGTCCCCACCCATCTCACCGTGTCTCTACCCATCTCACTGTGTCCCCACCCATCTCACCGTGTCTCTACCCATCTCACTGTCCCCACTAATCTCACCGTATCTCTACCCATCTCACTGTGTCCCCACTAATCTCACCGTGTCTCTACCCATCTCACCATGTCTCTACCCATCTCACCGTGTCTCTACCCATCTCACCGTGTCTCTACCCATCTCACTGTCCCCACTAATCTCACCGTGTCTCTACCCATCTCACCGTGTCCCCACTAATCTCACCGTGTCTCTACCCATCTCACCGTGTCCCCACTAATCTCACCGTGTCTCTACCCATCTCACTGTCCCCACTAATCTCACCGTGTCTCTACCCATCTCACCGTGTCCCCACTAATCTCACCGTGTCTCTACCCATCTCACTGTGTCCCCACCCATCTCACCGTGTCTCTACCCATCTCACTGTCCCCACTAATCTCACCGTGTCTCTACCCATCTCACCGTGTCCCCACTATCTCACCGTGGCTCTACCTATTTCACTGTGTCCCCACTAATCGCACCGTGTCTCTACCCATCTCACCGTGTCTCCACTAATCTCACCGTGTCTCTACCCATCTCACCGTGTCTCTACCCATCTCACCGTGTCCCCACCCATCTCACCGTGTCTCTACCCATCTCACTGTCCCCACCCATCTCAACGTGCCTCTACCCATCTCACTGTCCCCACCCATCTCACCGTGCCTCTACCCATCTCACCGTGTCTCTACCCATCTCACTGGCCCCACCCATCTCACCGTGTCTCTACCCATCTCACCGTGTCTCTACCCATCTCACCGTGTCCCCACTAATCTCACCGTGTCTCTACCCATCTCACTGTCCCCACCCATCTCACCGTGCCTCTACCCATCTCACCGTGTCTCTACCTATCTCACCGTGTCCCCACCCATCTCACCGTGTCTCTACCCATCTCGCCGTGTCTCTACCCATCTCACCGTGTCTCTACCCATCTCACTCTCTCTACCCATCTCACCGTGTCTCTACCCATCTCACCGTGTCCCCACTAATCTCACCGTGTCTCTACCCATCTCACCGTGTTTCTACCCATCTCACCATGTCCCCACCCATCTCACCGTGTTTCTACCCATCTCACCGTGTCCCCACCCATCTCAACGTGTCTCTACCCATCTCACTGTCCCCACCCATCTCACCGTGTCTCTACCCATCTCACCGTGTTTCTACCCATCTCACCGTGTCCCCACCCATCTCACCGTGTTTCTACCCATCTCACTGTGTCCCCACTAATCTCACCGTGTCTCTACCCATCTCACCGTGTCTCTACCCATCTCACCGTGTCTCTACCCATCTCACCGTGTCTCTACCCATCTCACTGTCCCCACTAATCTCACCGTGTCTCTACCCATCTCACCGTGTCCCCACTAATCTCACCGTGTCTCTACCCATCTCACCGTGTCCCCACTAATCTCACCGTGTCTCTACCCATCTCACTGTCCCCACTAATCTCACCGTGTCTCTACCCATCTCACCGTGTCCCCCACTAATCTCACCGTGTCTCTACCCATCTCACTGTGTCCCCACCCATCTCACCGTGTCTCTACCCATCTCACTGTCCCCACTAATCTCACCGTGTCTCTACCCATCTCACCGTGTCCCCACTATCTCACCGTGGCTCTACCCATCTCACTGTGTCCCCACTAATCTCACCGTGTCTCTACCCATCTCACTGTGTCCCCACTAATCTCACCGTGTCTCTACCCATCTCACCGTGTCTCTACCCATCTCACCGTGTCCCCACCCATCTCACCGTGTCTCTACCCATCTCACTGTCCCCACCCATCTCAACGTGCCTCTACCCATCTCACTGTCCCCACCCATCTCACCGTGCCTCTACCCATCTCACCGTGTCTCTACCCATCTCACCGTGTCTCTACCCATCTCACTGGCCCCACCCATCTCACCGTGTCTCTACCCATCTCACCGTGTCTCTACCCATCTCACCGTGTCCCCACTAATCTCACCGTGTCTCTACCCATCTCACTGTCCCCACCCATCTCACCGTGCCTCTACCCATCTCACCGTGTCTCTACCTATCTCACCGTGTCCCACCCATCTCACCGTGTCTCTACCCATCTCGCCGTGTCTCTACCCATCTCACCGTGTCTCTACCCATCTCACTGTCTCTACCCATCTCACCGTGTCTCTACCCATCTCACCGTGTCCCCACTAATCTCACCGTGTCTCTACCCATCTCACCGTGTTTCTACCCATCTCACCATGTCCCCACCCATCTCACCGTGTTTCTACCCATCTCACCGTGTCCCCACCCATCTCAACGTGTCTCTACCCATCTCACTGTCCCCACCCATCTCACCGTGTCTCTACCCATCTCACCGTGTTTCTACCCATCTCACCGTGTCCCCACCCATATCAACGTGTCTCTACCCATCTCACCGTGTCTCTACCCATCTCACCGTGTCTCTACCCATCTCACCGTGTCCCCACTAATCTCACCGTGTCTCTACCCATCTCACCGTGTTTCTACCCATCTCACCGTGTCCCCACCCATCTCACCGTGTTTCTACCCATCTCACCGTGTCCCCACCCATCTCAACGTGTCTCTACCCATCTCACTGTCTCCACCCATCTCACCGTGTCTCTACCCATCTCACCGTGTCCCCACCCATCTCGCCGTGTCCCCACCCATCTTGCCGTGTCCCCACCCATCTCAACGTGTCTCTACCCATCTCACTGTCCCCACCCATCTCACCGTGCCTCTACCCATCTCACCGTGCCTCTACCCATCTCACCGTGTCCCCACCCATCGCACTGTGTCCCCACACGCCTCACCGTGCCTCTGGGCCACTGCGTTCACCGCCTCCTTGTCCCTGCGTAACTGGACGTAGCACTGCCATGCCCTCCACGTGCGCGCATACAGCTGGAACCTGCAGCGGACACGGAGCGGCACAGAGCGTGCATTTCTAACACTCGCCGTGACAGCATCGCGCACATCTACACCAACCATAAAATCTTCTCGGTGGTGATTTACCAAATATGTAGCGATCTACGACCGCTAGATTGTAAATGTACATTTTTTCTAACATTGGCCATTACAATATCTAACCCCGAACGCAAGTATCAGCGAAGATAATACTAGCTGACCTAGGACTCACGGACAAATATCAATTCATATCGATACTTGCGCTCATGCTACACTGACCCAATCTATTAAAGTATTATTTGTGCAAATGTTACAAATGTAAGGTGATGGACTGAACACCCGTGCAAACGAGATGGGGGAAAAACTGAGAACCCATACAAACGAGACGGTAAAAATGCAACGAAATACAATCCATTCTGGAACAGACTTGTGACCTACGAATCATGAGAGTGCACTGCATTGCTCTGGGGGCGCATCGCTACACGGCTACAAAATAAACATAAAATGGCAACGAGCGTGAAAACATAGGAAGCAGTGTGAGCATTGTTGGCGCAATCTGGCCAGGTGGCACCATCGTTACTAATAATACTGTCATTTTATAGCGCGTCATTCATGCCAATAGCATACCAAGGATCAAATCCCATGAACGTGGTTGGCTACGTACGGTGCGAAAGAAGCCCAACACACACACGTACATGCCAAGCAAATTAAAACCCCTATTGCTAAGCGAAATCTAAAATAAATGAACAAATCATAAAATGGTACCAAAAAAACCCACAAACAACTAAAAAGTTATCAAAACAAAGACATTTGTACATATGATGCAAGTTAAATTCCCATTGGGGGGGTCGACTTAGACCATTAAAAGGGCTACCATTTTGTAATGTCAACAGTGGGTGGTGGATGTATCGACTCGCCCTCGCCATAAGAATGTGGATGTTCAGGGCTGTAAGCAGGAGATGAGCTCTGCTCTAAGCTCATCAGAGCGAGAAACCACTTTGACTTGTCATTTTAATCTGTGGCATCGCAAGAACGTGAGTGGTAGCGAAGGGCTTGGGGAAGCATTCATCCAACAATGGACAGCCCCCCTGAGCTATGTAGCTCTTTTTCAGAAGCGACCTGGCCACAAATGATAGCTCAACGTAGTGGCTTATCACGTGAAAATGTATGGAGGGAAAAACCAGAGGATACGGAGAAAAATCCACACTCGCATGGGGAGAACATGCACTCTCCAAATATACAGGCGTCAGGGTCGGGATCGAACCCACAACCTCCTGCATGCCAGGCGAGACAGTTAACATCTCGCCACCGTGGCACTGATGACAATGGTCGTGACAACATGATGATTTTAGCGGTGAACCTGAGGTGGCAGTCGGCGCGGATGAGCAGCTTCCATTCCCTCCGGCTGATCCACCACGCTTCCTGCCACGTGCCAAATGCCCTTTGAAGCACCGCCCGTCTGTGATGGGCCCTGTTCACAATGTGCGAGGCCACATTCGACACTCAGCTCAACGCGACTCTCCGATCCAACCTCCGACTCCAGTCCGGATGTCTGTAGGCGAGGTGAAAATAAAACCTGGCAGCCGAGGGCAGCACTCGTCCAAACACCTTCCGGGACCACACGTGCAAGAACTTCCTCGCCAGATGCCTGGGGGCGCGCACGCGTACACACACGCACACACGGCGTTTGTTTATGCTCAGCAGATTACTTAGGAACTTTTATCAGACTAAGTCCCGTTGGCGGTAAGGCGGATCAGTGCGGGAGCCAAGAGCTTGGAAGGAATAGTGACGAATGGCAGTGGCGGTGCCCGAGTAGCCCCCACATGCCAAGCTCGAGTTAAGCCACGAAACGGCGATGAGCGGAGCGTGCCACTTTAGCCCCGCGCGTTTTTTAAAGACCCCCGCGAAGAGAGCGGATTGTTTAAACGCTAAAATGATGCGTTTCCACGGGGGGGGGGGGGGTGGGGATGGAAATGTTATCCCCCGACGGGGCTCCGTGAAGCCGGCCTTCTCAACATAACAATCAAGTTGTGTTCTGCGTACCAGCCCAATGGGATTGCATCGTGGTTTAATCTCTTACCGAGCGTTATTTCAAGTCGCTGCTGAGACTTGAATAGGTACGTGACAAGTAGATGTGGTGTGCCGGGTGCGTGAATATTTCCGCTGCCGCAGACCCAGACACACCCGTTTGACGTCAAAACGCGGATTTGCATTCGAGATGAGATTGGATTGTCTTCATTAAAACATTTGAAGTACCAATTTTGCGAACGGCAGAGTATGACGTTTTTACAACATGATTTTACCATTGGGAATGGAATGCTACCAGTGAGTAGTGTATCACGCGGTGGCACTGTGAGCTGTTCTCCGAAAAGAAGACATTACAGAAGTACTTTCTGAAGTCGATTCTCATACCTCTCGACCACACTAGATGGCGCGCCTTGCCACATGACCTGCAAACAAAGCGTTTTTTTCGTATCGTGCGAGTTAAACCGAAATCTTTCAGCTCTCAAAACGACGGAATTTTGCTCAATTAAGTGACAAACCGCACAGGTGACCGGGCGGAGAACATCAATCCACTGCATCTTGACAACTTAATTTAATCACGGGCAGCTGGAATCCACAATGAATTCAAACCCCCAAGGTCTCTCAGCGGTTGATGGCTCAATTGTCTCGGACACGACCATTGCACGCCAACCCCCGGCACCAAGCCGACCACCTCCCGCATAGAGCGAGAACTACCAACATCCAGTAGTGGTACTCGTATGCGTTACACAAGGTGGATCCCTGCACGCAGATTCCATAAAACTGTCCTGAACGCAAGAGTAATCTCGCATGACCTGGCCAGTGTAAATATGAAATCTAAACCCGCACGGATATTATTGTACGACTGTCCTCGAATATATGCATACACGGACCAGATGGGAGTCAAATCACAGACTCGCCTTGGCTTCCAGCTGATCATATATTTAAGGCTGTCGCTTTTTAGTATTTGTGTCAGGCTAAGGGTTTAGAGTTTAGGAGTTATTATTAAGCTTGAGGGTTATCGGCCAGGGATTATTGTACGGGTTTAGGGTGAGTGATGAGGGTTACGGGTTAGCTCGTAGGGTTATGGTCGATGAGTGCTTTAGGTTTGGGCTGAGGTCAGGAACCAATTCGTTCAGGGTTTAGGTTTTAAGGTTATGAGGTCGATTTCAGGTGTAGGGTTTCTGGTTGTGGTAGGGTTAGAGTTTATAGGAGTAGCTAACTACGGTAATGCTTTGCTTGTCACGAATCTGGGAACGGTTTAAATGCCCTAATCGTGCCGCATCAGACTAAGAATATTTATGTATACTGCACGAATCCGATGAGCTATAAAGCTCTTTACCACATGTCCAGTAGGGGCGAGTCAGAACGTTATGACAACAAATAATACGAAAACACAATCGGAGTGCAAAGTATAGAAAAAGCAAACAAATGACTTAAACATATATACAAATAAAACTAAACTAGTTTTTTTTATCTTATCAGGTAAGACTCACTGAGCTATAAGTTTATTTTTCAGAAGCGACCTGGCCACAAATGTTAGCTCAACAAAGTGGCTTTCCACGTGTAAATTTATAGCAGCGAAATAATGTAAATAATTTAGACGCCTGTTTTAAAAAGAAACAGGTGGACCTGGAGAAAAAAAATATCCACGCAACCAAACTCCAAATATACAGCAGCAGGCGTCAGTGTCTGGATCGCAGCCACGGCCTCCTGTACATCCGGCGAGGTAGTTAACATCTCGCCACTGCGAGGCGGGGTACCAGGTGTGCGCATTCTGTTTGACCAAGCAACGAGTTAAATCCCACCGGGTCATGGTTGGGGTCGAACCCCCCGATCTCCTGCATACCAGGCGAGGTAGTCAACATCACACCACCGCGTCACTCGCTCCACCTGATCCTCAGCTCCTTGAGGCGTCCCCCACGGCTCCAGGTGTAGGTGACAGGTCTCGGTGGCGGAAGAGCACCAACATCCCTAGTCCTGCTGCTCCTCCTCCTCCTCGTCGTCACAGCCGCGGGGGGCAGCCCAGCCAGGTGGACACGTGGCCCGGTGACCCCCACACGGACCCCTTTCACAGTGAGGGGACCCACGTTTGGGGAGGAGGTGAATCTCGGGACCTTACCGGGGGTCCCCTCCATGTCGATGTGGGTGGGGGGAGATTGAGAGAAGGTTTAGGCGGGGGTGGGGGCAAGGTGAAGGAGGCGAAGGTGAGGAAGTGAAGCAAGGGTGAAGTAACGCTGTGCCGGTGGATGTTTACAGAACTACCACGGAGCAAGAGGGGGCAAGGTAGAGGAGGAGGTGAAGATGAAGGGAAAGGCCGAGCCAAGGGAGTCGAGAGGCAAGGCGAATTGCAACTGAAGAGGAGCGAGACGGGGGGGGGGGGTGAAGGGGGGGGATGAAGGGGGGGGGATGAAGGGGGGGGGATGAAGGGGGGATGAAGGGGGGGGATGAAGGGAGGATGAAGGGAGGATGAAGGGGGGGGGGGTCAGCGTGAGCAGGGCAAATACAGGGGGCCAAGACAAGGAGAGGGGTGGGGGGGCGGGGTGAAAATTAATGAAAGAAGAGGGAGGGCAATGCGTGCGGGCAAGGGAGACTAAGTGCTCGGCAGGGTCACGGGGAAGCGAGTACAAGAGGGGGCATTGTAGAGCGAGGACCAGCGAGGGCAAGGCGAGGTTGGGTGAAGAGTGAGGGGCAGGGGCCAGGCGAGAGGCAGGCGGTCGCGTCCAGCCGGAGACCCACGCCGCCTACACCCCCGGGTCACCCAAGGTGCGGGCGGTGCCCATGCGGCGAGCGGAGACCCGTGGGGTCACGCGGCAGGGAGGTCAGAGAGGACCGGGGGGGGCACGGGGACCGGGGGGGCTACACGGGGACCAGGGGGGGCACGGGGACCAGGGGCTACACGGGGACCTGGGGACTACACAGGGACCAGGGCCTACACGGGGACCAGGGTGCTACACGTGGACCAGGGGGCTACACGGGGACCAGGGACTACACGGGGACCAGGGGGCTACACGGGGACCAGGGGGCTACACGGGGACCAGGGGACTACACGGGGACCAGGGACTACACGGGGACCAGGGTGCTACACGGGGACCAGGAGGCTACACGGGGACCAGGGGGCTACACGGGGACCAGGGACTACACGGGGACCAGGGACTACACGGGGACCAGGGACTACACGGGGACCAGGGACTACACGGGGACCAGGAGACTACACGGGGACCAGGGGCTACACGGGGACCATGGGGCTACACGGGGACCAGGGGCTACACGGGGACCAGGGGGCTACACGGGGCCCAGGGGACTACACGGGGACCAGGGGCTACACGGGGCCCAGGGGACTACACGGGGACCAGGGGCTACACGGGGACCAGGGGGCTACACGGGGCCCAGGGGACTACACGGGGACCAGGGACTACACGGGGACCAGGGACTACACGGGGACCAGGGGGCTACACGGGGCCCAGGGGACTACACGGGGACCAGGGGACTACACGGGGACCAGGGGACTACACGGGGCCCAGGGGACTACACGGGGACCAGGGACTACACGGGGACCAGGGACTACACGGGGACCAGGGGGCTACACGGGGACCAGGGGCTACACGGGGACCAGGGACTACACGGGGACCAGGGGGCTACACGGGGACCAGGGGCTACACGGGGACCAGGGGGCTACACGGGGACCAGGGACTACACGGGGACCAGGGGCTACACGGGGACCAGGGGGCTACACGGGGACCAGGGGCTACACGGGGACCAGGGGGCTACACGGGGACCAGGGACTACACGGGGACCAGGGGGCTACACGGGGACCAGGGGCTACACGGGGACCATGGGGCTACACGGGGACCAGGGGCTACACGGGGACCAGGGGGCTACACGGGGACCAGGGGACTACACGGGGACCAGGGGACTACACGGGGACCAGGGGCTACACGGGGCCCAGGGGACTACACGGGGACCAGGGGCTACACGGGGACCAGGGGGCTACACGGGGCCCAGGGGACTACACGGGGACCAGGGGACTACACGGGGACCAGGGGGCTACACGGGGACCAGGGACTACACGGGGCCCAGGGGGCTACACGGGGACCAGGGACTACACGGGGACCAGGGACTACACGGGGCCCAGGGGGCTACACGGGGACCAGGGGCTACACGGGGACCAGGGACTACACGGGGACCAGGGGGCTCCACGGGGACCAGGGGGCTACACGGGGACCAGGGGACTACACGGGGACCAGGGGACTACACGGGGACCAGGGGGCTACACGGGGACCAGGGGGCTACACGGGGACCAGGGGGCTACACGGGGACCAGGGGGCTACACGGGGACCAGGGGGCTACACGGGGACCAGGGGCTACACGGGGACCAGGGGCTACACGGGGACCAGGGACTACACGGGTCCCCGCTCTCCACGCGACTCTCGTATTCCCCGCGTCTCGTCCCGCCTTCCGCGTCACGTGGCGCGGGGGGCGGTGCTTGGTGTCAGCTCAGAGGTTTCCCCTCCGCGCGGTGTTTACTTTGGTCGAAGTGAATTCACGCTGCGCTTCAAGCGAACTCCACATATCAACAACACGTGTGTGTGTGTGTTATTCCATCAGCCTATTGGCTCTCCACGCCAATGTCATCACGCGGCATTTCTAGAAGAAAAAAAACATGCTGTTATATTGCAAATTCTGGTATGATTCGTGGAATGTGCACGGAACATGTTTAAAAGTTCTGCCACTGGGTGAACTTATGTGCTAGGGTTGGGGGTTCTGTTTAATTTCAGCTATCGCAGCAGCGAGCGGTGCACCACCTTGTGTGTATCTTTACTCAGTTGCTGAGCACAGATCCAAAGGCGCCCAAAAACGCCAAGGGGCCAGCAACAAACAGCGTAATTTCAAAACTAAAAAAAACGACACACGTTTTATGCTACCAGGTAAGGTTTACTAAGCTGTGTAGATATTTTTCAGAAGCGACTTGGCCACAAATGATAACTCAACGAAGTGGCTTATTGTGTGTACATTTATAGCAGCCAAATACTCTTAAACGCATGTTTTTTATATATATAAGGAGGGAAACACCGAAGGACTCGGAGAAAAATTCACCCAAACTCCAAAAATACAGCAGGCGTCAGGGTCGTGATCGAACCCATTAACTTGTAAACCAGGCGAGGTAGTTAACATCTCCCCACAGCGGCTATTAAAGTTGTCCTAGTTTGGCGTGTAACGCGTTTCTTGAATTTAGCGAGGTTATATTAAAATGTTTAATAAAAGCTTGCGGGGATAAAAAAAAATTGTCGATGGTGATGATAGGAGGGAATTGGAAAGTGGAGCTGAGCGATGGAAGGAAGAATCAGCCAAGGGAAGTGTTGTGACCTGCGGTGTGGTGAGTGGGTGGGTGAGTTGAGTGGGTGAGTTCGTGAGTGGATTGCGACTTGGAGTGTGGTGTGTGAATGCAGCAGTGGTGAGACGAATCTGTCAGTCGTCCGGTAGGTCGACCAACAGCCTCGAGACCAGGGGGTCGGCAGCCTGCCGCTTCGGAGCCGCATGCGGCTTTTGAAGGACTTCATCGTGGTGACGTTATTCATGAAGGACCCACCACCTCGTATTCACATGCATGGCGGCTCTTGAAATGTTGAATATGGTTCTTCTTGTTATTTTGGTTGCTGATTCCTTCTCTAGACAGTGACGTGATAGCAACACCGTGCCCCAGCTTTGCCTCTTAATCTACACTGAGCGGTGCCACCTTCTCTCATGCCCTGATATGGAGGGGTTGATTGCCCAATAAACATGGGCCAACGTAGAGCCAACGTTGAGCCAACGTTGGCCCAACATTGAGCCAACGTTGGCCCAACATTGAGCCAACGTTGGCCCAACATTGAGCCAACGTTGACATGTGGTTGGAACCATTGGACCAACGTTTACCCAACATTCCATGTTAACTATGTTGTTGCATGGCAGTGCAATTAAATGTTTGTTAGTTCTCAGAGCTGAACATTTGCCCAACTTTCCCACCTGCTCTGCCGCTGAGAGTGATGATGCTCATCGCATGCCAGCCGTGACAGTCGGATGACAGCCAGAGCTGGAATTGTTTTTGCCAGATTAACAGCGTAACCAACCTTCGTAGAAATTTATGGGTTTTTGTTGTTATTCATTCATAGCCAATCCAGTTGAGACCATCAGCTCACTTCACTTTAGAACCCGTGTCAACTCGGATTCAGACCTCGAATCTCAACAATGCCAGCCCATGAGATCTGGCTCGGCCATTATGAACTCCTTGATTTATCCAGCTACCTGCTTGATTTTTTTTAATCTACCCAGATGCATTGAATGATGGCTGATTAACGAGGCTTGATTTATTGTATTTAAAGCAGGAGTTACGAGTTTATCAAGTAGTGCAGCGGTTCACGCGATGTTCTATGGACCCGGTGAACCGAATTCGAATGCAGTGTTGAGTGATGTCCGAACCGGTCCTGGGTGGACCCCTTCATTAACCCTCACTGACTGGCATGACGTTAATGTATGCTCAAACAAAGTCACAACTCACAGCGTGAGGAGACCTTCACACAGCAGTGTATTGCATTATTAGGCTTCCGTTTTAGTTGGTTTTGAACATTACAATGAAAATCCAGCTTGGACCGCGGCCATAATCAAGATTTGTGCCTCTGAGCCAGGCCCAAATTCACATCATTACCATCGCAATTATAATCATCATCACCATGACCTGAGCGGTCGTCTCTGGCCTTAATGTTTCACTGAACATTTTCTGGGTCGCATGGTAGACTGGATCGAGGTCGGGAGGTGGTGGCACGTGACAGCGGTAGCCAGAGCTGCATCAAGATGTCTACTGCGTGTGATGTGCCGGGTGCGGAGAGATGAAGACTGGCGATTGCACAAAACGTCTCACCCCGCCACCCACGCTTTGTAAGGCGCTGCTATTAGCCAATGTGTTGAGATTTTTGTTATTTGTGCTCCACTGCCAAAGCAGGTTGTCTGGCTTGGCCACCTGAATGTGAAATTGTAGTTGTTGTTCAGCATCTCCATCAGCAGCCGTACGAAATAAGAAGGGCGCAGTGTCAAAACATGTTCTCACCTCTGCCTCGTGTATGGCCTTTTCATTAAATGTTGCCGTCACATTGCCGTGTGGTCGCCTCCCCGGTGTGGCCTGGTGTGGCCCCGACTGCTGCCCAGTCCACCTGTCACGAGGCGCCATTCACTGTTCAAACTCGCAGTGGCCTCTGCGCTTCTCAACTCCTGCCGCCCGACAAGCCTTGACGTCGGCACGGTTCACGCCTGCCCCGCACATGACGCGAATTCCCAATTATCACTTTAATGGCTTGCCAATTTAGCCGATCTGTGCTCTCGTACAGTGCGCGCGGAGA